AAGAAATCAGGGCTGGTGTGGTCGCTCACTGATCGGATATAAAGAATCTGGTAACCTATGCCATGAGTAATCTAGAATTCTGAAGCGTATTACAAAGGGGATGCAGGAATTAAAACCAGTGTCGACATAGGGAAACTTCGGTCGAGCCGTAAAGAATGAATAGATTACTATATAGTAAAGACTTGATATTGGAGTACAATGAGCTGTTCCGGTCGAGGTTTCGTTTGCTTGAATTGTCGTTAATCAAGGAAGAAGGAGTTTACAATTATCGTTGAGCCAATATGCATTATAACATTATTTTGAAGTGGATGACCCTGGATTGGTTAAATTGGTTAATAAGTGTGTTGCTAGACGCCCCTACGTCTCGCACAAAGGGCACACATTTTGAGTATTTCAGTCCCGCTTTGTTTAATTTCAATCTTCCAGAATTATAACAATGAACGAATTCTTAGATACTCACTGTAACAAAGACTCAATACATGGATCCAAGTTAAGCTCGCTTTTTTTTGTTTTGTTTCCAAAAGAGAACCCATCTGGACCAGATATCGTCTTTGTACTAGAATCGGAGGGTAAATATTATCCTGGTTCCGTACAGTCAAAAATCGGCGATAAGGTCAAGAATTAAGGATGCCCACAATACAACTTGCCATAATTGCATCAAAGAACACCTCTCATCACCGTCTTCTCTCGGCTTTTGCTCGAATGGCATATCCTTGTTGCTGTTGTTTAGGCCTTACTTATCACGTTGCCTTATCATGTTGTCTTATCACGAACAGGGTGATTATTCGCTAGCTAAAGTCAAAGAAGTTCCTACCATCAAAGACAAACGAATAGAAACGACGTACTCAATATTAGCTTGTTGAACTTCCTTGAAAGTGCAAGGGAGTCCCTCAAGAAGTCAGAATTGACTCGAGCTGTGGAGGATGAGGGAGAAGGAAGCAAGCCCAAAGAACCACAGGCAAGGAGGACATCAAAGAGAATTGCCGATAAAGCTCAAGCTATGGAGCATCGCCCTAGCTCATGGAATATGAGTCCAACGTTTTCAAGAAGTTTGGGGCTCCTCTTTCAGTTTATGTTTGCGTAGTCTTCATCAGTCAGGTCTTCACCGGCTGCCTTTAAAACACGCCGTGTTAAGGAACCCTTGTGAAAGTTTCAATCCCTGGCTGAGATCTTCTTCATCTACGTCAGACTGCTGCTGTCTCTTCGTCTGGATTGTGCCATAGGCAAGTGGATTCAGAACAAGGCCATTGGTAAAATCGTCCCTTTGAGTTTGAACCGAGTTATACCTTTGTCTTGTGCCTGTAGGGGTACCTTGTCTCGATAGCCATGAAACATGCGATCTCCTTCAATGTCACAAAGAGAGCCTGTATCTAGACCTCTTTTGTTCCCTGTACACATTCAAACACTGCAGCCTTGGGAGGATTGTCGAGAGGATGTCAGTTAGGACGTGTTCAGACAGATACACATACCGAGGGGGGACGTAAGGAAGTCTGTTTTTTTTTTTTTTTTTTTTTTTTTTTCACTCCATTGTTCTCTGGCAAGAAAAGCTCATCGAACAATAAAAAAAATAGAGAGCTTTAATAGAGAGCAATCGACTGCAGAATATGCATGAGGATACTCTACACAAAGTTATATCTTTGTGCTCCTGTGGTGAATACATGGGTAGATTTGACTCGGTCTGTAGGAACTGATTTGAAACAGGTGGCTACATCCTTGTCAAAGGTAACAACAAAAGAAAAAAAGTCTTCTTTCTTCTTTTTATCAGAGAATGGCCTCATATGATGCTCTTTGCTCCAACAGCTCCAGCACTTTTGCGTTAAAGCAGAGATATTCGTTGGCTCTCGGGTTCCGGCATCATTGGTGGAGATAGGAGTGATGTAGTTGCATGCGCTTATTGCTTGTAGTAAGAACTATCTTAGTACCCTTCCTTACTAGACGACGCCCTGTTAATGGTGATATTGTGCAGCGCCTTGTGGAAGGAGGGAGAGCAGAAGCGAGATTAATACCGATGCGTTTGATCCTCTCCTAGGAGTATTTTTGATTATGGAGTGATCGCCAAAATAAAGTTTGTTCATTTCTTCTGCTTGTGTTTTAGCAAAATGTGTTTATGTATATATGTGCTACTCATGCTCTCTTGCCAAGGACTTGAACAGGCATACCAACCCCTTCTTCCTTGCTCTCATAACCGTTTGCATGCCTTCGATGCATTCTTTCGCCGTTTATGTCCACTACATTTGAACCACACACAGTTCACCATTCACTCCAACAGAGATATTTGTATCACCTTGGGTATGATATGTTGCTGTGGTTCCCTCTGGTTTCAACAGGCCCAACAAACTCTATTAGCAGTGTTTATCAACCCAAATACATCAAGGGAACGCAAGAAGACGAGTAAGCAAATGATGCGACAAATCAAGTCTCGTCGAGCTGTACAGAAAAAGATCAAGTTAGTCAGGCTGTAGAACGAATCAACCCAGATTGCCTCAATCATACGACGAATATTATCATCACTATATCACATCAATCAATCAATAAACGATACAATGAGGCCCCCCAAGCGGACAATGGAGTCATGCGAAAGTCTTCATGAGTATTATGGTCTAACCCAACAGTTCGAGAGGAAATAGTCCAATTGTTGGAACTAAACATGAGCACCAAGGGGGCTGCAGAGGACAAGATCCTTAACCACAAGGGGATATTGTTGCAGGAGCTGTTTTCCTTGAAAGGATACAAGGACGTTGGACTGCAATCTGATGATGGCCCTAGAAGGAAACTACGGACATCGTTCTTTACAAACGGCCTTACCCTAACACTTCTTGCCTATGACACATCGAAGCAAAAAAGAGGTAGAGGTTCGCAAGCTGCCCAACCTTCGGATACTCAAAGATCTCAAGCAGTCCAGGCTTCTTCAAGTGCTTAGCAGGGATCCTCGTCTTCAGGCCATGGTGCAGGCGATGGGGGTGATGATGGAGACGACGACGGAAATGAAGATGACGATATCTTGCTGGGTATCAGCGATATTGACTTGCTGGAAGTTGATGAACCATTCTTAGATGGCGACGAGGGAGAAGAAGCAGCTGAAGAAGGTACATCGAGCACAAATCCACTGTCCCCGGTGAGTCCCAGTCCCCGGCGTGAGATCAACTGGAAGCAGAGATCCCGTCTCCTCGAGAATGTAGAAGTTAAATATGACACCCAGGCAGCATGCCCTCCCCCCGAAAGTACCATTATCATTGGGATCGATCCAGGCGAGAGGTACTCGATGACAATTGCAAAGTTGGATCCAAGGAAACCTAACGAACGTGAGATCCTCCGGATTTCTAGAGCGTACCTTTACAAACCATCCAAGAAGTTTCAGGGCGAGCTAGAGAGGCGAAAGCTTAGAAGAGGAATTACAGAGATTGAAAGCCATTGTAGGTTATCATGAATACTACACATCTGCCAAGTGTCCACGACCTCACTGTGACAGTATATTGGAGAATGTTCCTTTTCGATCCAAGTACTGTCGAAATTGTAAAACATACTTTGATCGAGATGCTGTTGGTGCTGAGAACATCGCAAGGGTCTGTGAGTCGCAGATAAGAGAGCAAAAACGACCTGCAAAATATATGCCGCCGGACGGAGGAACTCAAGGCCAAGCTTCTAGCGGTAGTGGCGGCGGTGGAGGTAGTGGTGGCAGTGGTGGTGGTAGTAGCAGATCCACAAAAAGGAAATTTTCAGATGAAGGAGGAGGAGGAGGAGTAGAGGGATCAAGACCACCGAAAGGACCTTTGCTGGGTCCAGGAGGAGGGGGAGAGACAAGCCGGCAACAACAGTAGGACACAATCTACTACAAACATGACTAGGTCCAGAAAGGCCTTCGTCTTAAAAAAATTGTAAGTATTGGCTTGATAGTACTTTTTTTTCTTGGTTAATTTATTTATTTATTTATTTCTCTGTTCTAATACATTTCTTCTTTTTACAAAGATGGAATGTCTCGTTTTTTAATGGGACAGACTATGTGAATAGGAACTTCAACAAATCAACTTTAAACTTAAAATTCTATCAATTGACTTTGGTCTAATTTAAAAAAACATTCTATAAAGCCAGGTCAACGAATCAAAATCTCAGGAACGCGTAAGCCTACATTCTATGAAGAAAAATTCTACACTCGGTTTTACTACTTGGACTGACTCGAGATCATAGACAATTATTAAAAAGGCAGGACCACAAGGCTCCTTCCTCTTGGCTTTTTTTTTTTTTTTTTTTTTTTTTTTTTTTTCACTTTTCTCTGTCTACTTGTCTCTTTACTTACTCTGACGCCTCTATTCATATTCTTGCTCATTACCGCATTGCTTGTTAGTCCTGTTCATTTACCCACAACACATTCTTGACATCATGGCCAATTCCAGTCTGCCGTTCGACGACTTTTTAGAACTAGACCTGCTTGATTCATCCAGCAACAATATGTTCCCGTTTATGCTCAATAATGAGGACTTGAACAGCCAATCCGACCTTACTTCAACTCTACATAGTCTGGATGATTCGCTCTGTCTTACATCGTTAGACCTACTAGACACCGGAGCCACTTATACTATGGATATGCCTATGATAGCCGAAGGTAGTAATACCAATACATCAAGCAGTGCTGAATCAGTAATTTGCGATGGAAAGGCAAAGACAAACATCGAGAAGGAGGTACAACAATGTGACATCCAACTCTTGCTTGCGATGAACCAGCGACTTCAAGAACAGCTTCGAGAACAGCAGCAGGTTCAAGTTGAAACAACTACTCAGATATCAGCTAATGTCATGGCAGATACCACCAGTAGCTCCACTAACAGCAAAGACAGTATTGATGGTGTTATTGATACTAAAACGCTCGTCGCTCAGATGGCTACTCCTACAAGCTTATCACAATTAAAAGCATCAGCATCAAATACACTCACGACGACATGCGATATTAACACTACACCCATTGCTACTGCAGCAATGACTGCAACTGTAGATGTCCAGAGTAGGATTTCTTTTCAAAAAGCTTATACCCTTCACTATAATTTAAATCACCTCTTGCCTTGTTGTTCTTGTTTGCTCATACAATGGGTCTGCGCTATTGATAGATGCTTCTAGGATTATAACCTATGATAATGCGCCTACTACCACAGCTACTAAGCGTCCAAGCCTAGAGCCAACCCCTGCAGCAAAGAAGATAGCTAAGATTGAGACAATAGTCACAGCAGTAGCTCCAGCGCTTAAAACTGGGGCAGAAATGAACAATTCAAGGCCACCTATCGAGGTCCAAAATAGTCCGGCACTCCCAGCCGTGATGCAGATCCCATTTGTACCTCAGCTATTCAACCGGAAGCTGACCCGGAAACAGATTGAAGAAACTTTGGCGCAGTTGTTGGAATCTACAAAGTATTTGCTTATGGCTTCACAAGAGGTAATTGCGGATGAATCCTCAGCTTCACAGAGAAGCGAATCTGAAAGTACAGAGGAAATAGAAAAGAGTGCTGAACAAACTCCGGGACGTATTCATGGCTTGAAGGCTCAGCCAGGCATCAAGATTGATGATATCCCTTCCTCATCGGACTTGAAAAAGATGACATCTAAGGAGCGAAGGCAGCTTCGTAACAAAATATCTGCAAGGAACTTTCGTGTTCGTAGAAAAGGTGAGGATAGAGGAAAGGGTTAAAGAAAGGGAGAAAGAAAGTATTGCGAGCCAAAGATTGGTTAAACATGAAGAGAGAGTAAGATTGAGCGTCAATCTAATGCACTTGTTACTACATATAAAATCTGTTGGTAACTGATAGAATACATTGAGCAACTGGAAAGTCAAGTTGAGCAGCACAAGACAGAAGCTCGGCATCTACGAGAAGCTGTGGCGGTCGTACATGCGGAGAACAAACGGCTTCGAGAGGAGTTGGAGGTTGCCAAGCGTCAAAGCACCCAAGTCACTTCTTCCAATGTCTCGGACATCAATGCACCACAGTTACCACTTGTCACACCTGTCCCTGCTCTTTCAACTGAGAATCAGGTTTTGCTGGCGTCTATTTTTTCCCAATCATGCCTTGGCTCGAAAGACAAGGTCAATGCAACTACCAACACACTATCTCGGCCCCATTCTTCCTTACTTACACCCAACCTCAAAAAGGATATGCCTAATACTCCTTACATCGGAGACAATGCATGGAAAGATGCAAATCCTATTTCTGTTCATACAGCATTTGTTCCAGAGATTGTCTTGAAAGACCAGCCCTTCCTGAGGCAGGGATCATTATGTCTAAAGGAGGATGAACTGTGGAATCGTCCCTGGTTGGAAAATGAAAGGACTCCCAAAGAGCTCTCAAAGGTTGACAAGAATCCTTTCTTGGTCACGAGTGTAGTGTATGAGCTAATGCAAACATTGGCGTGCGAATGGTTAGGCGCAATGAACTTCCTTGAGACTCAGAGCGTTACTTGCGCATTTACTCTCAATGAAGACAAGGCATTAGTACAGGATTATGAGGATGGCGTTCATAGGATTGAAACGATTAATGGAGAAACACGGTGCGACAAAAAAATGGGTGCCCAAATGGCTTTTTCTAGGCCACAAATGTGTGGCATGGCTGTTAGTGAGTTGCTAGAGGGCTTTTATCGAATGCTCTTCGGTCAAAAACCTCCGGCATCATGCGCGCTCGATGCCAGATGGCTCTTTGGGCTAGACCTGACGTTTCTTTTTTCCTTGGAAGTTTGCTGAAATATACATTTCAAATCATGGGAAATAAAATGAGAGCCATGCTACAAAAATGTTTCAACTCAGAGCAGTGCATTGTAGGTTCATTTGTTGTGAAGACAAACATGTCAAAGCAAGGAATCTTCAAAGAATGTAATGTTGCACAACCTTACTTCGCCAGCCAAGCAAATGAACCTCGACATGCAAACCCTATATTTGGCTCTTCGATAGAGACTTGCCATGTGTCTTTTTCTTTTTTTTCCTTCTTTGTCCTGTCCCTCAGCTATAGCCACAGTTCCGCCCACACATTCAGCATCTCCTTTTCAAGACCACTCCTCTGTGATATAACTTCCTTTATCCACTGTCACTGTCTTCCAATCCTTATTCTATTAGTCTCCTTTATTGTTGTGAAGTTCCTTCTATTCCTCATAATGGCGCCACGTCACCGCCGATCTAGAGACACGTATATTATTTTTGGTTCCTCAGACACTTAATGTGTTCCTGTATCGGGTACTGGCTGAAACTACCGAGGAGAGAAGGCTCACATCTACACCAACCACCAGTGTGCAACAGCCTTCGTCTGCTTCTGACGGCAATGTTGGCCAATCGGCACCAAAAAATAGTACCCTCAATAAGGTCATGACAGGTATCGCTTGGGCTATCACCATCAGCACCCTTATTTACGTGATCAGAGCTCTGTCTCCGTGTATAAGCGCTTTATTGGGTGTTGTGGTTTATGTATTAGTAGAAAATCAAAGTCGAAAATCACCGATAATGGTTTGTGACAATAGGGTCAGTCTCAAGCACATCCTCATGTGGTAGATAGTTTTACAAGCCACTGAACCATTGTAGAACCCATCGTTCATTAGGCCTAATCATTCTTTATAAAGTTTTTCTTGATCTCGTCCTACAATCCAAAAAATCTAGCCTGCCTGATCTCATCCTCGAATGCTAGGCACAACGAATACATTGACATAATGTAAGGACTACACCTCATATTGCTCATGTTATTTCAGTCTTTGAGGAAAAGCGAGAGTCGAGGTTGATTACCATTTTTCTTCCCCCTTGTCTCTATGCTCGTACTCGATGAGACTAGTGTGCTTGCATCTACAGTAGAAGCACGCGTTTCTTTTTTTTATTTCACTCAAAGCACGCGTTCATCTCAATTATGCTCACGTTGCTGATGTTTTGATAAAAGCGAAAACTATTATTTTTTCATATTCACAAATATAATACCAATTGCTTTCTCGTAAGATAGAGCCCCTGATATATCTTGACAGCTGCACGCCTTGTACATTCCACACACCGATACTTGTACTCAGGTTAGACAACAGGATGCCTCCAAGGAGACAGGGCGAGAGCAGTAGCTCAATCACAGAGGGTCTTCCCCTCAGCAATAAAAAGGAAGCAATGGCACAAATTCTGGATCGACTCGTGAGTCTCACAGACAAGAGGTACGCCTTGTGCCACAAAGGCAATGCTTCTTATATCAGCATATTAGTATACCAACTATAGCAATCTTTTTACTGATTTCTTCATTCCCTCCTACCTAATACGGCGCTGTCATAGTGGGCGGCTGATCGCGGATCTTTTCATGGAGCTGCCGGATCGGGAGGAATATCCAGACTACTATATGACAATAAAGAATCCAATAGCATTCGATGTCATTAGAGTAAGGTGTCATTCAGGATTCAACAATTTGAGATACTATAAGAAAAATGTCTAGCGGTTGTATTGAACTTCTTTATATCTTGATCTACATATAGGATCGCTTGGAGGCTGGAGCATATGACGTCGACAACATCACTCATTTTGCCAAAGATCTCAGGACATTGACCGCAAATGCCAAGGAGTATAATCGTAAAGGATCACCTATTCATAGGGATGCGATCACATTAGAGGTGCGTAAGCATTTAGATAATTCGTCTTATGTCTATCTCGCTGTATACTCAACGTCATAACCTATATTTCATATTCTCTTGCGCTATCCTGCTCTTGGAGTGAACGAAGAAAAATAACTATACTTCGCTACTATTCATACCTGAAAGTATTTATGCTTGTTACTACATTATTAATGCCTCGATTTGACCTCTGATAATGACTCTTTTTTTAAACCTTTTTAGAACCACATTGAAGCCGCTATGCAAGTCCTACTAGAGGATGGAAACCACCAGGAAGATCAAGAGAAGGTTGAACCAAATCTCCCTCTCCTCGTTGGAATATTATACATTAATTGGGACAGAGAAATTTACAACCGCTTTCCGTTTTGACATTGTTTTATATTTTATCTAGTTTTCAATCGATTTTTGTAACCGTGTATTGAAAACAATCAAGAACCACAAGGATGGGAGGTATTTATGATTGAATCTGTATCCCTCGGATGTCTTCTGAGCATAACTAATAATATTCTACATGGTAGACTAACTTTTTGTTCTATATTTTTCCTTTTCTAATAATCACATTTTATCATGCATATAGTGGCCGCTTGATGTCTGAACTGTTTTTAGAGTTGCCGAGCCATGAAGAGTATCCGGACTATTATGAAGAGGTATGTGTACAAGAGTTAACGTTAGATATAAAAGAAAGTACATTCATTTATATCTTCGCCTCATCTTTCTTTTGTATTTGTTACAGATTGCTCGTCCTATTGCACTGGATGGAATCAAGAAGAAGATCAACAGCGGTGCCTACAAGACCCTAGGAAGCTTTGAAGATGACTTTGAATTGATGTTTGAGAATGCAAAACAGTACAATGCTGAAGGATCGGATGTTTATTTGGATGCTGAAGAGCTGCAGGTACACTATAATGTATCAATTTACCGCATTAAGTCGTGGACTGTCAAAGCTGAACCTCATTGCTTTTTTTTTTTTTTTTTTTTTTTTTTTTTTTTAGCAATTATTCTGGAAGGAGATTGGTAAAGATGGGAAAGGTCATTCAAAGAACAAGCACGGAAGAAAGCATGCTAAGGAATTGACTCAAGTGGCACATAATGGTGTGAGTTATCATATTGGTAAGTGCGGCCAAGAAGCTCAGCTATACATGGAAGTTGCTTGACATAGGATTTATATCTCAAACGCTGTCTCCAACCATGCTGATAGGCGATTTTGTCCACCTTCGGAATGATCAGGATCTATCCAAACCAATCATTGCTCTTATCTTCAACCTCTGGGAAGACGAAAAGTAGGTTTTTTCAACATGCTAGCTGTAGTTATCTCTGTGCATCATAACGTTAGATTGTTAAACATACTATGGCTGTTGCACATGCATATACTTCCTAGTGGGAAGACTGGGCTGGATGCTACTTGGTTTCTGCGGCCTGAACAGACCGTCCACCCCTATTCTAGTCGATTCTATCCTTCTGAAGTCCTCAAAGCATCAGGATCACACGAGCATTTGGTAGATGAGATCCAAGAAAAGTGCTTCGTGCTTTATACAAGAGATTATATTCGTGGAAGACCAATTGAGTGGAAGCAGGGGCAGAGTATCTATCTATGTGAACAACGTTATAACGAAACTTACAAATCAGTTTCCAAGATCAAGAACTGGGCTAGCTGTCTACCTCCGGGTCACAAACCCAGTGATATGAAGTTAAACTTGTTTCCTGAGCCGCTTGTCCTCAAAAAGTTGCCCAGTGCGTCCATGGTAGACAGAGCAGGGAAGCATGATTCGAGCGAGGCTACATCGCGCTCCAGCACACCACAGGATATTTCATTAAGCTCCAGGTCTGCTTCGACTGGAGGTATCAAGCGTAATTCGCTTAATCAACATATAAGTTCTACTCAGAAAGCGCACCCAACGCAGCACACACCACCTCAGCAATGGGTTCGGTGTAACTACTCAAGCTTGAGCACTGGATTGCAATGCTCGGCGTAGGTTTATCACACACTTGAGTTAACTTGTCCGTTTATTGAAATGTGAATGATGCCTTATTGTAATAACCGATGTATGCTTTCATTATGTCAATACATATTGATATGTAGCGTATTTTCAACCCAAGCTGATCTTCAGCGACATGTGGCCACAGAGCATGCCATTATCCAGCATGTATCAGCGCCCCCAGCAATGAAGCGTGGGCGTCCCAGGAAAAATCCCCTTCCAGCAACAGCTGCAGCACCCACACCCGGAAACACCCAATCCAGTACACCGCAACAACCTGCGATGAACCAGACAGTAACATATCCACAACAAGCGTACAATCCTTACAACCCACCTGGACAATATGGTGCACCTCCGCGACCGGGCATGCAGGGTCAAATGATGCAGCCTGGTATGACTTATCAACAACAGCCCCAGATGCACCTTATCCAGCAGCAGCAGCAGCCACAGCAACAGCAACGGAATGCATCATATCATCAGCCTCCTCTCAGTCAGCCACTTCAGTCTGGACAGCCCCGATCTCAAACATATCCACAGGGAGGTGTTTATAGCCAGCCGTATCCACAACAACAGCCACCACATTCGCAGCATGCGCAGTATGCTCAGCAACAGCCATTCAATCAGTCTCAATTTTCACCAGGGTTCCCCTCACCAGGCTATCCTCAACAACAACCACAATATACGAGTCCTTTTACACCTCAGCAGCAACAGCAATTTATGATGCAGCAACAGTCGCAGCAACATCCGACTCAACAGGTTCAGCAACAGCCTTTTGGGCAGCCTTATCCCAATCAGTCGCCACATCTGCAACAACAGCTCGTACAGCAACAGCAGCTTGCTCAACAGCAACAACTTGCTCAGCAACAACACCTTGCTCAACAGCAACAGCTTGCTCAGCAGCAACAGTTAGTCCAACAACAACAACTGGCTCAACAACAACAATTGGCCCAACAACAACAGCTGGCTCAGCAACAGCAACTGGCTCAGCAACAGCAACTGGCCCAACAACAACAGCTCGCTCAGCAACAACAGCAGCAACAACAGCAGCAACAGCAAATAGCCCAACAGCAGATATTGGCAAAGCAGGTTATGCAACAGCAGCAACAACAACAACAGCAGCAGCAGCAGCAGCAACAACAACAACAACAACAGGCCTTGCAGCAACAACAAAAAAATATAGTACAATTACAGCAGCAGCAACAGTCCCCTATGCATTCTCCACCATTCCAGCAGCAACATATATCAACAACCTCCTCTCCACAGCAGCCTTCCAAGCCTCTACCTCAGCAACCACAGCCTCTACAGCAGCAGGCAGCCGTCCTTCTTCAGCAACAGCCATCATCCCAGCTGGGTTCGCCTGTGCCATTCAACAGCCATGCGAGGACTAATTCTATTGGCTCCCCTCACATGGCTGGATCAAGCGTACCAACTACTTCTGCAGCACCTCTTAGTACTACTCCATCAGAAGGTGGCGCGATATTAGGGCTAACTAGCATGAATGTCAACACCAATAACGCAGATCATGGACGACTATCACCAGCGCTCAAGGAAGGCGCTTCAACAACATTACCAACCAAAGCTACTGAATGCTTTGCACATAATGACAAGGGCCAAGTATTGTGGTTTGCGGGGCCACCGCTAGATGTTGTACCAGTACCCAAGCCTCATCATTCAATGGAGTACTTGACTAAGCGACAGAAGCTAATGAACAAGAAGATGCACGAAGTTGGCACGCTTAATAGCACTCTTACTGGTGTTACAAGATCAACGATGGATACGAGCAGCGATGAGGAGAATATTGGTAGAATGGATGCTATTGTAAATGTAGACGAGGTACTCCCGACTATTCTACAAGGCTTAGAAGGTAAAGTATAAAAGTAGAAAAGACTATGACCGCTTTCATGCCTTGCTAGACGAATGAGAACTAACATTTAACTTTTGATAAACCGTTCTAATAGTACTCAAAGATCAATTGAATCAAGATGCTCAAATCATTCAGAGTGCTTAGTCCTTGCTACTCTAGTCTTTTTTTTTTTTTTTTTTTTTTTTTTTTAATAACTGTATTGACCATAGTTCTTGATCTTATAATTATAAATTAACGTAATACTGATCAAGCTGATTAATAAAATGGGATCCATAACCTAAAGATATCGTTCGAATCGAAGGAGCGTAGAACTTCATGTCACATTTAATCTTATTAATTTTATTGTTTAGTTTTGATGGTAACTTGCAATGTACCAATATTTGTTAGACAATATATATAAAAAATAGAAACCTTTGAGGTGAAAGCGACGGGCAAGGGGAGGATGTGGGAGACGAAAGAGATTAATCGAATTGCCAGGTTAGACGCGGTGGAATAGAGCGGAGGACCTTGGATTTTTTTTTTTTTTTTTTTTTTTTTTTTTTTTCCAAATGGCATACTTCAATCCTCAATATGAAAAGACTGCTTTGTGAAGTACGTCGCCGGATCGGAAAGAAAAAAAAAAAAAAAAAAAAAAAAAAAAGAAAATGATGGGATAGAAAATGAAAAATAGAAAAAAAAGGAGAATAAAGCTGCGGTAGATGAGGTATAGAAAGAACGAGAGAGGAATGATGAATTAAAACAGAATGTAATTTCAAAAGATATGAAACATCGATTTGTATCTTTGAAAAATAAATCTGCCAATTAATCTCGATCTCGATCTCGATCTCGTTTTCGAGTGAACCCCGTCAATCCAGAAGTTCGAAAATAAAAAAATAAAAAGAACATTTGGATTTATCGAGTCAGGCCAATGGCACTGCTCGAGTTGTTGTTGCTCCTGTTGATTCCAAGACCGGAGATCCGAATACTCTGCAAGTCTGAGATTGAGGCATCCAAGGATGGTCGCCCAATGCTTTCCTCGTAGCTTGGAGGGGTGCGGCTCCCACGATAGCCCATAATCGCCATGAATGCGTCATCGTTTTCATAGTCACCATAAATGGGGCCAGACGCTCCTGTTCCATCAAAAGGAGCTGGATCACTGCCATCAAACTCGTGATATATGCCTAATGCCGGGGATAGGCCTGTAGCCTCAAGCTCATAGTCCTGAGCCTCCTCATACGAGACTCTTGAGGTTGAAAACGAGTGCAAGTACGTGGGCAAGCCCGTTCTGTCACATTCTGGGCCTGCTGGCAATCCATGGATAATAACAGGGACGTCCCCAACTGTGCGCTCCACCGGTGTTGTCACAGTCTTGCCTTTGGCATCAATCGATCCTGTCACAAAAACCGAGTATCGGATAAAATGCTGGATCTCGATGCGAACCTCTCCAAACTCAGAGTCTTTGATGCCGTGTTCCTCCTTTAATCGACGCTGCCTCCTGAGCCTCGAAACGCTCGTATATGTAGAGGCATTGCAAGCTCGGGACGAATATAATTCGTTATGGGAGCGAACGGCATTTGGTATAGAGAATAGAACCACCTTCTCGAACGTGTGAGGAACTTGACCCGTGATGACATCGTTTACCCATCCGGCATCACAACGCTGAGCACTCACAACGCGTTCTCGAACCCCAATAATATACTCCTTGCTCTTCGCTGGCGCGCCCGCCTTCTGGACTCGGAAGATAGCTCGCTCATAGAGCGCCGCCTGGAAAGATTTGATGGCTAAATTCTCACGTAAGACTCGAACGCGCAGACGTAAGTCCGGTTTGGACTTGGAGGGTAACTGAGTGAAAGGGATAGTGACGGTGGTTTCAAGTTGACCTGGCCAAATATGATTGACGGTTGCAGGCAAAATGTCGTTTTCGTCAACAGGATCACGCTGCTGGAGCTGAGTTTCACCGTGCTCACGAATAGGCTGCACTTCATCAGTTTCGTCCTCATCAATATCATTATCAACGTCGTCTCCACTCTCAGCAGCAATTCCAGAGGTTCCAGCCTCCATTAATAGGCATCGCGACCGAGATTCGCGATAGACTTGGACTACGGTTGACGTTGTCAGAGTTGAACCCGAGGACAGGAACGACATGATTCCAGCGCTCTTCGCCAAGGTGAGCACGGCGGTTAAACGGTAAATAGTGCCGCCCTGAGGAGTAGTGACAGAAGAAGGCAAATGATTGGGGATGTTGATCGAGAACGGGAAAATGATAGTGTCCTTATTGAGAAGCGTGAACTGATCCGAGTTGGGCCGGGGCTCGATCAGAAATTGTTGGGAGCGAATGTGGTGACGCGAGTAATGGGAACGTTTGCCAGAACCCAAGAACGCAATGTGGGTGGAACCATTCAAGCAAATGGCGAGGGAGCTAACTTTGGTAGGTTTAGAGAGCGTCAGGATGAGCTTGCCTTGAAGTTGTGTGGTTCCAGGTGGGACAACAACAGTAGCATTCGTAGGGGTCTGCTGCTGCTCCACTTCTAGTGAAGAGCGAACAGAAGTTGCTGAGGAGGGTAGAGTCGACGCGATGGATTCAGCAAAGGAGAGAGTGCGTTCAGGCGAAGTCATGACCATGGAAGATGAATCAAGCGAGTTGATAATGGTGCTATCGGCTCCCAAAGGCAAAGTTGAGCGAGCCACCTGAGCAGCTGAAGTGTAAGGGAGGGTAATATAGTTGCCCTCGAGTTCAATCTTCATGGTGGCAGTCATGTTAACTAATTGTTGTTATTGTGTGCAAGCTGTATTGGAGAGAGGATGTTTACTTGATGTGGATGGTTGACGAATGAAATAAGTACTCTTTTTTTTGTAATTTGCAATGTCCTCTTTTATTCCTTTTGCTTTCTTTCTTTCTTTTCTTTCTGGATATTGGCAAGGGTGGCGAAATGCCGCCCTTTTTATATCCAAGCGCAGCTATTGCGATGCGGAGAAAAAATCGATTTACGTGATATAAGGATTGGATGCAGTTGAATACGATAAATGAATAGGATAACATATACATCAGGGTGTACAACCTTTTTTTTTTTCTGTCTTGTGCATGCAATTGAAATGGATAGATGGAGAAGCTGCAGCTAAAAGAGGAAAGTTACGGAGAGGAAGAAGGTTTTCGAGTCATCAGCCTTACCTCCCCCTTTTCATACGCTGTAATGAATAAGAAGGTGTGATGAGATTGATGTGCTCTGTGACCGATTTTCTTTTTGACTTGGCTATGAACTCAAATTCTATCTTTTTGATGTATATATTTGGTTTATTAAATAAATATCATTGAATTGTAGATGGGGGTTTTTTTTAATGTAAATAAACAATCGCAGCTGAATTGTAAGCAGCTCGGCGTTGTTTTATTTATTTGTTGATATTCAAACATTTGCACTGATGCGCGCTGCGTGTTTGGTCAAGTCCAATCAGGCCAGTCAAAAAAGGAAGGAAGGAGAATTTAAAGACGGTATGCAAACCGTGTCATTTCACATTGTTTTCCAAAGGATTGGATTTCTAAGCAAAGCAAAAGACAAGTTTTTTTCAGCTTAGTCTCTGGCTACATGCTATTTGTACACATCACTATTATACTGTTCACTCCCATTCATCTATTCCTTGAATGCTATAGCTATAGATATATATGTATATATATACATTTATATACATTTATATACATTTAACAATATCTAGCATTATATCTATTTTATATTTACATAATGCTTCCGTATAGTAGGCAATGGATGCTTCTAGCTCCCCCAGTGTCACGCTGCGTAACAGAATTAAAATAGCTAAAAGCGATTTGCCTTTACGACTACGCCGCATCGTTTGTCAATCGTTTCTGTGCAATGATAATGGGGTCTTTTGTACTCTAATAAGTGATCGGATCGCGTTGAATGCTACTTTTGTGTGTTACAACATAGGTGATTCATTCTTTTATCGAAGAAGGTAGAACAGACAGGATCAATTTAACAGTTTAATTAATACAACATATCATTTAACGCTCCTCCTGTCCGAAATCGTTTTTCAATAACTCATTATCGACTACATTCAATGTAGAGCCTAGTCTCTGGATCCTGGTCCCTAAATCTCATGGCAGGCTTCTTTCTTTTTGTACTTCATCAGGCAAATGAAGTATCACTGCTTGTCAGTCTTTTTTTTTTTTTTTGTTTTCTTTGCTTATCGAGTCTGAGCGTCAAGTCAGTCAAGGCTTTTGATTTTTAAGCAATGATCCCATTGATGACACCAGCTTTGTTCTATCATATATAATTTCATTATTGATTATTTTAATGAGCAGAATTAAAATGCAAGACTTTAGACTTATTTAAGTTGCTCTGCCTGAAACTCCTCTTCCATTCTAGGAATCCATCATCTGTTGCTAGCTCAGCTAATGTGATGTTTGACCATGGTCATTTACGCCCAACGAAAGAGCGAGTAAGTTTTGCAATTGTATATATTATTTTTATATTTATACAGAATCTTTGCCAAAGGGTGTCATGGTGCAGAAATATTTTTTATTTTCTAACAGGCGCCGACTGTTTACTAATCAAAATATTTAGACTTGAACCACTCATTGCGAATACGTGATCTCCAAAAAAGACTCTTTAAAGGAACCCTCTATACATTGTCTCTGTTCAGAAGATCTTTCATAATGTATAAGGGATAGAAGCGAAATGTAATCCGACTTCAAAACGCTTTATTGTGTATGAGAATTACCTTAGACACGTTAAAGATGTGTGTTGTTCCCATCGTCTTTGGTTCGATGCATTACATGTACCATTTATTACTGTGATTAAATGTAAAAAAAAAAAAAAAAAAAAAAAAAAAAAAGATATTAACTGGTTAGATTTATTGGCCCTCCATGTGGAGTACCGTTTTCTTGAGCATGTGTTTAAACATGTACATTTATTGTTTAGACAGCACTCGATCGTGCTCTCTGCATCTTTTAACAGAAGATGCGTAGTTTTACCTTTATTTGTCTCATGCCCTTTTCTTTTCTCTTATTGCCCCATGCTTTCTATAACAAATGCATACCATACATGTATACCATTCCTGTGTAGTCATAGTCTGTTCAAATCTAGACATAGCTCAGCCATGTAAGTAAACTCTGGGCAAGAGTAAAAAATAAAGAGCATTGAATGCAATTAGAGCAAGATCGGTATTAGAAAAAAAAAGGCCAAATGAGATTTCCCTTAATCAGCCAGCATGTTCACAAGCCAATGGACTGCGGCAGCTCTTTTCTTTTTTATTTTTATTTTATTTTTTGACGCCTTGGATGTCAACATCCATGGAAACATTTCTTACTCTCGAGTGTGTCATAAATATTGCCCTACGCATCAAGTTGTGTTTATGTCCCTGAAAAAAATAAAAAGCCGATCTGTGTTCACTTGACACATTTTTTATCATCATGCTGCGCTGTTTGTGTTCCCATCCACTTCTGATTTTTGTATGCCGGAAACATGTGCATCGTGGCATGGTGTGTGGCGCTCTTTTTTTTTTTTTTTTTTTTTAATTCTGCTTAATTGGCTTGACTTCCAATCCAGATTTACCAAAAGCGCTGAGCAGCCAAATTATACATTTTTTTTTTTTTTTTTTTTTTTTTGCATACAAGTAAAGCAGTCATGATAAAAAATAGAAAATAATAAAAAGACCAAGAGTATCATTGATGGAACAAAGCAGTTTAAAGGCCTCAAGCCTTTCATTACAAAAACGAGTAATGAATTTTAATGCAAAGACGGAAACTTCGGAAATTTTTATAATCTGGAAATCTTTTTGCCGACAATTGCATATAGTCCAACAAAACTTGTGTAAAAAAAAAATAAAAATAAAAAAATAAAAAAAAACTTGCCACGCTTTGCCAGCACATTCTATTGGGAGTCAAGTTGCTTCCATGACAATTTTAGACATCGCTGAGTCAGTATCACATATTTCAGTCATCCAAGGGCCACAACACCTCATCAGGTCTGTGGTCCATTGGTCTGATGTTTATATACAATAGTTTTCCTTTTGTTCCTCTATTCATCCATGTCTTTCACGGCTATCCAAAAAAATTCGATGAACAGAACTACCTTGGTGATGCTTGCTTTATTTTATAGTTCATAATGAAATTTAATCTACATCTGCTGACTTTGCTTCACAGCTTCTGCACTCTCCCTACACTGCCCTAAAACATCACGTCTTCTATATTAATGACCACCTGAGACACCACCTCCCGAGGTCTCTTCAGCCTCTTTCTGTTCTTCTGTTAATCCATCTTCTTCACCATGATGTTCAGCTTCATGGTGTGCTGACCTGGCATCATCCACATCTCCCTCATAATTCTCTAGGCGCATGTCGTTCAGCCCTAATGCCTCGTTTTGTTCAAATGTACGTTCGTATTCCTCAATAGTCATAGCAGGGTCTGGCTCAGGGGCGTACAGGTTTTGAAGATATGAATTGCCAAGAGGATCATCAAGAATCAGAGTGCTTTTAATCTCAAGTGACATGACCTGCTCAAGTTTGTCCAAGAACTTTGTAAATACACGACGACGGTCAGGTTGATTTTCCGATTCTGCAGGTACCTTGCTTGATAGTTCTTCATGAACCTGTCTCAATAGACCTTCCACTGTGGTGAAGCGGCCGCCTAGAGTACCAGATTTTAGCTCCAGGTCGATTTCAGGAATGGACAATCCACAAGTTTCGGACTAGAATATTTTGGCAGTTAGCTTTGATACTCTCCAAATAGATTTCTTAAAAAAAAAAAAAAAAAAAAAAACTCACTTTGAGAATGTCACGGCTCATATCTTCAGTATCCTCGATTTTAAGTATGATACGCTTCCCATTTTTGCTGACAGGGCCCCCTGCCTTGACTTCGTTGCTCTTATATCCGCAGTGATCGCAAGTAGTCGACATGATAATGACTTCTTTAAAATGTGGAATGTCCAATATATGCATTTTTGTATCACTAGGTGCGTTGCAGGAGGAGCAGTTGGCTGGGAAAGAAAGAACATCAGGAAGCTCTTCCTCATCTTCAGAGAGATTAGGATCCTTGCCTTCAACAATAGCAGCTTGACTCTTTGCCTCACGTTCTTTCTGTAGGTCAGTCTCCGTTAGTCCCGCTTCCCATAGCTGTCTCTGAGCATGCTCGATCTGCTGATCTTTAGTCATGGGCACAGGGACAGCCTCCTCAGTCTCCTCAGTCTCTTTAATCTTCTCGTTTTCGTCTTCATCTTCAGGCACAGAAAGTCCCATGGCACGTTCCTGAGCGCGTGTACGCATATACACAGAGAGATCCAGTTTTGAATCGAGTTTTGGGGCGTCTAATGATTCAATATAAGAGTTCCCAGCTGGATCATCCAGAATAATGGTGAATGGAAATTTGTTCTCGGCACAGTCCTGAAGCTTCTTGATAATGCCGTCGATCTGGTGATATAGAGCTTCATCCATATGCTAATATGTATTGTGTATATACATGCATGTGTTTTGCTTTTTAGTCGCCATGTAACTGGATTAAAAAGTAAAATAACAATACCTTGACTGCGGTTCTTCAGTGCATGGGATACTGTGAATGAGCCAATGATTTTCACTTTAATAACAACAGAGAACGTACCCTGCGCACAGGTTGGTCACTTCCCAGGTCGTCTATAGCTGTTTGCAGAATACCTTCGATCGTCGTTAGGTGTCCCCGTTGGGCAGGGATTTCAAAATCAATTTCGGGAATTTTGACAACTGCGGTATTAGTCTTGACGAGCTGGCGGTTGAGGTCTGCTTTGGTAGTGACCTTGCAGGTGTAGATAGCGCCTCCAACAGCGACCGCATTTGCCTGCTGCAGCTCATTAGTTCTGTAGCCACAATGTGGGCAATCAAATGCCATGATGATTACCTCGCGGAAGTGAGGCACTCTAGTTAACAGTAAACGAGTTGTTCCCTACAATGTATCCAATTGCCATGTGTCACCGTTAAACATTATGCTCTCAATATTATCTTACAAATTCACACCAGGATACAAGCAGGAAATAGGATATAATGATGACACTAACACTCTCATGGCAGTTCATGCACAGTGACTCGATCTCGGTGACTCGTTGGTCACCATCAATATCTTGGAAAAGAGGTCCATCCGTAGGTGTATCCTGAGCTTGGTGGGACTTGTCAAATAAAGCGGTGTTGGCAAGAGATGCTGAGAGGCCGAGATCGTTGTTTTTGCTTTCTTCAGACATGGCGGGGTGTTGAATGTCGGAAAGAATGTTGATGTAGATTTTTGAATGCAAGAAGTGAAACTTTTTTTTTTTCCCTTCTTTTTTATGCAAGCATGAATATTTGTAATAGAGAGCTTCCAAAGAGTTCGTTTTGGATGTAGAAACTCATTAATCTACTATGGCTAAGCCACTGGTTATTCCAAATAAGAATTAGAAAATTTTTTTTGTTCATTTCGACACTCTCTCTTCTTTCCTTTCTTTCTTTCTTTCTTTTTTTTTCTTTTTTACGACACACATGGATCAGCTATTTATTTAAGGTATATTCATATAAAACGTTTACAGAAGCGACATTTATAACACGTTTGCAGTCACGACGATTACATTACATCCGCACCCACGAAGGCCAAGCTTTCTCTGCTGGCATTTGTTTTTTCGATCGGATAAGATTAAACTTGTCTCCTTGTGAGAGAAGGGGTTTTAGGACACCCGGTTCCTTCAAACAACTATCTGGAGTGAGGCCCGCTTTCTTCGGAAGGAGAGGGACTCAGGTCTGCAGCTTTGTTGTGCCAAGGATCCACATCATTTTTTTACCCTTTAATATCTTCATAGTATAGCGTAAACATTGAAGACTAACTTTATGTTTCTTATATAATATTCAGAATAGGAACCCATTGCATATCAATCCGCCGGTGTAATAGTTAACTGAAAGAGGTGAAAAGAAAGCAGCATCATTATACTCATGAATTTTTTTAGGCTTAGTTTAATAAAGAGATACATTTTATTGAATCATGATCCGACTTATTGCCATAGTTTAAATGGAAAATTGAGAAAGATGTAGTGCTAAGATAGCCTACACTTTTGAATGCAAAAGAATGAGTTTCTCGCTGTGTAGCGTGCTGTCTGTTGGACACGCAAAATAATCAGTTTTTGACTCCACAAGTCCACATGGCCTGATGGCAAATCATCGGCGCCCATATATCTAATAAACGATTGAAGGCGTTTCGGCCCCTACATCTTCCTATATAGCCTTCACTGACGAGGTTTGTTACGGAACGTGCGCTGGCAATTTGCGAATGAAATTCCAGAGGATGATCATTGCCTACCAAGAATATTATTGGTTCTGAGAGATACGAGTATCTTGTTGATATCATGGGCCGCTTTCTTTGTGGCATCTTGGTACCTGAGTAAGGGACGCCAAACAAGTGGATGTTGGCAGATTCTGATCCCAGGTTGATCCGTTTGCCTTTCGTATCTTTTTGGAATGCAAACTATTGATCTCTTGGAAAAGATCTATAGGTATTCAGGGATTTGCCTGGTCTGTAGTGTTTACTAGCCAAGAAGACATGACAGCATGACTTGTCTGCTCGGTCCAGGAGTATTTGAGGCCACAATGAAGATGCAGGAGCTCGTATGCGTAATTCTTTGCCCTCCAGCTTGACAGATGGCAGTAATCCACACTAGAGCCTCCCTAATGCGTCCAACATCCCCAGCCTTGATGGCAGAAGAAAACTCTATGTAGATTAACATACCTCTTATAAATAGAACAGCATTATCAGACACAGTTCTGTACGCCGGAGTTGGTTGGTTGGTTTTATCTAAGAATCTGTCCAGAAACTTGTTCAGACCCTGTTCATTTAGCTCTTGCAGCACATCTACAGGAAAAACGTAGAGCTTTCATCTAGGTCTTCACATTCCTGGGCAAGCTCCCATATGCGAATTATCATTGCATCGAACGTGTGAAGGAGAAGCTCATTTACTACATGAAAATCAAACCGATCAGGACTGACACGCTTTTATTGCAGAAGTTCGTAGTTATCTTTCCGTCTTTAAGGCGGATTTTCCACCTGAGCGCGGCCCACCACCCTATCTCTTCCGATGTACTAGCTGCCCTATGTGGATTGTGACCTCATCTAGAAGATATTCTAGATCCAATTCGCTCTTGATTAGGGTGTCTTTCAAAGCCTCGAGGCCATGAGACATCAATGATGAAGAGAAATTGCGGAGTGAAATTGCTTGTTCGGTTTCAGGCATAATGCGCCCGAAAAACCAATTGCCCTCAAGAGCCTTGGTAAAATTGATCCGCGAGAGCGCCAGGCTACGGTCGTTGGTAATAGAATAGTGCATTTTTTTTAGCGTCACTTCATAATATGTATACAACAGCATGTCAAGGAAGCAGAAAGGGGGAGGAGAAAAGAAAACACTACGCCTGCTTGAGCTCGAACTGTTACACCCTTTTTTTCGAGAAAATATTGAGCATACTTAGATAAGCTCATCATGTTCTCCGAGCAACCAATAGGCAGTGGTGGCAAGGGATCTAGCTTTACGTCGTGAGCCTAAAATACAATGAAATCCAATGTTAGAGTATATACTCTCTTCGTGTTTTCTCTCTTCTCACTCCTTAAGAGAGATGGAGAAGAATATAGTGAAAACCGTACTGCGACAGGTTATACTCAGACTGCTCCTTTCTTTAGAACGTTGTTTTCGATACACTTGTGTACTTTTAATTGGTTAGATATACGTACGTTTATGGATTACTTTTTTTTTTTTTTTTTTTTTTGGTTTTCACTTCCGAATAGAGATTATAAACGCCAGCCTAGTCTTCGCATTATATTGTGCTATATCATGCTACTTTATATATTCAAAGTTAATGTTAAAAAAAAAAGGCGCAAAAGCTTCCCGAGAAATGGCATGTACTATATCTTAGAAGAGAGGATTAGGTATAACCTTCCGCAGTATGATGGTCTTCTCTATCCCTTGTTAGGACTGGAGAGAGAGAAAAGATGAAGAGGATGAAGAGGATGATCTCTTTTGTTAACAAATATTTAAGTCTGAGAGAATGTGGATCATGCTTAGGTTGTTCGTGAACATGCTATTGTTAAAAATTCCACCTCCATCTATGTGGGTTTTCTCTTTTTTTTATTCTCTCTTCAAATGATTTATTTTAGAACGTAAAATAAAGACACTTGACATATTCATCACTTTGTTTTCGCATGTGAGGTTTTCCATGAGCGCTTTCAAAAACCACTCTTCGCACATCTCTGCACTCTTCGCGAGTATTTTCGAAAATGAATATAAAAAATCGATTCCTTCTTCCTTTTCTCGTCAGCCTTGACCAAGATAAAAGTAAGCAACATTCCCTAAACATCCACCTCTACTGAAGTCCTCAGCTCTCTTCCGCGAAGCTCTCAACGTTCTTGAGTTGAGTTTTTTTTCTTCTTTCCCTTTCTCTCTCTTTCTTTCCATGTCACTGTTAGGTAGCAAACAACATGAATCCTTCCTAAACCGAGCGGAGTGTGGCGGTTTAGGCTAGCTCTATGGACAAATGGTGCCTCTATAAACAAATAGTGCCAACTCCTTACTTAACGCTTCCTTGCTCAAGTACCCAGAATATCCCGCGCAAACAGCCAGGCAGTCGCCTTCTCACTTGAATAGCCACGCTGCCGCGCACCTCACTCAAATAGACAGAATCACTTCCTCACAAACCCAAGGCACGGTGTTCGGACCACCTTCATGGTGTGCTCTAGAAGGTCGATGTTTCCAACTGAAGAATGAATCCAAAGGAAACTGAGTGACCTAACACGGCAAAACACATGCCTCAAACTACAAAAAAATAAAAAATAAAAACCCAAAGAATCAAACGATCTTTACAGAATAATAATAATAACAATAATAATAATAAAAAAACACGAACTAATAAACAATGAGGCTTTTGTACGCGAACAAATGCTAACAGAAGTGAGACACCATCTAATATGGTAACGATACATTCCTAAGACCACAATGAGCATACACCGGAACTGGTTCTTGGATGAATATTGTGAATATAGGCCCTCTTTGATTGGGTGGTTGAGGGTGAGGGAATGGATTAGTGCGTTAATGGATGTGTGTGCGCGGGCGTTAGCGAAGCCGTGGGCCTGACCTAATGGAATACAGTTTGGCCACACCGCCTTTACGTGGTATGCTCCGGGCAATATCCTGGGAGAATGTTTTTCATAGTAAAGAAAAAGCACCTCCTAAAATAGTAAAGGGTTTGGCCTATTGTAGCTTAGGATGAAGCCAGGTGAGCTCGATAACTAAATTGCAAACTATTCCTCAGTAATATTAAAAATAAAAAATAAAAAAAGTTGTGCTTTGTGCACTTTGGATTCAAACGCTTTCGTTGCGTTATGTTCGTGCTGACGTATTGAAGGCAGCCTAAGATTTGGAATAATGACAAGAAGACAAGAGGACGAGCCTGTTAAGGGACAACCACTTTTCTGATTGCGACGCTAATGGGAATCAACTTCCATGCACCATGCTATCACATGTCCGTCCCATATCTGGTTATTACATATTATCATCTCTATTTCTCCAATTACCGCCCTTATAGCGTATGCTCTTCTGAAGCCTCCATCACCATCACAATAATCCAAAAAAAAAAAAAAAAAAAAAGCGCAGCTTTGAAAATTCCATCTGATGACACTTTGTAAAATTTCGAGTTTGGCATATACCTAAAATGCGATGCACGACCATCCACTTAGAACCTACGCTTTCACAACATGGATAGCGTTTTTATGGTAAAAAGTTAGATCTAAATTTTTTGACTTCAACCATGACTGTCTGAACCCCTACTGGTTGATGAGACCATCCTCGTGTACTAATGACAGCGTTTGTACTAGATGATGAGCCTGAGGCGCCTAGCTCCCGCAGCTTCTCGTCGAGTAGACTATGGAAGCGAGTATAATATACAAGCAACTGAGCCAGGACTTGATGCAAGACCAGTGTACCATTCTTGAAACTTGAGAAATGCTGGATGACACTTGTATTGATAGCGAGGAGTGATTGACGCCAGGAGTTACTGAATGAGTATGAGGTCCGCTCAAAGTGATCTGTGCGTTACGATGGGAAGATTAGAACAAATTTCATTGTGATAGCTCTTTTTTTTTTTTTTTTTTTTTTTTTTTTTGCTTTACAGATTTTACAGCTTACCAAGTTGAACTTTGGAAACACCACCAGCTATGTCAACCATGCGGATGAAGGAGATTAAGTCGCCAAAATAGGGCTTTAGCTCTTCCTCCACAAAAAGTGCAACTGTTTGCTGCAAAGCTTGCCTCCAGTGCTCGTTTTCAACCTCGACTTCATTCGTACGGACATCCTAAAATAGACAATGCAGTTCACAGAGATCATATTTAGTTTCTTTTTAAACCCTATGATTCATCCATTCATTCCCAATCTCAATTTGCTTGACTTACTGCTAGGAGTGTAAGCACTAGATCAAATGTGTTAATTAAAAATACAAGACGGCTTTTGGTATCTGTGAAAGTTTTTGACATAATATCAAACAAGGAGCTCATTTCCAATCTTAACAACGCTAGTCTGTTTACATAAAAGTTGATAAGTGCTTGTGATAAGTCCAAGTTGTATCAATTCTACACTGCATGCATTTGAGGAGGTTGTTTGTTGCCTACCTTGGCATCACATCCGTTTGTTCATCGTTCAGCAGCAGGAGTGAGCCCACAAACTCTCCATATCTCCGTGCAATCTACATAGTAAAAGCTAAACAAGTGAGCTCGCTTTCTTATGAAGCTATTATCTCTTAAGAAACTTTAAGAGTAAAATTCTCATTTTAACGTACCCAATGCGGATGTACATTCTTGGGCTTAACTCTAGTCTTTGCTTTGCGTACACTGTCGATGTGCATATCAATTACGGTTTGAAAACGCGGCCACAATATCATATGAATTGCATCACCGTACTTGTCGAGCATTGGGATCTTCCTCCTTTCTAACTCCTTGGCAAGCTGACGGTTAATTCTCAAGCAGAGTAAAATGCCGAGTGCATCGTAGCTGGAGTCCGCGTATTCTTTTATATTTGCCTATTAAGGATATTTCCCGTTTAGCATAAAGAAACTCGTTCATTCAGGCCTTTCAAGTCGACTATCTAGAAACTGAGACATTAAGAGCAAATGCACTTACGAGCCCTAGTTTTAAAGTCGGATCAAAGATATGTGTAAACACTGCTTTAATGCCCTCGATGTCTGCTTGCGATCTTTTAGAGAAGTATTCAACTAAGAAGAGATACTCCGAACTAGCATTGTCTATGAGCGCCAAGTTGAAACTACGGAATAATACTTCATAGGGATATTTCTAAAACAAGAATATGACCGTTTAATATAACATACGTATTTTCAAGATCGAACAAACGTTCTCTTTCTATTCATACCAAATTCTCCTCGTTAGCAACATGAATCAAAATCAATCCTGCATCCTGGTTCTTAAGAGTATCGATACGTGAGCCCATTGCAAACACATTCGTCTTCCGATGGGGAGCCTTTGATGTGCCGAAAAGACCTATAGCATATTTGAAACGTTTGAGTTAAGGACAGAGCGTGACTTGTAGCAGCACATTTCTTCGACTCAAGGTGGCACTCTCTACCTTTGCGTGCGCTTTCATCTGTGCAAATCATTTCGTATTTATCACCAACTATGCACTTTTTTTTTTTTTTTTTTTTTTTTTTTAAAGAGAGAGAAAATAGATAGTCAAAAAAAAGAAAAGAAAATAAGACATACAATTATGTAGTATGGCTACTTAAGCACAGCCTTCAAGTATTTTTTTTTTTTTTTTTTTTTTTTTTTAATTATTAGTGAACTCTAAACACACACTGACACTGTACCTGAAGTTTTTCGAGGCTTGAGGCATAAGTCTCAAACTGGTTTGAAAAATACCAGCGCAATGTATTGGCATAAGTCTGTCTGATTTCTGCTGCTACTTCACTGTGTCGTTCCATAACAAACTGATTTAATTCTTTATACTTGAGAAGAACAGAGTGTTGCATAATCTGTACATTGGTGTTGGGGACCCTAAATGATTTAATCTTTGACAACAGAAATTCTCGAATCTTTTCAACTGTCTATGTTTTTTTTTTTTTTTTTTTTTTTTTAAAAAAAAAAGAAAAAAACTGAGTACTCAATTTATGAGAAATGTCAACTCATCATTCAATTAGTTATAGTTGATAGTATCGAACCTTAAAGCGCAATCTTTCTAGCTCTGGGCCGACCTCTTTTAAAGCTCTGATGTGTCGCCCTTGTCTTGCTTTGGCATGTCGCATCTTACTATCAAGTTCAGATAGGGCGCTCAACCAGGTTTCATCCACCTCGCCATCGTAGATCTTCCGGATTAACTGAGGCGTGACCATTATGCCCTCTAGCAACTCGTTGAGATGATTTTCGACTGCCATCCTATTCTTGAGCTGTACGCTCATAGTTACTGACTTGGTCTGTAGAGTCTGAATTTCAGTGGAGATATTTCCTAGGTCTGTTTGAAAAATACTGAGCAGATTCTCCATGGTTTCTAGGATCTCATCACACGATTTGATCTGATCGTGCAAATCAACGAATGCTTGACTCTGGTGGATATCTATAAGAATGTTATCGAAGCCAAATTTCATGTATCAGCTAGATATTAGAGCAGTCCTAACGCAAAGCCTTGTGTAAGGTGTTTACATCGATCATTTTTCGAGCATTCCTTTGCTTACAATCATCTTCGTGATCCTGGCCTACAATATCCAGCTCACTTTCAATATGATGTGCATATTCTCGAAGGTCCATGCCCTAAAGCAGTGCAATTAAAGACAGGTTCTAAGCTTCCACCGCCAATATGATTTGCTCGGCACTCTATTTTCCTTGACTATCATGATACCTTTGCTAGCGCCTGCTTTACAAACTCATCGTCCTGAAACTCTGATATCCGGTCTAAAACAAAAGATATTAAGGAGGGTAATTAAAGCTTTCAATAACGTAAGTATGTGCAACCCATTGGTCTTATTAGACTTACCTCCAACTTGCTCAAAAGCAAGATCGTCTTGTAGGAGGAGAGGTGATACAGAGGGTTCCAGCTCTGGTTTTGATAAGAGTGGGTTCGTGAAATAATTCTGTAGAAACGAAAATGCCGAATAAGAGTGTCTATTTGGGTTCGAAATGGTATTCATAGCAGCATTATGGCGTGTAAAAATATTCGCTTACAGGATCTCGCGTTGTATCTTGGTCATGGTCAAGTTCATCGAGCAACTCATTTAGAAACTTGAGTCCTGTAAGTGACTGACGCTTTTGTGAATTGCGTCGAACTGGAATAGGTTCCTGGACGGAGGTTGCCTGGTCATCGAGCGTACCCATAGTGTTGATAGAAAGTCCTGAAGGGTTCATCCTTGAATGATGATTAGGAAAGTAGGAATGGCGTGTCCTTTGTCAAGAAGTTTTTTATCATATTCCTCGTTCGTGGCTTTGGTTTCGCTGGCAAGAGCCAGTAGAGCATTTCGGTCCTTTTGAGCAACGCCCAAATCTGAAAGCGTCCATCGTTCTTTACCCGCATCTGTCCATTGCATCGTTTACATAGTCCATCGGCCTCTTTATTGTTATTATCCTTAATAATTCTTTTCCATCTATTAAATCGTCAATTCATTTTGTTATCATCATTCCGAATTCAACTACCATCATCATCATCATCACCATTATCGCTTTGTTTGCCATACCATGTCTGACGCTAAGTTTTTCCAGCGAGGTACACAAAAAAAAATGTCATAGCTTCATCTCTTAATGTTCTTAAGAATATTCCTGAGCTCATGACTTGTTCATAAACCCGTAGGCAAGATTCAGGAGCTGCGCCAGGAACTTAATTCCGATAAAAAGGATAGAAATTATACTCGCAAGAAGGCAACTCTGAAAAAGATTGTGGCGAACATGACCATGGGCAACGACATGTCTTCACTCTACCCTGATGTAATTGCTTGTATGGCCATTCCTGTTCTCGAAGTGAAAAAGATGGTTTACCTCTTCTTGATTAATTATGCCAAAGGAAAACCCGAGATGGCCCTTGATGCCATTAACACTTTTCGTCGGGTAACTGTTTGTCTACATACTTTTACCTGCCAGAAAAAGTTTATAAAACCTGCTTCACACTAACATCATTGATCATCTCGAAACTTGCTGCAGGATGTGGAAGATGCCAATCCATTAATAAGAGCCTTAGCTATCCGTACCATGGGCTATATCCATGTTGACAAGGTCACTGCTTGTCTGATTCAACCCCTTCGTCATTGTATGCGTGATCAAGATCCATATGTTCGGAAAACCGCTGCAGTGTGCGTTGCAAAACTTTTTATGCAGGATCGCCACCTTGTAGAGAACGCCGGATTTATCGATCTCTTGCGTGATATGCTTGTTGACTCGAACCCTTCGGTATGTTGCGTAAAAGTGAGGAGTACAACGTAGCCTGGATATATCGTTGAATTTAACGCATTCAACCATTTGCCTCGTTAGGTCGTAGCTAATGCAGTTGCAGCACTAACAGAAATCTCAGAGAGATCAGATCACATCCAACTGAAGCTCAATATGTCGATTGCAAGCAAGTTAGTAACAGCCTTGAACGAATGCTCTGAGTAAGTACTCCAAAAGTGCGAGTGAGCCCAATGATTTCTGTGATATTTTTATCGACTTGGACCAAAATCACTTATCCTCGTATTAATTGGTTTTTTAAATAGGTGGGGACAGACTTATATTTTAGAATCTCTCATGTTTGTGGTACCTCAGGAACCTGGGGATGCTGAGATGCTAGCTGAGCGTATTGCTCCTCGTCTTCAGCACGCTAACTCAGCGGTTGTCTTGACTGCTGTCAAAGTTATTGTGTACCTTATGAATTACATGGCAAAAGACGACGATATCTCCAACATGTGCAAGAAGCTCTCACCACCTCTTGGTAATTTTTTTCTCAAAAACATTTGATCGGATTTCAGTAGGATGATCCCAGGTCTTGAAGCTAAAGTCTTTTTTTTTTTTTTTTTTTTTTTTTACCTCTTCTCTTTTTTTTCTTTGTTATTTTCTCCTCAGTGACTTTGTTATCCAGTGGTCCAGAGGTTCAATACGTAGCTTTGCGTAACATATTGCTAGTTATTCAAAAACATCCAGAGATCCTTAAGAACGACATCAAGATATTTTTCTGCAAATACAACGATCCCATTTATGTTAAGATGGCGAAACTGGAAATTATGTTCCGACTCGCCAATGAACATAACGTTGAGCAAGTTTTATCAGAGCTTAAAGAGTATGCGACAGAAGTTGATGTGGATTTTGTCAGGAAGGCTGTTCGATCCATAGGACGGTTGGCAGTTAAGATTGAGTCCACTGCCCAGAAGTGCGTGCAGGCATTACTAGAGCTTATTCAGACCAAAGTCAACTATGTAGTCCAGGAATCAATCGTAGTGATCAAGGATATCTTTAGGAAATATCCCAACCAATACGAGAGCATTATTGGTATATTGTGTGAGAATTTAGACAATCTGGATGAGCCAGAGGCTAAAGCAGCTATGATTTGGATTATTGGTCAGTATGCAGATCGTATCGAGAATTCAGACGAGCTTTTGGATGACTTTCTATATACCTTCCTTGAAGAAACTGTAGAAGTTCAATTAGCACTGCTTACAGCAACCGTCAAATTGTTTATCAAGCGACCGGCAGCAGGACAGGACCTTGTGCCTAAGGTATTGAAGTGGGCTACTGAAGAAGTCGATAATCCTGACCTTAGGGACCGTGGCTATATCTATTGGCGCCTGTTGTCGACGGATGTTGCAGCAGCGAAGGTATGGTTGCATCAATTTTATTATCATCTCGATATAAGAGCCTGCCGTGGCAAGTCGATCCCAAATCCTAAATTAGCTATATTTGACTAATTTTGAAATAGGCTGTTGTACTGTCAGAGAAACCTCATATCTCGACAGAGACTGACAATATGGATCCAGTGTTATTAGAGGAGCTCCTTCTCCACATTGCCTCGCTGTCTGCAATATACCATAAAGCCCCCACTACATTCATTCCCCACTGCAAACCTAGGTTTCTTATCCCTTCGCCCACTCTGAGGAGACAAAATTATGGAAGAGGGACTTTAATTCATAGGGACTCATATGAACATATGTACACCAATAATGGCAATAACAATGAGTACGTAGCAGCAGCGCCAAAACATCAACGTTTGTCTTACCACGAGCAGTCATTTGAGCAAGTGGCAGAGGCTTCGATCGGGAATCAAGAGTATTACGAACAAAAAATCAATGCAGAGAACCCCTATAGAACAGACACCACAGCAGCAGTTGGCTCGGGGAATAAGAATACCGAGGTTGACTTGATGTCCTTTGACTTGTAAAAAGTGGATTGGATGAAATATTACAAAAATAAACGCGTTGTTTGCTATCAGGTTATCAACCCGTTATATTCCTCGTTCTAAAAATATTAGGCTCGAATGACATTACAAAAAAAACTATTTTCCAGACAGAGATGATTTTATTATCTCATTTCTAAGAGCAATAGCAGCCATCTTTTCGGGGACTTCCATCAATAGAAAGGTTGTCGACGCTCCTGTAGCTTTTTTCCACTAATTCAAAAGGTTGAAGAGTGTCTGCCTCTCATTATCGTTTAGATCTTGAACACATTGCTTGAGCAAAGGAGAGTTTGCCTGTTGCCGGAAGAACTCAATGAGGAACTCTTTCAAGTTCAATTGGAATATCAGGTCTGCCTTCAAGTCGGGCTCCTCACTATATCCATCATCTTTATCAGTGTCGAAGAATCTTCGAGGCAGCTGATCTGAAAGAAATACTACACCATCCCCTTTGACGCGCTGTTTGATTAAACTGTTTTCAATTCCGAGTTCATCTTTTCTCTCTCTCTCAATATTGCCTTCATCATCATCATCTTCTTCACCATCATCTTCATCATGCTCGGCATAACCGTTCTTGTCGTCCACAATATCATCTAGTGTCTCGTCTTCAATCTTGATTGTCAAGTCCGCTATGAGCAACTTAACAATTTTAACAGGGGCAGTGATCATGGCATATTGTGTAGGAGCTAGATATATAAAATTAGGTCCCCGCAAGACTAATGAGTTGATATTTCGTTAATTGAAAGTAAAAAAGAAAGAAGTTGAAAAAATTCGCTTACCAGTCTTTGCTTTCGACCGCGTCATTCGGCGAGACGAATTCGTAACGATCATATCACCCTTGACATGAATAGCCAACATGCGAGGATCAGCCGCGATGAAAGCTTTCGTCAAGGCAACGGTGCTAAGCTTTTGATAGTAGACGCCTTGGAAGTCGACATGATTTAAGAGCCAACTAGTCAAGACGACATCTAAGCCAGTACGTCCATCGATGGTCATTGCGCTCAGAAAATCAATCTGTGCTCCCTGTTGGTCCAAGAATAGATAGGCAAATACCATCACCAAGGACTGAATGAATAAGGGTACCCTGGCACTAGCCAGTCGAAATGCCACAGCATTCAACATTTCGGGCAGGATGGGGGATATCATATTACCACCATTCTTGATCAGTTTAGAAATCAATTCGCCTACAAGTATAGCCCCTGGCTCGTCTTGGGATGGGTTCAGGAGCCTTGCAATGAATTTCATCAAAAGGTTGAGACCAGTTGATTCACTGTCCGAGTCACACCTATATGAGAAAGCCAGTATATTATTATGATATAAGTCAGACTGTGCTGGAAGCACGATAAAGATTAGTTTACCAACCAAATTCGCTCTTACCAATTGGCTATCTGATGGACATCCTTTTGTATGATTTGTATTAAACATTCCTGCCCGCTCTGAGTTATGGAAAGTAAATACAGTAAATTAAGTTGAAAATAGCTGCGATCGTGATTATAACAACAACAAAAAAGTACCTGGAGGATGCGACTGTCATCGCTGATTAATAGTACAGACATTAAATTTCCGAAGAATTGGGCAACAAAACCTGGCATCAGAGGTGATGGGCTCCCTTGAACAAACCGACTCAAGAGATCAATGGCTGACTTGATCAAATCTTTTTCAGGGTTGTGAACAGAGACTATCTCTGTAAGCACTGGCAGTGCTCTTGCGATGAGAGCAGAATTAATATATGGGTTAGCGGCAAGTACATCGAGTAAGTCTTTCACATCTGAAGATAACATAGTGCCTGTCGATATATTGTCCACTGAGTACTTAGACCACACTTCAAGAGCAAGTGGTCCAAGAAGAGTCTCAAACTCAGCTGTGACTGTAGTTTCTAGCTACAGTGATATGTTAGTGCAATGAACAGAAAGGATAGACGATCGAATTAAATAAACCAATAAGTCATTGTACCTTGCAGGTCGTGGTTAAGGTACGGATGACTAAACTGAGGACATCTTTAGTTGTTATTTCAATAAGAGGCGTAATTCCTTGAATGATAGATCGTTGGTACGGTAGAACGTAGTTTTTATCCAAATGAATGTAAAAGTTGTTGAGAGTCTTAAGAGCAGAAACTTTAACAATGGCAGAAGGTGTGTTTAGAATAGCTCCTACGGTAGCTGATACACATTGTGGGATCAAAGAAGTCGGTGTAATGGAGGAAAACTGAGAGGCGAGTACAAATGATCGTCCTTGCAGGAAAGGGTAATCATGCGCATAGAGATTACTCATGATAATATGTTCGAACAGCTTTCCAGTATCAACAGTAGTAAACTCGCCCGCTGTTGCTTTACTGCATAGCTCCTCAGATATCAGTCCTGTGGCTAAAAGGCATGCTTCCTGCAATTTCCACCAGTTTGGATCACCCGCTGCCCGCTCCTGAAGAGTCCTTTCAATCCCCTCATTAATGCTCATGCTTAACGCCTGAATTGCTTGATCTTTAAGGCATCCAACTATAGCTGATAGTGTCTCTTTTGCAGTAAAACGAATACTGCTAAGGGAGCTATCATCGTCCTCATCTGAGATGAACTTGTTGGGATCTGCGTGCCAGCCCTCAATTTGCTTATCTGTCATCTGAGTATATGGTAGGATGCTCTGTACAAGCCTGTGAATGATCTCCAGCACCCTATTCTGGCCAACAAGTGCCTGTTTGCGCCTCCTGCATATCATTTGCAGGAAGTCAAGTTGTGCTCGCAGATAAATCGTAAAGACTGTAGCCTTTTCATTTATGTTCTCAATTGGCTGTCTGTCCTGATTAATACTGCTAGCTGTATGCTCCTGAAAGTATCCTGCACGTAGAATAACTAGATCCTGCCAAACCACTGAAAGGACTGGGAGAGTGTATGATAATGTCAATTTCGGAAACCCTTGAATAGCAATGTTCATAGACTGAATGTTAACATGAGGTTAGACTTTCACATGATCCAAGAGATTATTCTCAGAATGGAAGAATCAGGGCCTTGGAAAAAAAAAAAAAAAAAAAATAGATAAATAAATATATAAGTAAATAAATAAATAAATAGGATGTAAGAGGATTACTTTGAGAATTTCGGTTTTTAGGCTCCACTCTGCATCTTCGACTTCAGAAATATTTGTTGTGCGTATGTTCAAAATATTAAGAAAAGCATCATTCCACTGGCCAAAAATAGGGGTAAGAAATGTTGTAACAGCTTCTGGATATTCCGATTTGAGAGTGTGAAGCATTTCAATGGCATTTCGAAAAAACAAAACGCATTGTGACCTGATAACGAAGGAATACATCTAAAATTATGAAATAAATGTCAGAGAAATATTACGCAAAATATCTATAGACAGAAAATTGACTTATTCAACACTAACCCGATCGGATATTAACACTCTAAAGAGCTCAGGAAATAACATAGAAGCGATTGCTGGCATCTGTGCATGCGTGACATCCTTGCTGAAAAACTCTAAGGAGTGGCTAATAATTGAGACGCTCTGCCTATTTTTATTCCATAATTGATCTAATTTTCAAAGCAATCCGCAAAAATAACTCACCAGTCAGGACTTGCATTGATCCATCGACTCCTTCTGCTGTCCCGCTTTTCAAAATTTGGGCCAGGATATCCAGTAGATCTGTCCAACAATCAGGCCAATCAGAATGGGCAATCTTGCATATGATATTAGCCTAAACATAGACACAAACGTTTTAGAATCTTAATCCTTGAATGGGATTCTCCATTGCTTTCGAAGAATTGCAGAATAGCTGGCTGCGTACGCAAGATGTGCGGATAACAGCTATGGGGTCTGAAAGCCCAGTAAGCACTAAATCATGAAAAACAGTCTTTATCTACAAGAAAATCGCACAAGTTAAAAAAGGTTTACTTCAGCATGAATAACATATTTGGCGAGACTGCACGGTTCCTAATGGAAAGTGTTGTTTTACTTCTGCAGGCGGCTCAGAACTATGGGATGCAGCGTCCTTGACCGACCATTGTGAATCGACGATAGCTTCCAGTAGTGTTGCAGCAGATTGACGCAGGGATATGTCACAATCCCGCGTCAATACCAGCTTTACCAGACTCAACGGATAATCTGTGTTTGCATATTTAGAGAAGTGGCAAATATTTTTCGTGAGAATACAATTTAAGGATTACACTACGCCTGTCATTCATGTTTCCTATTCAAAATCGTGATTTCCTTATTCACGATTGTGCTCATTCAATACCTGGTTTTAGCTCCAATTCCTTAAGCCGCAATTTAGCTTCTGCTCGCGTACTGAAGTTAGCAGACAGAGTGTCTACCACGGTTAGGAACACAGCCTGGTCCATCGTCTGATGTTCGATGTAATTTGCGTTGACAAAAAATAGCTCGACGCGTTGGCGATTGGTAGGCGTTGCCACTGCCCCTTAATTTAACGCGTGGCGACTAAATATCCAAGCCACGTCCATCCCACTAACCTTATTTCAAAAAATGAAGAACGAAAGTCAACCATACACATTTGTTCCTCTGTCGACTTGTCGAATGCTTGGTGAGATCAGGACTCATGGCACACATCCAAGTAGGGATTTCCCCCAGGTCATTTTCTTTTGTTCGTCATGAACGCCAAGCCATTAAGAGGATAGTGTTACGTTGCAGTTTCATGTCCACCGTAAAGTCAAACAGCAAAAAAAAAAAAAAATACTTAAGAATGTAACGGCAGATCCTTTGCATATGCATCGAGGATAGGTAATATTAACATCGTTACGCTGCGGGTTTTATACTGCAATCTATAAATTCAGTTTCGACATTGTATATCGAAAAGTCTTGTTCCCACCTCCAAACAAAAATTTGCACATGTACCAGGTCATGACATGGTTCCGAGTCAACAACTACTGCTCCGAGCAGGAATGATGCGTCAGGTAATTTTATTTGAGAAAGATTATGTATCGACAGTAAGTTAAATTATGCTAAACCTGGGTGTGTCTGTTTGTGAAGTAACCTTTGATATGTCTATATTTTTAGTCTTCTTCAGGCATTTATTCTATTCTCCCTTTTGGTCAACGTGTTCTCGACAAGATTGAGAATATAATTGATGAGGAGCTTGAAAACATTGGATGTCAAAAACTGTCACTGCCCAATCTTTTGCCATCCGAAAACTGGAAAAAGACAGGACGTTGGGAAAGCACTGGGCAGGAGATGTTCAAGCTTAAGGATCGTAAAGGGGCGGACTTTCTGCTTGCGCCAACGCATGAAGAGGAAATTACTTCACTCATCGCAAAAGAAATCCAGAGCTATCGCCAGCTACCTATTCGTGTTTATCAAGTTGGGCGTAAATTTCGGGATGAATTGAGGGCTAGAAGTGGGTTGCTGCGAGGGAAGGAGTTTTTAATGAAGGACTTGTATACTTTTGATGTATCAGAAGAGGAGGCGCTCAAGACCTATGATGACGTCGTATTGGCGTACAGACGGATTATGAAGCGTTTTGGCATCCCATACGCTGTTGTAAGTGGTTTCGGCAAGGAAAGTAGTAAATTCTCTTTTTCTATTGCGTAAGTTGTATAGGCGTTAATTTTATATATACGCTTCCCTTTATAGGCCGAAGCTGATACTGGCAACATCGGAGGGACTCATTCGCATGAATTCCACGTTCTTTCAAAAGGTACAGGGATACGCATTGGACCCATTTATTCCGGTGACGGTCGTTTAGTGCTTCATGAAACTTACATTTGCACGAATCCATTTTCTATTAGTTGGGGAGGATTCCCTTCTGTCATGTGCATCATGTGGATATACCTCAAATGAGGAGCGAGCTATCGGGATCATCCCAAACATCCCAACAAAGGCAGCAACAAAGTTCCACTGCTCCGATATTGTCCCAAAATGGGTTGAATCTCTAGACATTATTCCTCGATCTACTTTCAAGCTTAGACCCAAGGTGCAGCTTGGAGTCATGAAGATGGAATCACAAGACGAAACAAAGGCCAGCTCATGTGCATTGGTCGCAGTCGCAACAGCAGGTGACCGCAGTGTGAATGAAATCAAGGTTTCAAAAGCTATCGGAAAGATTGAGTTTGCCAGTTCCATAGATGATGTCAGGACTCTCATAGCCAATGATTCTCTGGACAAGATCACAGTATGCATAGATCAGTCACTATACCCAGGACAATCCTCTTTAAGAGCAAAGGACCTGGATATGAAGGGGCTGAAGGACCCTATGTTTGAAGAACTGAAGTCTATATTCTCAATCGAGAACAGCATTTGCAATCTACATGTTATCTACGGAGACTACCACAACTGCTTACCTGAGGACGGTTGCCCGCATTGCTTTAATAACAAGGGGACTATTGAGCCTATGAAGATGACAAGGGCAATCGAAATCGGGCATACATTTATGCTTGGGACGAAATATTCACAGCCTCTTGGCGCCATGTTTGTTCTTGAAGGGACCCAAAACCTTGAACCTATGCAAATGGGGTGTTATGGCCTTGGTATAACACGTTTACTTGCCTCGATTGTTGAAGCATCACATGACCAAAAGGGTATTATTTGGCCAGAGTCTGTAGCACCTTTTCGAGCAGTGATTGTTACTTCCGAAGATGAACGATGTATTACTGCCGCCGAAAGTATATACGATATAGTTCAAAAGGCACTGAAGACTAAATCGGGGGTGATTATTGACGATCGACTAGATGTCACCCTTGGATTCAAGATGAAAGATGCAGAGTTGATTGGGTATCCATGGATGATTATCATTGGCAAAGGATTTTTGAGGACAGGCAATGTGGAAGTGCAACACCGCAAGACAGGCGAGAAGTGGTCTCTAGAGCGGCCGAAGATCCTGTCCTTCTTTGAAGAGCGACAATTATAACAAGATGTCCAGTTGTCATTGATGATTAATAAACCTCAATAGAACAGCAAGTAGAGGCTGGGATGTAGATGGCGATGCAAACGTTTAATTGTCCAAACAGACAAACAGATATCAACCGGCTTGTCACTATCATGAAAATAAGCAGATTTGATTATGAAGACGAAGACGAAGAGAGTCATGAGGAAGCACTGCCCTCGACCTCTAGCCACTGTCACTGCCCCCCCAGGTACTCGCTCTTCCTTCAAGTTCAACTCCTTTTTTTTTTTTTTTTTACACGTTTCTGTCCCCATATGTCTAATTAGACACTCCTCCTTTCCCTCTTCCTATTCGTCTTCCCGTTTACATCTTATATACTAGCTTCTCTGTCTGCTTTCCTTTCATAACATCTCGACTTCGATTTCATTTTGAAGCCTCTAATCGCGCTTGATTAACTCTTACTCGCATTCTTTTCACCTAACATCTCTCTGGCCTCTTCTATCCCACTTACTCTGATTCTTTCTTGACCATAAAAAAAAAAAAAAAAAAAAAGAGTTGCTCAGGTCTGACAAAATGTGGAGAACTCTAGTAGGGAAATTTCAGCCCCTCCCAGCCTCGACAAATAATGAATCACAAAATGAACGAGATCTAGAGAAGAATTGGGATGAACGCGACACAACTGGAGTTGCTGGCATGCCGGATAACGCGGCATCTCATTCAGAAATAACACAGTAAGTTTCATCAGATACAGATAGGGTAGTGTCAGCGTTGAACAGCCTGATCATTTCAAAGTCCACAGCTGGAGAAAAAAAAAGCTATTAATGATCCGTCTTTTACTTCAATAGATTGCGCACAGCATTTTTTACTTGCATGGAAGCAGCGGAAGAAGAGGTTTTTTTTTTTTTTTTTTTTTTTTTTTTCCTTCCTTCCCAAGTGGCATTGATAACACACATCAACGACTAACAGGCAATTTGACTTGGTCCCTGATTACAATTATTTTGATATCCAACAGAGGCTTCAACTATTCCAGACAGCGCTGCAATTATTTGTTTCGATCTTTGGACGTCAGGTATCGGGACAGTTGGTCGCTGAAAGGTAACTTCTGCACAATACAATGGCAATCATAAACACAGACAGCCTTCGTTTTTCAAAAAAGAAAAAAAAAAGAAAAAAAAGACTAGATAAGAGTCCCTGAACCAAATCTGAGCAAGCGAAGCATCAACAGTATATTTGTCCAATATATATAAATAAGGTGGCATGAGGACAAGGAAAAGATGAATACAAGGCAACATTAAAAATCAACAGCTGAACGAAGCGCATACTTTTGTGAACAGGCGGAACGAAGGGAAGATAGGCACTGGTTGAAGCTATTTCTTATTAACGCTTGGAAATGTGCTATTCTTTGCTACTCTTCTCGTGAGTAGCATTCATGATGTTAAAGCCTTTGTTGCAATGGCAGCTACCCAACTAGTTCAAGCGCTTCGTTCAGTAGCAGAGCGTGACTTGACGGACGATAGAACGAGTGCTGGTATGTTTGATGGTCAAATACTTTTCTTACTGTATTGTTTCATATTTTATGAGTGCTAGGACTAATAAATAAATTGTTTCATAGAGTATATGAGAGTACTTCGTAAGACAGAGACATTTAATGCACTGAAAGCAATCGATATTTTATCGAAAGCACCGGTACGGACGAAGAACATAGTTAATGGGGACAATGAAAGAAGAACGTTTTATATTATAATAACCATAACAACAATGATAATGGTGACCATGATAATTCCAGCAATAAAATCTCATGTCCATCTATTTCTTCCATCTCATTAGGATAACTTGCTTTCAATCTTGGTTCAAAACAAGGTACACACTAACCTATTGGAGGTGTTTTTGGCATTTGTCAAGTTTCCCTCACAAGAATTTGACGCAACCATGAACCAGAATGTGGCATCTATTTTGGTTGTCTCTACTCTTACCAATGGACTCAAGAGGCTCTTATGGAGAAAACCTGTTATATCTGTTCTTATTGAAAGCGATGAACTCTACGGCCTGTTTGAAGCATTGGTCATCCAACGAAGTAGTAACCTTGGTGGAGACCCAGCAGAGCTATACATCTGGAAAGCTCGGTAATTACTTCTTATCTTATTTAGGTCGATGTTCACACAGGATTCACACAGGATTCAATTGAGTTTTGAGTACTTTCTAATCACAACAATTTTATTATGGGCTCTAGAGTCATGGATGTGGTAGACTATGTAGTGGAGACAACAGAGACCGATGTGATGCCATACCTGCATTCTAAGGACTGTGCTAAATTACTCACTGATGCATTGAAAGAATATCTTGTTGATGGAAGTATCGACTCTGTACATCGAGAAGAGGGTATTTTAATCTTGCGAATCATCGTTAAATTAATCAAGGTAAAGCTGACTCTACTGCAATTGGCGAACTCGACTGCCAAGCGTTTATATCATTCTAATTGAAGTTAATGTTGATCGAACTAGAAATCATCATTGATGTCAAGTGTACTATTGGATGACTTCAAAGAAAACAAGATATATGAGACCCTTGCGATGCTTCTTGTGTCTCCTCCATTTGATGAAGACATGCTCACATTCAAGGTTTGTGATAAAATCGTCAGTCTAATTGCCTTCTTGAAACTGCTCTCACCATTTTTTTTTTTTCTGCAACCATAGTATACTATTATATCTCTAATCGAAGAGCTGGCATTTATTGACAAAGAAGCATTGACACCACCCGATGAAGGCACACCATACCAACACCAAGGTTTTTTTTTTTTTTTTTTTTTCGGAAGGAGGAATAGGCGTTTGTATTGATGTATAAGTTTAATCAAATAATGATTCTTTAATGTTGGATTAGATTTCGTTTTTCCTGTAGTAGGCCCTGAACATGGTAAGTATAGAGCTTAATTTCTTTAATGAAAACCTTTCTGTCTTCATACTTCAGTCTAATCTGAGCCGGTGTTCCCTTTCTCTTACATGGAATGTTAGCTGGCGCTGTAGTGCGAAATATGGTAGCTTGCCAAGTCCTGTTGACGGCCCTCTTATACCCTGACATTTCCAACATGACTCTCTTACCTGCCGGTAATAAGGAGCATGCTGTACCTCCAACCCAATTTTCGCTCACAGTTTTTTCGACCCTTCTATCCATTATTCGAGATCATCCTATGAACTATTTCTTACTGGAGCGTCTCAACATACTCTCTTATGCTATCGAGCGTCTTGACACTTACCATTCAGAACTTCAGGTACGTTTGGAGATAGCAATGCTTCGTAGGATTAACGTTGATGTAGAGCTTTAACATTGTTCACCGACCTTTATCGATCTAGTCCTCCGTCATGGAACTGTTTACATATGTACTTAAGGATTTGAACTATGTCCCATTCAGAGACCTTGTTATCATGTCTATTCACTTCCAAGGGACATCATCACCAAGGACCACAGCTCTTGTGTGCAATACCGTTGCTAGTCTGCTGCAAACGACCTCTGGGTTCAAGGATGTCCTGCGTGAGGTGGGATTGATCGATGTGTTCTGTAATATGCTCGAAGAGCTTTCAGTAGTGCTTAGAGAGACGTTTGGAAATCCACAGTTCAACAATCGTATCTCAGTCATCGATTTTGGAAAGGCTTTTAAACCAGAAGCTAAGCCACGGAAATATGGGATTGAAGTAGTTCATCACTTCAATAGTATTATGGGTTGTCTGGTAGAGTTGCTCCGTGGGAGCAGAAGTAACATCACACTTTTTCAAACCACGTAAGGCGAGATAATTGGTATATTTCAAGGTGCGTGGTAACTTGAAGGGCTCATATTAGATGGTCAAAACTAATATAACTTTTTTATTTTTTTTTATTTCCTTCACATTTATAGATTTAAGGGCGATTTATTTTCGCTTCTGCATTACAACGAAACTAGAGATGGGATTCTGCGAGTTATTGCTGTGCTTGTGGTGGAGAGCTACCGGTTCTTCCTGGAGGACAAGGAAGCATCTCTACTCAAGTCTTCACCAAGGAATTCCTCTGGACCCTCAGCACAAAAAACACTGACTGCCCCTTATCAACTCACTCAATTATGCGAAATTCTGCAAAGTGTAAATCGCTATGACTTTAAAATGAAGCTGGCGATCCTCAATTCGCTCAACGAAGTGTTTTTGGAATGCCCAGAGCTTAAGGATGTCTTCAGAGAAGGTGGAGGGTACGTCTCAATTGTCTCCCTGTTGATCCGACTTGAAGATGCATATCCGGTGATCGAGAGATACGATAATCTCAATCTGCCGAAGAGGAAGCAGCGACGTGATCCTCAGACAAACGAGCGGATTCCAACGAAAGCTGACATGCTCGACCTTTTCACTATGGTGTTCTCTGTACTTTCAGAATCTATGCGCGACCATGCAGGAAATAGCAACTACTTTGAAGAGCACATTGGGTTCGGATCATTGGCAGATGCGCTCCAATTAACAGGTGTATTTGGTCCCAATGGCGATGCAGCCAGAATGCTCGGTATTTTATTCGCATTTGCTACCCAGAACGAATCCGTACTTCACATTTTCGACGACCCCTTAGAAATTGAGCAGACGCCAGAAGTGGTGGCGAAATGGCTCAATAGCCCCAAAAATTGCGTCCAAAACCCACACGTTGTCTTAGGCATTTGGAGAATATGCATGAGTCTACAAGATCAAGAACCACTTGCCTTTTGTGGGATGATGTCATTATTCGCTTTGTCATGTGCCAATAGAAGGAATCAGGTGTTGATGGGACAGACGGTTCTACTAGACGAGTTGCTGAAGACGTTGTTTGACGATCCTCCTTCAGCGGTTCGAATCAGCGGTAATACTTCCTTGGAAGAGGGAAGCGCCATGCGCGATATTATGTGCAGACTAGCGAAGCGACTGATTGAGATGGGCATGTCATCGGTTGGATTCCGGTATCTCATGGAGAAGTTTAGCGCCACCAAAGAAATCTCATTTGGAGAATGCTCAGGTTTGCTAGATATGCTCCTTCATGGCGTAACACATTCAAGATGGCCAAGTTTCGTGCAGTTCGATGGGCACAGTCGTCTAGATCTACGATCTCTTGGTTCCCACAGCTTCCCCCCAACTAATGGATACACTTTCTTAGGCTGGCTTTGCATTGAATCATTCGACGAAGAGCTCGCAATTCAAATCCTTGAAATTTCAGATGAAGATCAGCGATGCTACCTTAGTATCCAAATCGAGCCGGAGACCCACAGGCTTGTCGTGAGTGTTTCACATCACCATTCCGTGTCCTTTAACTTTTCTTTCGAGATTGGACGCTGGTATCATCTTGCTCTCGTTCATGCTAAGCCGAAGCTCACTATTCCCGGAGGATCTCTCTCTGTTTACATTGATGGTATCCTCGGCGATAAAATTAAATGTGGATATCTCTCATCACCCAGTGGAGAAGTCAAAGGCTATCTTGGTCGCAATCAAAAACCAAAATCGCCGCTCAAGAAGGAAGGTTCAACTCTTTCCTGGAACCTTGGACCATGTTACCTTGTCGCGGAGCCATTGGATGAGCAGATTATGGATGTTCTATATAATTTGAGCCCTCGTTACCATGGCAACTTTCAAGACTCGCTTGGGAAATTTCAGACATATGAGACATCAACTGCTTTGAACATCAATCTCGATGAGGCTCGACGTCGATCATTACCAAGCAGTCGCAGTCATGAGGAGCAAGCTGCATTAATGAATGCGATTCGTGGTACAATTGGAAATAGTATTCCTGAAGACAAGCTCATATTTGCATTTTCTGGCGGAAACTTGCTGAACTCGGCGGATACAAGGACTGTAGGGGCACTTGCAGGTATTCAACAAAGAGAGCAGTTTTATAGGATCCTCTTTAATTCTGCGATCCCTCGAATTCATCGTGGAATCAACCCATTGTCTGCCATTGGCATTTTGGTTGGCAACCCATTGGTCGCTGCTCCGCGTGGATTAGATGACTCGATTTGGAAGGTTGGTGGATGTGTTGTCGCCTTGAGGATTGTAGAAAGTGCCAAAGATACTGCCACATTAGAAAAGGCCGTACTTTTGCTGGACCAACTGATTCGATGCAGCTGGCGTAATTCAGAAGATATGGAGCGAATCTTTGGGTATGAAATTCTCGGATACATCCTCAAACAAAAGAGAGCACTCTTTTCAATCGACATGGTGAATACCCTTTTGAGTGTTGTTGGCATGGACCTGGAATATCCAGAGTAAGTGAAAATGATTGAGTATCAAATATCAACAATAACTGATTTTGGATGTATGAGTTCATTCCTTGACTTTTTATCTTGTATTTGTCTGAATAACTCTACCGACTAGTGATTCCGTTATTACAAATTCGTTTGCATTCAGGCACCTAATGTTGGACATGGATATCTGGAGAAAGACAGACATCAACATACAGCTCCTTCATCTTGAACAGTTTAAAATCTTTTTGCAGCACAGTCATAAGTCATCGTTGAACGTCAAACGTCTCAGCACAATGCGTAGGGCCATATTTGCTGCGAGTTTTTAACAAATGGATCCTGCATGTGTTTTCTGGCACTCTTCTAACAATCTTTCCTCGATATTCTGTAGATGTTGTCAAAAAGATGCTCGCACCCCTGCGGACTGGAAACTATCCTTCCATCCAACTCCCTAATTACGTGGATGCTATGAAAACTGTAGTTTTTAATCAGTTTTCGACGGAAACTGTTCGAAACTTGGCCACTTTCCTTGTCTCGACTCTAAAGCAAAGTGAGTGGTTGGGACATATTTAGTGATCCAATCATTTGAGCAACAAACACTCGAGTAACACGGTTTTAAAATTTATTGTATTTTAGCTAACTCCAACCGGTCGATGTCGATGTCATCGCAGAGACGTCCCGAGTTGGATCTGGAGAACACGAAGACTTCGTTAAATGTCGATATTATCATCGATCCAAAGGAAACGCCTGTTGGTTCCACCCTCAAGCACGCTATCATGGGCAATGCCATCATGGAGATGCTGGAGCACATTTTATGTGAACGAGGCAATGTGGATTATGTTCATAAGTTTGCCACTACGATCACCAATAAGTGGACTCTCCTATTCGTCGAAAACCCTGGCAACCCTTATGGCGCAGTCCTTGCTACGAGAATACTGGCGAGACTGTTGTACACGCAGGGATCTGCTTATATGGCTAAATTCAAAGCATCCTACGGGTTCTTGGTTTTGCAGTCGTATATTCCACAATTCTGGAACTTGGTGCCCATGATTCACGTTATGGTCTGCATCTTGCTTGGCGTTGATGTCTGCGAAGTCCCATTGCGTGCGTCTATGGATAATGAGACTCTTCACAACCTTTATGGTGATTCTATGGAGGCTTCCGGTAGAGTTGTGTGCACTGATGCCCTTCCCGCATTCATGACTATGCTTAAGAATGGAGTTGCAGCAGCTGTTACATCTACAAGCAACAAACTCAGCACAGGTCAGGACCGTGCTTCTAGGGTCGTAGAAACATATCAGGCGCTCATCGAGTTTTTTATTGAGATGCAAACCAGCTCAAGGGTTTTCCGAGAGATATTCACTCGGCAGGAATTCATTGATGAGATTGCGAGCATTCTATTCCCTTTCATCTGCCATAGTTCGAAAGCAATGGTTGTGGAAGCTGAACTCGATTATATTGCCTCTGAGCCTACAGTACCAGCGGGCGAGTCTTCTGCAACTAGCGTCGCTACAGCAGATGTAGATGTCAATTTACAAAGTATTCCCTCTAGCCGGAGCTCACAACATTCTTCAGCATCATCCTTCGTTACTTCTGAAGCGAAGACAGTTGAAACTGATTCTGCACTCGATTCGGATTCAACGCCCATGACAAGCGCACGCTCTGTTTCGCCTACTGCCACTGCTGCAGCCGTTACATTTCCAGCATCTGGAATGCATTCCACTGCTACATCTAGTTTTTCACTAACCGCTGCGCAGTCGGCCTCTTTACAAGTCTCACAGACGTTTTCAGAGAGCTCATTCAGAAGGACATCATCGTCTACAAGTATTGGCCGCGTCAAAGACGTGGATTTGAAGGCTGTACAGGAACCTATTGCTCTATCCCTGCTTAAGCTCTTTGTGGTCATTTGTATCGACTCTATACTGGATCCTTTGCAGCGCCCCTTAGCTGTGATTGATTTGGCATTGCAGTCGTGTCCACCTGCTTACAAAGGTTTGTTAGAGGGTCACTATTGTCTTACACTGTCTTTATTACTTCATAATGAAAATTGGTATTTAACTGTTGTCGATTGTGTACATTCTTGCAATAGATCACCAAATATACTTTCAAAGCTTCTTGCTAGGGCATGTTGTAATTGGTTTGGAGCAAAGCATTGAAGCACAACCAGAAGTGCTGGCTGATAGTCGTATAATGGCAAATTTGGATCAATTCTGCGAGCTGATTGTAGATTTAACGTATCAGGGCTGGTTTGTGGGGTCGTATCTAATTCAGTTTGACCTTATTGCCAATATCTTGGAAGCCATCTCCCATGATGTTTCACTGCCCATTCCAACTATCCATGCAGCACCCACCGCTCGACCCGATGCAATTCGAACGCATCTCACGTCATTATTGTATAGATTAGTTTGTTTTACGCTGGGACAGTGTCATATCGGAACGGAGATCCAAACAGCCAAACTTGAGGCGCTCTTAGACAAGTGTATTTACTTCCAGAAGATTCTATTAAGCAGCTGCGCCGGCGATGTCGAGTTCATGAAGTGCTTGATATTGCACCTCTTCATGTTTTTACCCGAAGCTGAACCTAAAACTAGAAACAACATAATGATTTTGATCAAACTCATCTTCTTAATGCGACCTGTAGAAGCCTCTGGGCTATTAAAGCTCAAGCCAACAAACCCAAGTGATGACGAAGACTCTGTCGATGAGGGCTATAGCGCACTGGTTGAAGCGGTAAGTTGGATAGCTTGTTGTCAATGAGATAATTGTCAAGTAGAATAGCGTCTAACAAACTTGAGTCTCAATAGAACTATCCGGATCTTGTGAAATGGCGCAATACACACACAGCGGAACTAGATACCATTTTTGCCGACTTCCGTAGATTGTGGGATGCCATGATGGCTGCGGAATCGAGAGCTAGCGAGGATTCTCAGCGTCAAAAGTATAACCGCAGGACTCAGAAGTTGAAGCGTCTTTTCCGTCGCCAACATTTAGAGCGCAACATTCTACAGCAATATAAACTCAAAACTGTAGCTTGGACGAAAAGTATTCAAGAGATGGAGGAAGTCAGATATGCTAAATCGCTGCAAGATTTGGATGACCATGTTCGATTTGTCAAGAACGAATGGAAGAACCTTGTTCGTGACGTATGCAGAAAGGGCGCAATTTGGGAGGATAAAGAATCTCCCGAGAGCCAGACTCCAATTCGTTGGAGATTAGATTTCACAGAGGCAAGGTCTAGAATGAGGCGGAAATTAAGGGTGAACGAGCGTAAGACTGATGAACCTTATCTTCCTAAGCAAGGCGGATCCTCGGCCTTAATAGAGGGTAAGACTTCAAGTATGAGCATCTCCAGTAATGTCAAATCTAGTCCGATACCTGTTGCAAAGAGCAGGATTGAAAAGCTTAAGGAGGCAGATGTAGCGTCTGTGTCTTCGTTCGATAAGAACTCGGATATGAAGAGTGACAACGACAATCTTGTCGGTAATACTACCCCGGATATGAGCTCAGTCAATGGACTCAATAACGTGATCGAAAACAATGAAGAGGTGGTTGCAGACAGGGATGGCGCAGAAAACACTGAAGCTGGTCAGACTCAAGAGGCTGCGGTGGATACTGCAGATGTAGATCAAGACAGAGATGCCGAGCCTGCGTTTGAAGAAGCAGCTAATCGCAAGATCCTAAGACTACTTGAGGCAGGGGATGTTGTGTACGAAGTCTATAACATGAGCAGAGTAACTGGTTTGGATGCTGTTGAGGGCTTGCTCTTGCTCTGCAAGCATAATATGTATCTCATTGACAACTACTTCCAAAAATTGGATGGCGAAGTCGTGGATATCAGTGAGGTCCCCGAATCTGAGCGAGATCAATACTTACAACTTTTGGCATCAAATACTCCTTTATCACAGTCTTTATCAGACTCATCCGAGGTTCGTCACCAATGCAGGAAGTGGCGGTTCGAAGACATCAAGGAGGTTCATCGTCGTCGATATTTGCTGCGAAATGTTGCACTTGAGTTGTTTTTTGTGGATGGACGTAACTACTTAATCAACCTCAACCTGCACCAGCGTGATCTTGTCTACAATCAGCTCGCCAGCCGAGTAGGATCGTTGGCAACTAACAACCTTCAAATGGGGGATCGTTCTGCCATGGTGGAACCCAATAGCAACCCCAATCAGAACCAGTCATCATTGGGATCTAAACTTGCTAATATTTTTGCGCCTCCTTCGATTGCCGATATTACAACCAGATGGGAAAGGCACGAGATTTCTAATTTTCAATACTTGATGCACCTTAATACCATGGCAGGACGCACTTATAACGATCTTACCCAATACCCAGTCTTCCCCTGGATCTTGGCAGACTACACAAGTGAAGAGCTCGATCTAACAAATCCAAAAACTTTCCGTGATTTGTCACGGCCCATGGGCGCTCAGACTCCAGACCGTGAAAAAGAGTTTAATGACCGCTATCATACTTGGGATGGAGGTGATGATCATACGCCGCCTTTCCATTATGGGACGCATTACTCATCTGCAATGATTGTATGTTCTTACTTGATTCGCCTCGAGCCGTTTACACAGGAATATCTGAAACTTCAAGGTGGACAGTTTGACCACGCGGACCGATTATTTCACTCAATTGGCAAATCTTGGATCTCCGCCTCACAGAAGACCATGTCTGATGTACGGGAGTTGATTCCAGAGTTCTTCTATCTGCCGGAGTTCTTGTTGAACACAAATGAGTTTAATTTCGGTAGTCTGCAAACGACGGGAGAGCAAATCGATCACGTCAAACTGCCGCCCTGGGCTAAAGATGATCCCAAGATCTTTATAGCAAAGCATCGTGAAGCACTTGAGTGTGATTATGTTTCTGCACACTTGCATGAATGGATTGACTTGATCTTTGGATACAAACAACAGGGGCCTGAGTCTGTTCGTGCTGTAAATGTATTCCATCACATGTCTTATGAAGGTGCAATTGACCTTGATACAATCGACGATCACATTCAGAAGTCAGCTACGATTGGAATCATTCATAATTTTGGCCAGACTCCTCGACAGCTATTCAAAAAGCCACATGGACCGCGTCTTCCTCCAAACCGAGATCCTCTGAGCCCGAATTACTACTCCATAGTGAACCATGCAGAGTATTTAACTCAGTCAGTGGTTCCAGTCAAAGGTACAGCCCATTTTATATTTCGTTAGTTCTTAACTGATAGTCTAAGGAAAAAAAAAACTAAGATGTGAATTCATATTTTAATAGATATTGGTTTGCCGGTGGGAGAGATCATTTATCAAGGTGACAAGGCTTTCGTTGGCCATTCACAACGTGCATATGAGCCTTATGCCTGTAGTAAATATGTTGAGTGGGGCTTTTCAGACAACTCTGTACGCTTATACTTGACAGAGACGAATAAGACTCTTGGAATATTTGAAAACCTGCATTTGGAGGCCATTACCTGTGTGAAATGGGCGGATGATCGCACCATAGTCACAACCTCTCGGGACACTGTCGTCTGCATCTGGAGAATCGTTCATTCCCGCTCTTACGAGCTCAAGTTGATGAAATGTTTGCGGGGCCATCGTGAGACAGTTCACACAGTGGCAGTCTCGGTGGCATATTCGATTATTGTATCTGGGTCTGAAGACAAATCATGCATTGTTTGGGATTTAAATCGACTTGAATACGTCCGGCAGTTGGGCAAGCATGAAGATGGGGTCCGTGTAGTGGCTATTAATGACGCTACAGGAGATATTGCTACGTGTTCAGGGCCAGTGTTGAGACTGTGGACAGTCAACGGCGATCTGATTCTTCAAAAATACGCCACTCAGATAGGAGACCCTATCCTGGACTGTGTGTTTTATGCAGGAAGGACTGGTGAGTGGGTGCCTCGGGATATAATTTTTACGAGCCACCGGCGTGGCACGATCAAAATTTGGGAGAAGGCTGTGATGGACGCTGACCATCAGAGAAGCTCATACCAGTCAGCAGTAGGAGGTATTTCTGAGAAGATCACCGGGGATAATGAAAAATCCCTTTCTGGGGGCACAGTTATGAACCCGCCTTTATCAAACACAGAGTCTAATGTCCTGAATACAAGTGCTACGTTGCAATCCTCAAATGCGCCCGAAGAGTCCGCTGCAAACAGCACTGAAACTTCCTTTGCTGCTGGTGAAAACGTGAGCATGGGATTTGTACCGACATTGCCTAATACTTTGGCTGGGGAGGAGTCCGCATCACCCACCGGGTCTAGATCCAGGCAATCATCACATACAACAACAGGTAGCACCATTGGAATAACTTCTCAGTCACATAGAGGGCAACGCACTGCAAAATGGACATTGCGACTACGACAGGCATATGTTTACGAGGATCGCCTGAGAGTTGATAATGGCGTTGTTCCCAACATTGTATCACTATATGTTTCAAGGTATGATCCTGTACCATGCAACTTTTGTGTTGCAACAAGCCAAATTTTTTTTTTTTTTTTTTTTTTTTCGCTTTCTTACGCCTTCATTTCCTCTTCTAGTACTAGGCGTGCTCTCTATAGTGGCGATTCACTTGGGCGTATTTTCGTATGGGTATTACCAGACGGAAGTGGTTGCACACATTGGATGCAACCAGGACGTGATAGTGTCTGTGTGAATTGTCAGACTCGTTTCCCATTGCTTGAACGCAAGTTCAACTGCAAGACATGCGGTGGGATATTTTGTGGAACCTGTACATTTGTTCCCCTCTCAGGCTTTGCAGAGAAGCAAGCACGCTTCTGTTTTAAATGTTCTGGTGGCAAACTGAAGGAATTGATGGGTTGAAAAAGGAATTAGATTTGTCAATAAAAATGTGTATCTGTTTCATGTCCATTCATTTTATTCTTTCGAGATCGTAAAATTGTATTAACTGTTATCATTAAAGATAGGTATCTGATTCACTTCCTGCTCGAGAACTTGAGCTGATTCGTTACCGAGCCCTTGATTCACCAATTGGTCTGCACGTCGTAACAGCAAGTGTCTTTTGTTCAAATTCAGATCTCCAACTGCAAACGCCAAACATAATTCAACTATCACAAGTCCCACCCATCCATAGGTGACACCTGGTCTTATTGTATTGACCTGGCAATAAACCTTCGCACTCTGGTTGTCTCCAAACGCTTGCTCGAGCGCGCACCAGTGCTTAGATTGCAAGCCTTTACTATTGTTGTTTGCAACATCATCGGATTTCTCATGAAGTTTGTTTTCTTCTCTCGTCACCGCGAGTCGGTTTAGAGAGCGGAAGTTCTCTAACGGGTATTCTGGTATTATACGGGTCGGAAGAGCTCTTTTAATTAGAAGCTTCTTGGCACTGCTGTTGAAATTATCTATTCTCCTCTTAGAAAGTGCTTCGGTTATAGAGCTGGAAGTGCTGGTATCGCTTCTATGGTGAGGATACATAGGCTCATCCAAATTAGGGAGGTAACCAACAGGCGGCTTCATCTGACCTGCTGGCCAATACAGTGCAAGAGCAACGAGTCCAAGACTGAATATCACTCGGGAAATGATGTAGAGTGTAAGAACGACTCGCCTTCGCCGTTCTTTATAAAGATAAAGCTCTTTTTCAGCAGTTGTCGTTATTTTGATCAGCTCATTTGATGATGAAGGTATTAAAGAATGTGGAGCAGAATTTGTAATTGGATCAGAAATTTGTGATTCAACTGATGATTCTGTTGTGAGCGATTGTGCATTAGTAACAGAAGAGAGGATCTGGTCTGTCGGAGGAGTAACAGTGATGACAGGTGCAGGCATTACGGACTGGTGTTCAATTCCAACATGATCTTTCGTTCTTCTTTGCCTTATCGACTCCTCTTCTTCAAGGGTATCTCTTTGTTCTCGTTTTTGTAACGGCCAATATTGGTCACTTGAATGCTCGAGGTTAGGCTGATGCTCAGACTCTCCTATAACCTGTCTGTCTGCTGTCGCAGCAGTAGCAGCGGTTGGGGCTGGTGACGACTCTTGAGGGTTCTCTGAGAAGTCTACTCTTACTTCTTCTCCCTCGTTATTGTTGCCAATGTCGTTGTCAGGAGCCATAGTGTTGAAACAACAGCAGGACATATTAGAAGCATAAATCAACAACATTAAAGCCATCATCATGGCTAGAAGATCGGGTGTTAACAACAAAGCAGCTTGAGTGGAGATATCTGTGAACTCCAAGTTCATTACATTGGATTCAAATGATAGCGTGATAGCGTCCAATATTAAGGTGACAAAGCCAAGTACTAGGATGAAAAGACGCACATTTCGGAGGATTTTCCGACTAAAGGGCGATTCGGAGAGACGAGAAAGATATTGATGAACATTATGAACAAATAAAGATCTGGATATAGAACTAGAAAAAGGTGAACGTATAGATGTTAGTGGTTCAGAGGGGGAAGATGCTGTATTCATGGCCGCCACGTTGATCATGATAAATAGGTCAAGATATAAAGAAAGAAAGGTTGCATGCTGTAAAGGAAGCAATGGAAAATTCAAAGGATGATATCAGAGGAGTGGAACTAAAGAAAGAGAGGATGTCAGACAATACCTGAAATTGACTATGTGACTGGCAGCGAATAAAAAAAAAAGCATTCTGTGCGTTTAGGACGTTTATTCATTTGTGCCTCTCTATGCCTGCAATTCATGGCGATCTCATTCCAACAGATCGCCGCGATGTCCTTAGAATCAGTTCAAATCGGGTATTTGCCCCCTGCAGACAAAATCACTGCAGAAAACTTGCACTTGCTTGTTGCATATGCTCAGTCCAAAGGCTTTGATTATGTTGTTTCGCCAATTAACAGCCCTTCATATCAACGGGTTCTGTTCGAGGGCCATGGACCACAGAGTCCAGATTTAACCATGTGGAGGGCTGGAATGGAAGCGCTTAAACCTGTTGATCTTGTAGTTCGGACCGCTGGTGAGTGTATGCATTTACATTACTCTTCATATACTCTTATAAGTTGCAATTGCATTGGTTCCTAATTGTTATTATGTATTTAATTGTAAATATATAATAACAGATCATTCTGACTTGATTGTTGGAACTCTATCGGAGTGGCAGGATTTTGATTCCAAGGATCCTAAAATACGCCTTCATTCGGAACTGGCATTAAGACAGCAGTTCAATTGGGCATCGCATTTAGGCTTGGGAGGCATCTTGTTACCCTATCCTCCTTCCACTAAGCCTCTGACAAACTATGGTCGGGTAGTCACAGGATCTCTCTCCATGGTACCATACACTGCCTGTTGGCTCAAAATACCATGTATGGATGAACAGCTAGAGATAGGTGTCCCTGAGGAGTTGCAAGGAATGAAGAGCTGGGAGCGTTGGAATATAATTCATAATATGGTTGGTTCAGAATCTAAGCTTGGAGTAGCGCTTGAGCTTTCAGGCTCGTTACCAACAGACCAAGTCCTTGATCGTTGGTTTGCAGAGCCTGTCAAGGTTATTATTTTGCCCGAAGATACATTTCTGACCAATGGCAAAGGCTATCCAGTACTTTCTAAACGTCATCAGCATGTAGTTAGAAAATTTATGAAATTCAAACCATACTTTATTATTGCATCTTCGAAGATGGCAGAGTTGACATTGGATGACACCTCAGTATCACCTCATGCAGACTATATACGGTATATGCATAGATCGCAGGATGCACCCAGTGTGATTGATCAGTTTGCGACAGGCTATCAGGATTATTTACAGGCACCGCTCCAACCTCTACAAGACAATCTCGAATCTAGTACATATGAGACCTTCGAAAAGGATCCTGTCAAATATCAACAATATGAATTGGCTATAGAAAGAGCTTTGAGGGATCGTCCAGTAGCCGTTAATGACGAGGAGGACGTCACAATCGTCATGGTAGTTGGGGCTGGGCGTGGCCCCCTTGTAGATTGTTCACTTCGTGCAGCAAATAGGGCAGGAAAAAACATTCGCGTTTATGCCGTTGAAAAGAATCCTAACGCCTTTGTAACGTAAGTTGGCTTCAGTGATTCAAGGTGTAAAGAGAGTGCGCACAAAACTATTCTTTTTAAGCCAAGCTTCATATAACGAACCTTTATTTATTAACTCTCAGGATACAAAACAAAAAAGCTACTCTCTGGGGTGACCGCGTTAATATTGTGTTTTCGGATATGCGAACATGGAGTCCACCTGAACAGGCACATATTCTTGTTAGTGAACTACTTGGCTCATTTGGTGATAACGAATTATCTCCTGAATGCCTCGACGGTGCACAAAAAGTCCTACGACCGGATGGTATCTCAATTCCTGCGGATTACACAACATTTATTGCGCCTATGTCCTCAAGCAAGCTCCATGCCGATGTCTCTGCATTCAAAGACTTGTCTCATTTCGAGACGTCCTACGTGGTAATGTTCAAAGCCGTCTCCTTACTTGCACAGCCGAAGCCGATCTGGTCATTCGAACACCCAAACAAAATGGATATTCCAATGAACCAAAGTACGTATTTGTTGAATAGAGCACGAAAACTTTACGAGCAATCCCAATGTTTTCTTTTATTGATAGTCATTTATTATAAACTTATAGATCCCCTGAGCAATCACCATAACATCCGCTCAGGGTCGATCGAGTTTACCTGTCAGGTTAGCGGGATGGTACACGGTGTGGCTGGATACTTTGAGTCGGTACTCTATAAAGATGTAATGCTAAGTAAGTCAATCACTAATCCAGTGTGCCTACAATCTCCTATTAGCCTACAGTATTCAAATACTATACTGACTCGATCTGCACTTTCTAGGCATCAACCCAGCAACTCATTCCCCAGGTATGTTCAGTTGGTTTCCCATATATTTTCCCATCAAGACGCCTATATATGTCCCTGCAGGATCACAGGTAGTCTTGGACTTTTGGCGTCTGACAGATACACGCAAAGTATGGTACGAGTGGCGTGTAAGTTGTAAGGTCAACGGCAGTTTGGGTCTGATCCAATCTAGTGCACTCCACAATGTAGGTGGTCGGTCAAGCAGCATTGGATTGCATTCATAAATAAATAATAAATAAAAAGTTCTGCAGCGTCGTCTCAAATAACTATCTTGTTCCTTGCCCACTGTACATTGTAACCATCACCATCATGAGAGAATCAGTGACATCTCAAAGCAATCCTTCAGAGATGACTTCTACATCGACCTCTGTTTTTGCACTTGTGGATGAATCTTTAGTAATTCCTGGGACCACAAATGCTTCAATGAAATTCAGTGGCTCTGCAAAGATCACCCCATCACGTTCTAAACGGCGAAAGAAAGCACATCATAATGGTCATCAGGCGGAACAAATGCCAGCAGGATCTACACATCTCAATCCTACCACTCTTACGGTGGACTTGCTGAGCCATATCACGGAAGCACAAATGGAAAATGTAAAAGACCAGAGACTGTCAAAGCCATTCTTTTTGGAACGTCGGACGACAAATCCAATGGAATTACATGAAATCCGTGTCAACGTTGCTTGCTTCCTTTCTAGGAGAGAACTTAGGAATTGTATCCTTGTTTGTGAGGCTTGGTGGGAATCTTTTATGCCATTTCTCTGGATCGATCTTCGACCAGTCTATCATAATGTCTTGGGCAGTCCAAACGACTATCCATCTCCCATGCTTATGCGGAAAAATGGACATTTGATCAAGACATTTGAGTATAATGGACATGGTACTGTACTATTATCCATGATCCCACATAGTGACGGCCCCTACAAGAGCGAGGAACTTGAGTGGCGCAAATCACAACAAGAGGAAGATAATGAGGCCAACTGGCTGTATGCAGACGAGGATCTTGATTCCGAGACGTCTATTGATCCAGAAGAGACATTAAGCGATTTTGAGGAGCGGATCGAAAAGAACAAAATCACACGTCAGAACAGAATGCTCCAGTTGCAGGAAGTGAAGCTAACCAACAAGCGGCAAAATGAAACCAGTCGATTCTTAAATGATAACACAGACTACCGGCACAATATCTGCAACCAGATTGAGAAACTTATTTTCACGGAAAAGAGATTTTCAAGGGATCAAGGATGCCATTATCGAAACTGGATCAAGCTGATGCAACTCAACCAAGATCATCTTCGCAGTTTGGAATTCAATTTTGCAATTCGATCAATTGAAGCCTTTCGTGACATTTTTCACCAAATTACGTTGTTAAAACAACTTTCAGAGCTCACGCTTGTTGACAATGATCTCGATATACCAAAGACCAAGACATTTTTGGAGATGATATGCGTGCGGCTGAGGAAGTTAGAGCTGAAGAATGTTAGAATTTATCATGGTCCTCCCCATGGATATCTCACCCAAAGCCCATTAAATATTCCGATCACACGGATGGAACGAATGAAGTCGCTAGCCTTTATTAAAGTCCAGTCCCGGAACACCGACTTTACGACGCTGTTCCTTCGACAATGTCCTAACCTAGTTGAGCTAGTATTTCATTTGCAATGGCCACAGACTAGTCAGCAATTTGCTGCAATACTTTCCGAAAGACTCATTAATGTTACGCATCTCACATTTAAGGCTTCAGGCGTCTCCGACTTGGGTGCATCAGAAATCATTAAATCCCTTCCTATTCTTCAGAAGTTGGATTTATCAGAATCAGCATTTGGCTTGGTGGCGACCAATCACCTGTCTATCAAGCACCATTTCACTATTTCATGCCTAGACATCCGAGGCTGCTCACATGTGACAGGATCAATGATTCAGAGAATCCTTGGTGAATGTCGTAGTCTTCAGTCGTTTTGCGCAGACCATATACATGCCAGAGATATAGTTAACAACTCTGTATACCCAACTTGGGCCTGTATTGGATTGAAGGAATTAAGTCTGGATTTCCAAGGCAATCCTAATGATATTGAAGCCAACCTTAAAATTTACAGGCAACTCGCGCAATTAGTTTGCCTGAAACATCTAAATATCAGTCGCAGCGATCGCATGAATAATACAAATGGTTACTCAAATTGCCTGACGTTGGGACTCAGGGCAGGACTGAAGGAACTGAGGACGATGGTTCACATGCAAAGTCTAACCTACCGCGGGCTTGTAAACAATGAAGTTGGAGTGGTCGAATTGCAATGGATGGCAAAAGCATGGCCGCAACTTTCGCAGATTAGTGGCAAACTGATAGAGCGAAAATCCACCAAATTTAACGTCAATATTTTACCCAAATTGACAGCATTTTCATCAGGGGTACACTCGCTGAACGCAAGGAACAATGACCATAGCAGTGTCGATGAGAGATCTATGGCCACACATTCCTCCCAGATACAACAGACAATAACCAGCACGAATCGATCCTTTTCACAGTCCCTAGATCATAGAACAAGAAATCAAGCTCCGCCAAATCTCTTGGTAATCGAGCTACGGAGGCTAAAACTTAACCATCGGATCCAGGTCATCCACCATGTAGAAGATACCATTACACCAGAACAGCGGCGGCGTCAAAAATATCTTCTAGGGGGTTCGTCCGAGGATGAATCTGAACGTCCTCTTTTTGGTCATATTGACCCGCGCTATAGATAGATTCAGCACAAGGAATTAGATCTGATATGGACATACTATAGTTCTTTTATAGACTATGCATATCTTGCACATTGCTCTAAGTTTATTGGGTTTTTGTTAGCGCACAAAAACATGAATTTTGCTCAGCCATGCACATATTTGACAGTATTATAAATTGCTATGCTTCTCATTTATTCAAGAATAGTTGGGTCAGCCCAATCTGGCATATCAACTTCAAACTTCCAGTCAGGTCCTTGATATCTTATAGCTCGTAACCAGATTTTCATGCTACGTGGATTAGGTAAATTAAGGCCTTTTTCCTCTTCTATGCATTTGTGGCATGGTGTCTCTGGAGATATGTAGTAGGGCATATAGGGCTGTAATTCTGGTGGAATAATACAGGGATAGAAACGTGTTTCCTCGGTAGCCAAAATAACAGCATTTTCGTTCTCGAGTCCCATGTCGGTTTTGTATTTAGGATTGTAAAGTCTGTCATTGACAATTGGATGCCCTAAATGAGCAACATGAAGTCGAATTTGATGCTGCCGTCCTGTCGCAAGCAAGCCTAAAAAGGGTTTCAATTTTTTTTTAAGTGTACTACTTTTATGATGGTGCTATAACTGAAATTTATATAACATGTCAAGCTCATATGGCAGCTAGTACTTACAGGAAATCAAACTTGTGTTAGATGCCGCATCATACCACTTCCGTTCGAAGCGTGTCTCTGAAGGCTTACCAGCCAGATCAATGGAAACTTTGCCTGCTCGCTGGAGGATAGGTTCCCTGACAATTATAGGATTCTTTGGAAATTCGCCTTCGACCCTACAAACATATTCCTTTTCTATAAGTGTATTTGATCCATTCTTAGGATCTAAGTCAGATGACTGGAACCTTTTTCTGACATTCGAATCAGCCATGTTAGCAAATATTACGACACCGGAAGTCACGGCATCTAAGCGGTTGACGGCTGGATTGACCAGCAGATTGCAAAGAGAAGACAAAGAAAATAGTAAGATTGGCTTCTTATTATTTATTTATTTATTTTTTTTGCTATATTCCAATTGCCAATGTCGTTGCTGTTACTGTTGCTATAAAGATCGATCTATTACCATTGATATACATTACCATGCATGTAATTTGGGATATCATGATCGCGCCGAAGGATTTCCAATGCCGTGTTGTAGAAACAGAGTTCATTAGGGTGGACAGTAATACCATGAGGCTTATCAAACACCACATAATCCTTTGTATTTTCAATAATACGGATAGGCGAATCCGGGACAGGCGGTTCTATTTCATAAACAATATATTAATTATCATTTGCGTAAAGCTTAACTTTATAATATCTTAAGTACTTTACCATGACGATGGCAGTTGAGAGATCGGAGGCTCTCCCCGCCTTTTAGAACGTAATCCGGAGCGATGACTTTATCGTTGACAAGCACATCACCACGCTTCATCGCGGCTATCTACATGAGCAGACAACAAGTTAGCCAAACAGGGAGCCACATCGTAGGCCGATGTGTTCATATGAGTAGCATCAAAGAGACGAAATTACGATCATGTTATTTGTGCATCTGCGAGGCATTTCCGATGCAAAAACTTCAGGTACTGTACGATTATGCCAACGAAGTTTCACATGGGCGAGATAAGTCTGTTGGTAAGGCTTAATTTTGCGAAGACCATCTTCAAAGTAATATTCTGGCTTGATCGCTTCAACAGGCAAGGGCTTTCGTTTGGGTAATCTCAAGACCTTTGGCGACATGATTCCAGTATGAATGTATGAATGGCCAAACTTTTGAAGGCCCTGTAAAAGACTCGAAGAAAAAAAGCGTTCTGAATGGACAATCAATGCCTGCATCTTGAGTCATTACGCAAAAATTAAAGTATCAATTCTATTTTCAGATGAGTATCAAGGTAGAAGCCACATCACCGCCAAATAAAATCGCCTCTTTTTAAAGATTACCCCATCTTAAAGCATCGCAAAAAGTATATACCCATGTCTCACAGAGCAGAAGAATCAAGGAACAATCAGGATATGACTCAATGCCAGAATGTGCCGAGAGTTATGCCTTGTCCAACTCATACAGTGGGCCACACCACCATCCTCATCACCCAACTCTCTTCCATGACTCCACCCTATGAACTTACACGCCACCAAAATCAGCAGAGCCATATCGAAACAACTCAATGGATGCTAGGCAACACAAAATCATGTTTAGTCCAACCCGCAGTCCACAAAAATATGGACAATGAAGCATTCGAGCGCACATTGTGGCACTTCATACCACCAACCTTCCATCTTGAACACAATGGCACGAGTCCGGAACCTGTGCTTGAAGATGAACAGCTGCGATCGAAAAATCTAAATTCCAACAGTCAATTAAAAAGTCCAGTAAGGGCTAGTGGTTTTCAATGTAAAACCTTTATGTGTATGCTCCCCACTTTACATATGGACTGATCTTTATGCTCGAACCCTCTCAATTAAAATAGATATCATCATCGGACAATTTGGAATTAGATATCAGATATGGATCTTCAAAAACAGAAGTAAGAAGCCGGTGACCATGCATATCTAAAATGGACTACTCTTAACACTTGAATTGGCCAAACACTAATATAATCATATCGGTTGGTATGTAAAGCTTTTATCGCCAGAATCCCCCTCCAACAAACGCCGTCATCATAATATATTAGCTTCAAGCTGTCCCAAGAAGAGGAAAGATCAGGCGATACATCAGCAGCAAGCAACTTTATCGCCATTGCCTCAAACCTTTATGTCAACCTCTGGGCAGCAGGAAAAGAACCCTTTTGAGGTTCATGAGCCAAATTACAGCATTGATGCTGGCGAAAATAGTAGATTGGGACTACTCTCAGAGCTGCAGGACATACGACGCAGCAGGCACGAGTTATTCTATCAAAGTCAACAGGCCCTAAGGCCATCCTGGAAGACGGCACCCACGACGCCTCCGACTATGCGATACCGAGGGTGGTCCCTTGATCGAGATAATCCCTCTGCTCATTCCCTTGCTCCTTTTTATGGACCACCATTGACTACATCCAATATCCGAGCATTAGATGTTATCAATGAGAATACTCAATCTTACAATTCCAAAGCTGTCCATCCCTCCCCATCTGACCGCCTTACGGAACTGCCATTCAAATCAAACTCAGCTTCATGTTCAAGGGACAGCGAAGCTACACACCTAATGTCAACAGGCTCCCATACGGATGGAGATCCAGCAGAGGATCGTAATTTCCCTTCATTGATAAATATCAATGATAATCCATTACCCGATGATAGCACCATTATATTCAAAACGCCCACTAAAACAAGAGTTAGGAGGCTATCTATGTCATCATTGAGTACCAAGAGTCCATCTAGCATCTCATCTGTAACTCCACAAACCCTCTTTCAAACCCATAGTATTAATGAACATGATTTACCCCTTTGGACACCAGCAGACTTGGTGCAAGATAAGACTATACAAAATCTGCACAATGGCAGCTCTATTGGCATGGACCCGAATGATCCCTTCGTTGACAGCCCCACATCTAGGATTCAATGGTCTCAATCCCTAGAAACCCCTGAGAAGAAACGCTTGGAATCCGATGCTACGAAGGAAACTCAAAATAACGCCATCATCCAGAAACTACGGGGGCTACAACCAATAGATTTTATGGATGACATGGCGCAAGGCCTGGAGGGCTGGTCTGAGTCATTGGAGACACCGCCCCGAAAGTGCCATGTAAAAAAGGCGTTAGAGTTGGCACCGAACATCAGTTCAGGGATTCTGGACCGTCTTCGAGGGATTCCACATATCAGTCCTCCTGCAAAGGCGACAGTGCAAAGTGCATTATTACAGAGTGAATCATTCAACTCTACGTCCTCGTCTCCAGTAGATGGAAGCGGCGCTTATCAGGAAGACGAAAGCAGCATTAACAGATCTATAGACTCATATGCAGTTATAGATCAAGGAATTACTGAGGAAGGTCTAGTGAAGCAAAGAGTGACCACCACAAGCGCTGACACCGATCCAACTTTCGCGTTTCAATCAGAATTAAAAATGAAAGAGGATATTTCGGAGACATCGTCAGATACCGCAGAAACCAATACTGAAATCACTCTTCCTAGTTCGTTAGTGCATGAGCTAGAAAGTGATTCACCTTTGATTGAAGACAATGGGTATCAGAGTCAGATCCTTTCAGACAGCCAGATTGAGTTCTTTGACGGGATATCAAATTCAGCTATTGATAAAGAGCTCTTAGGTAGCTCAAATAAGAGCAGAGAGCGATTTCCTCAACCTGACAAGAGCCAAGAGGCGGGCTTGAACAACTATCAATCACCAGACAATAGCGCGATTACAATACAAGACTCTTCAGAGCCTCCTACGCTCGCAGTTATGGCAGCTACTACGCTCAAAGGAGCAGACGAGGAACAGGAAGAGAATGTTCGGGAAAGTGATGGGATATCCATCTCACAGGAGTTGAATTTAGATAACATGCACCTTGACTCCTGGGTCTTATCATCTTCTACTCAAAGTAATCAAGATATCAGCGTAAACATGAAGCAAGATAATGAAATCAACTTTTCCGAGCACCGGAATGAGATGATCACCGACATGACTTCAGACGATGACTTCAGTAATATTCGTTTCAGTCAGTTGGATGACGGATTTAACGCAGCTTGTGAAATTACGCAGATACCCTACAACAAAAGCGTCCATACTAAGACCAACGCCGGTAATCTGGAGATAAACGATGATGCTACAGGATTGTCAATCCTCAGCACGAAAAAACAGAGTGAGCCTTGTAGGGCAACAACCAGAAGAAATGGATGTGAGCAGCCACTTTTCACCAATGGAGGCTTCGCGTCTGCCAGCGGCAGGAAATTAGTCCCTGTATCCAAAGCAGCCCTGGCCCGAGCTGCTCTCATGTTAGATGACAGTACCTCTGATACCGGATTAAATGCAGAGGTTAGGCCGATTCACAGCCCATTAGATATCTTCAGTACTACAGCAGACCCTTCGTCGTTTGACAGGGCAGGAACATCAGGAGCGAGTACTTTACAGAATACCGAAAATACTTTGCCAAACATGGTAGTATCTTTGCTTCCGGATGAAGAGACCACTGGAGCTAAGATAGCAGCGAATCCACTAATAACTAAATCTATTAAGAACTCAGAGCACCAGGCCATGAAAAACCCATCCTCCATTACAAATGCTCATCAGCAATTTAAAGGCTTTACATCTGGGAGTGGAAAAAAGTTATCGGCTATCTCAAAAGAAGCCATGGAGAAATGGTCAAAGCAATTTGAGGAAGAAGATATGTCCGAACCTCTCCGCCCATTGCAACCATCACAGCCACATTCTGCTTCGCTCTCAAAAGCACTAAAGGAGTATGCAGGGTTCTCTTCTGGGTCAGGAAAGGCGCTTCCTCCTATATCAAATGCGGCCCGAAACCGTGCACTTGATGTACTTGAGGTGGATGAAAATGATCCGGTGCCTCCAGCTGTACGCAGAACTCCATTGTCTACGGAACTAGGGATAGCCAGGCCTGTGCCAATAAGTCTGCCAGGGCCTCAGCCGATGAACTCAATAAGTTCGAATCCCAAAATAGTGGCATCATCCCAGCAACCGGTAATTTCCAGCCATATGAACAAACTCAAGCTCAAGTCATTGCGGGCTTCCTCTTCAAGTTTATCCTTGCCAGGCCTTTTGAAGGCTAAAGCCCCGTTCCGGCCACCATTACCATTTAAATCGCCCATACGAAGAACGGATACGGTTGTCAACCCTTGTACTGGCGACAACAGTAATATCCTTCATGCTCCATTGCCTGAGAGTGCAACTTTAAACAAGAAACAGACGGGCAGGAAATCGATTTTACACCCAAATGCTCACTCTACTTGTTCTACATCTTCGACTACTAATCCAACCTATTCTAGCAAGGATATTCGTGTACCGTCTTATACTTCGTTATTTAACCTAGAAGGTAATACTCTCGTTATTTATATATATGTTTGAAGAAGAGAAGCGATATGCTATCCAAGTATTTTGAATGCTAAAATCCGAAGGAAAAAAAAAAAAAAAAAAAAAAAAAAAAAAACATATTTCTGAACAGCGCATGAAAAAAGACTAAGCCTTCGTGAAGTACTTGACCTGCCGCGCCATCGTGACGTTGGAGAGCTAATGGAAATTGGAGTGTAAGATTGTAAACCGGGAATAGAACTCAGTTGTGGAAAATGTAGACAAAACTTGTTAAACTCATCTTGGTTTCAACGGCAACTTTTTTTTTTATTTTTCCTAAAATATAGGCCAGAAGATATCATTTCACTGACGTTTTCAGACGCTCAAGCATATCGGTTCCAAAACTGGGGAGCAGATGAAGCTTATAATGACCTGATTGCCCGGGGTGCAACGCCACAACTTCTTCCCAAAAGCTGGCTACTCAATCATTACGGACTCATCGTCTGGAAACTTGCTTGTTACATACGTACTTGGCCCGACTACTTTTTGTCTGCATCAAATGGTGGCCAAACATCTCCACCGCTTTGGTTTTCTCCTACAAAAGTTTTAGACCAGCTCGCGTATAGATACGAGCGCGAAATAAATCGAGCTGAACGACCGGCTCTGCGAAAGATTGTCGAAGGCGATGAAAGCGCTGCAAGGCATATGGTCCTATGTATCGCTAGCATTGATCGTCAGTACTCGGAAGAATTAAAGCAAAACACATGGAAAATTTTGGTCACGGATGGGTGGTATGTCATTCCTGCAGTTCTGGACCCATATTTAACAAAGGCAGTTGATAAAGCTAAACTGAAGGTTGGCAGCAAAATCCATGTATGCAGAGCGAAACTGAATGGGGCTGAGAATGGAGTTGCCATCCTTGAGCTCGCTGGCGCTGGTGCCCAATCTTCTTCCATAGCAATTATGCTACAAGCGAACGGTACGAAACTAGCACAATGGGATACTAAACTCGGCTTCCAACGAGCACCAGTCATCTGGACAAGACATTTGGCGACCATTCAGCCCGAAGGTGGAATGATTCCTGGTTTAGATGTGATAGTGCTTCGAAAGTATCCTATGGTTTATCTAGAAACATTAGATGACTGTGTCACCAAGATCAAACGCACAGAGAGAGAAGAGGAACGAGCCACTGCAATTCATCAAGAAAAAATGGAAAAGCTTTATCAAGATATGATCCAGTCGGTTGAGAAGGAATTTGGAGCTGATTTAGGACTAAATCCTGATCAAGTGCAAGCAGAAATTCAGAAGAGAGCTGCTGAATTGCGGAATAAGACAGGAACCAGAAATGTGGCACACTTTTTTACAATTCGTGTTGGGGATTATGTAAATGCCCTAAGAGGCGCAGAAATTCGCAATGCGCGATCTGAAGCACTAGTGACATTTTGGCATGCTGAACATACGCCTTATCAGGAAGGCTGTCGCGTGAAGGTTAGTTAATTTTCGTTTCCATTGGCATGATTTTAAAAGGAAAAAAAGAAAAAAAAAAAAAAAAGGTAATAATGTAGATGATTTGTAGATGACTTCACTTATCGCGAAGAAGCCGAGTCGCGAATTTGGATTCGAGAATATAATTCAGCTGACCGGAACTCGAATGAGTACGGTTCAGGAGATGCCAACGGATCCTGAGGCGGTGCTATTGACGAAATATCATCCGCGGGAAATTACCCCATGTGAGGAACTTGGGAATCTAAATCAAGGTGCCGAGATCGATTTGGCTGTGATAATCCTTGGTAAGCACACACCATACATATTTTGAATTTTTCATAAAGAAATCGTCTAATTGTCTAATCGTCTAATCTTACTCTGGTAACTGCTTTTAACTCGTCATTGCATCTTCAGCAATTAGCGAAGTCGTCTTAAATCTCAACAAGGTTTTAATGGTTGTCACAGATTCCACAAGACACCTCGTACTTGTTGAATACCAAATTTCCCGACCATTTGCACCAACAGCAGTGGAGAATGTCAAGCCCTCTACATCATCATTCGAGCCTGCATTGCCTGCATTGCCTGCATTTATGAAAGTATACAGCAAAATCTTACTTGCCAATGCTCGTTATAAAATGCGGGATAGCAAATTGGGGGTGGAAATTGTATCTTCGTTACAGAGTTACACACATATCACTTCAGCCTCTTCAACACTTACGCCCCAAGCTGTACGGTCATTACCTCGTGGAGTGGAAAGGAGCAGCATAGGATTAGATTCAGTTTCAACTTCGGGTTGGCCGACATATGCGCACTCTGCTCTGCATAAATTAAATAACATCGTTACAAATGACGGGAATGCTGAGAGCTGCGTCGGCGATGGAGACAAAAAAGAGACGCTCTTAGACCTGACAACCAGAGCTAATGCAGTTCTCGCGAGTATGTGGCCTTTGCTATGAGGATAATTTCTTGGAAAATGCATACACAAACCTTCCGTTGTCTTTATTCTAAAAGCAAGTCGCTATTGCTGAGTCAATAAAAAGATAGATGAATCGTGTATTTTATGCACATATTAAAAAAAGAAAACAAGGATGATGAAACAACTTGAAGGTTGCTTTATAAAAATATTGGTAAATGGTGTCCAACGCTAACGGACTAAGATTTATCAAGGTCACTATTGCTATAGAAAAGATCTACAAAATTTGTATACCCTGTTTTCTCGAATGGATGACAGAGGAAACAGAAGTCATTGAAGAGCCGGCAAAACATGGATAGGACGACTGACCTACTTATTTTCAACTACTCTCCGCAAAAGATAAAAGATAAAGAGAGACAGTGGCCATGCTTCCATCTATTCCATCGAAAATTGAGAATAGAGACAATCGAGACAGGGAATAGGGACTCGTGCTGCTCGCTCTTTTTGATTAGATCTTTTCAAATACAAATGATTTGCTTAACGAAATCCTTGTAATTGAAAATCTGACTGAAAAGTGAACAGCACAGAGATACGGCATTCGCACCTTCAAATATAAACGTGCCAGCACATCACATGATTGATTATTAAGAGAGATGATATTAGAGACCCTTGTCTCTGCATTGCTCCAAAGTCCTTAAAATCAAATGAACATGCTGTCTACTATTGTCAAACGTTCATTTACCTCTTTTGCTTCCTTAAGGCAGCGGTAAATTAAGTTACTCTTGATTATAGGTCATTCCAAGTGATGAACGGTTCATTTCAAGTCATTGGACGTCATATTCCAGTAACCTCTGGCTTGGCTTCTTTCTTACCATGTGTTTATAACCATGACTTTCCGCCCTATACATATTTTTACTCCTTCATAGATCTCACACGGTAAAGATAGTTCGACATTCGTTGGTGTGGATTGACTGTGAAACAACGGGTCTTACAGATACTGATAAGCTACTCGAGATTGCGGTTATCATCACAGATGATAATTTGAATATTGTTGCTGAGGTAATGATGAAAGTTTAAAAGAACAGAGGTGTTTTTTTTAAAAGTTGAGAGTGCTCTCCTGATCTGTCATTACTATCATACTAGGGACCAAACTTAATCATTAATCAACCAAAAGAGATAATGAGTAGGATGGATAAATGGTGCACCGAACAGCATGAGAAAGTAAATCCTTCAATCCTCCATAGTTTTTTGCTTGCTGAGTATAACAAAAAAAAAATCGATAAACTACTCTCAAATCACTGACGATCAACTTTATCAACGTATTCTTTTCTCTTTATCTATTTTATTTCTTTATTACTACTATTCTAGTCTGGATTGACAGCAGCTGTTCTTACTTCTGAGATATCTACAGAAGAAGCGTGCAATCAAGTTCTTCAGTTCATAAAGCAACATATTCCGCAACCTCGGCGCGGTATCCTCGCGGGTAGCAGCGTCCACTTTGATAAGAAATTTCTGGAACGCGAAATGACACCTGTTGTGAATCATTTACATTACCGAATTATAGATGTCTCGACTATCAAAGAGTTAAGCAAAAGGTGGTTCCCAGGTGAGTATAAGAAACTCCCAGAAAAAGTAGGAACACATCGTGCGTTAAAAGACATTAAGGATTCTATCAGGGAACTCCAGTTCTATCGTGATACAGTCTTCAAGCGGACATAGATAAAAAAAAAAAAATCATTTAGTCTAAAAAAATAAACCCAGAACTTTGAACATTTGCAGTCGGGACTTGACTACAAAAGTCAGATCAATGGGATACTGGAGTATGCTGATGTAAGGACTACGTTGGGAAACAAGAATTCTAAATCTATAATTATATTTTACTCACCGTCCAAAACTGATCTACTATCCCCTTAATTACTAAAAAGGGGAAGAAGCGGAATAACTGTCGCCTACTCCTTTCGTTCGTGAAGTGATACGCGTGCATTACACCTGAACAGACTGGAATAAGGCTTCGACGATTATACATGCCGAGAAGGGCTCCACATCCTCTTCTCCTAGTATATCTCCTATAATGCGACATGTGGATATCAAAAAACGTTTTGTTGGCTTTTGCAAAAAAAAAAAAAAAAAAAAAAAAAAAAAAGTTTTGCTTTTAATGTAGTACAGAACGATAAGAAAAAAATCCTCTTGGCCAAACCACATCAATCCGAACTCCCTTCATAGCTTTCAAATAAGATTTTACAAATTGCTCATTGAAAGAAAGACCGAATGTTATGAGATACTGGTTTTATTTCATCTTTTTTTTTTGTTTATCCGTCCAAGACAATGAGATTAGGTGAAGGCAATAGAATGATGCGCATGTACCTGTATGCCTGTGTGTTACATCGTTGTTACTCGTGTACTCAATGCAATTAAAAGTTTCCAAGGCTTTCATTTTGCTACTATCGGTTTCCTATTGCCGTCATCATGTGCATAACGACACTTTTACTCTATTATGTGTTCACTTAATTTATTATGACCTCTTCCATCGTACAAGGTCCTCATATATTAGTAGGGCTAAATATATATGCTAAAGTTTCTAAAATGCAAAAAAGGCTGCAACGGCTGCTGCTGCTACTGGGACAACGATTCCGGCCTTGAGTGCCTTAGCAGCACTAGGGGTGTTTGAAGGAGAGGACTGGCCAGCAGTAGTGGTCGTTTGTGAAGGAGAGGTAATGGTGGTTGCAACCGTCGTTGTTACAACTGTCGTTGCTACAGCTGTCGTTGTCGTAGCTGTAGGAACAATTGGCTGCGAAGCTGTCAGCGTCGCACTACGGCTTTGTTGAATGGCAAATAGATGAGAGTAGATCTCTCCGATCCTGAGAGAATACCACTGGGGCTCCAGCTTGGGATCCAAAAGGCCTTTGAAGGACTTTGATCCCTTCTTGGCGGTTCCCAAGGTGGAAGCGATCCATTGAGCCTGGACATTGGGGCCTGTTAGGAGTTCAATGTCGGCATCTTCGAGGAGAGGCTGTGCCCATTTAACGGTGACATTAGTGCCGGGAACCCAGACAGTGCCTGCACCAGGAGTGAGGATACTAACTTGAGCAAGGGCAGTGCTTGCAAGAGCGGCAACAGCAGTAGCGAGGATAGTGAAACGCATGGTGGATTGATTTGTAGGAATAGAAATAGAGGAAGAACTTTTTGATTCTTTGGTGGAAGAGAAAAGAAGTGAAAGAAAAAAGCAGAAAGTAAAAAAAAAAAAAAAAAAAAAAAAAAAACCTGCTTTTTATTGCTTATTCAAAATAGTGTTTCCATTTTGTTTTATGAAGATCAGGGGTGGAATGTGGGAGATGGCTTTGCTCAAATCAAAATACAATCATTTTTACACACAGCTCGTTTAAAAATGTTTATTGACCCTTATTGACATCATGTTTTAATTTTTTTTTTCTTTTTCTTCGATTATTTTCCCCCTAGATCAAACTTGCTAAGTATTGGATTCATTTGCGGCTCCACAATGGCTTTGTGGTCTCTGGGAGGTACAACAACATCCTTGAACTCCATGATGTAGATGTTCAACCCTCTCAATGTATGTGCAATATACAACAAAAGGGCAAGGCTGATTGTGCTCTTCACGTTGTGTGAGTACATTCAACACGTCAGCAAAAACTGTAGATGATATTTGGCGTCCAGGTTGATCATTGGTCTGATGTTGAGGATTTGCCTGTGAAGGCGTCTGTTGACGGATTGGATATTGAGTAGGAAACGACCCTGCTTCCTCTTGCTGTGACCGTTGAGACAGAGAGGGTTCTAAAGGAGATTGTCCAATACTGACTCCTGTAGATGGAGCTCGTCTCCACTGTGGTTGTGGTGACGGGGATGGTGGTATTTTCACTTGATCCTCAGCATGATATTTAATGGGTATCTGTGACAACGGTGTCGATGATTGCCTAAATAATGGAGATTCAACCACCCGATTCTTTGTATCTGCATGCTTGAAAGCTCTTATGTCAGGACATCCCTGTCTTGGTGCAGCGGTTGCTACTCTGAGGCCTTTAAAGAGACGAAAACGGGTCTTATCCTGGCAATACTCATCGTCGCCGACTGAAGTAGTATTCATTGTCGTGGAAAGTGATTCATGACCTTCAGATTTAACAGCAGTATTAGTCGAGACTGGATACAGTTGGTGATATGTACTAGCCAGAACGCGACCGGGTTTGTTAGAGAAGGCCTCTGGGGACTTTAGGATTGTCCCTTTATCACCAAGAGTTGTGTTGACACTCTGAGACGTAATTGGAAGGCTCTCAAAGACATGAGTGTGCGCTGTAACCATTTTAGGGGAACGTGAGTGTAGTACTGTTGGATTGTACTTCATATTATCCCCTTGATGACAATGGGGGTGAGAAAGCTGATAGCTTTCTTCATTTTGCTGCGAGAATAGTAGCATTCCTTCAAAAGCCGGTGGTATATGCCTTATACTATCTACACTTTGATGTTCTGAATTATTGCTCCTGTGTTCACTTGTAGGTATGTGGTCTTCGCCTCGAAGACTTCGCATTTCTCGCTCAAAGATGATGGCTTCCTCCCTTTCCTGCGCGCGACGCAGTGTCTTTCCTGCCTTGTAATATAGCCTCATTGCCTCCTCTCGCGCTCTTTGCGCCCTTATCAGGTCGCATTCTGGTTCTATAATGTCCATGGTGATATGACTTGACCCCATGCTATTGCCATTACTTCGAGCCTTAGAAGTATAGACCGCTTCCGCGGATCTCAAGAGAGGAAAAGACTTTGCTCTGCCATTGAAGATATCACCTTTGCTGAAAGGATCAGAAAGACGGGAGACATTTACAACTGACTGTGGGCGGCGCAGTCGATTATTATGCATGCCTTGTTGATACTCCCTGGCTTCAAGCCTACGTAGACGTTTTTGGAGCTGTGGCATGTCTATATGAGAGGCCGTCGGTGGAGAGGAGCGTGGATATGAGACAGGTGAGGTGCTCTGTTTAAAGATTCTTTGAGGTTGAGGCTCAGTTAGAGGAAGTGATTGATTGGGGTTAATTAATGGATGCAACGGTGTTCCGAAAGGTGCGATGATGTTTTGTGCTAGACTAGAGGAAGACCCAGAAGTCGAAGGACAGGCTAAATCCTCTTGGCGGATACATGTTCTCGGCCTTTTGAGTGTCTTGAGCTTTGGCTTGAAGATTGTCATGTCTACCTGGACCCCTTCACGGAAGAGTAAAAAAAAAGAAATAGAGAAAAGGAAGATAAAGGAAGTTGGAGTGAAATGTCCAAGCCGAGATAATGAATTACTACTGCTTATCTATGTCTGATTAATGCTAAACTGGAATCTGATTAAAAAAATAAATAATAAAAAATAAGAGGGAATTCATACACAAGAGCCTAGGTCAGATCGCGTCAGGTAATAGTAATGAAAAAAAAAAAAAAAAAAAAAAAAAAAAAAAAAAAAAAAAAAAAGGCGAGAAAGAGGAGAGTGAAGGAGTAAAGGAGAAAGCGCTGTTGTGTAGAAATTGTTTTTTTTTTTTTTTTTTTTTTTTTTTTTAAGTTATTGACTGCGCACAGGCATTAAAAAAAAAAAAAAAAAAAAAAAAAAAAAAAAAAGCGCAGCATATAGTGGATAATTGCATCGTAGAGCCATTAGAAACATCTTTTTGTTCATCTATTTTACTCGTTTGGCCATTTGAATGTGTCGCAGAAAAATTTTAAAGATCTCTATAATCTGTTTAAAAGCATGAAGTAAAGAAAGAAGGAATGCTATGATGGTAAAAGATCTATTGCTTGTTGTTATTACTGTTGCTGTGAATGTTGTTCTGATAGACCAGCTTGCTTCTCAAATGGCATTCCCCTGGCCTTAAAGAACGTATAGCTCAGGACTACAGTATCGACATCCGCCATATCTGGATCATTTGCGAACTCAGGATCCAAGAAGAAGAAGATTGGCATATCCACCTGCTCACCTGCCATCAATTTTTGTTCTTCGAAACAGAAGCACTGGATCTTATTGAAATGAGGCGCTACTTTGGAAGGAGTTACATTATAGGTTGCAATGCCAATCACGTCATCCTTTGATTTGTTCTTGGCTGTGTAGAATGCTAATGCTGTCTCCCCCGGCAATACTGAGACTTGGCGTTGCTGGGGTTGGAACGACCATTGCAGCGACGTTGATGTATCTGCATTAAATTTGACCTTAATGCGACGATGATTGTCGCGTGGGACCAAGCGTTCGGGTGCAAATTTTGTCTCCCCCACCATAGGCGCGCCTCCTAAGCCAGTTGCAGAACAGAACATACGATAAAGTGGCACTGCAGCGTATGAAAGCCCCAAAGTGCCTATTAGAATTGATGCTGTGTAATACAACATATCAGTGTTCTTGGCCTTTACACGTTTCCGAGACCCTAGAGCCTCTGTGAAGCCGGACGATCCGGATGGAGGAGAAGGAGGTGTGGAGACATTTGATCTGGCGTTATGGATATGATGTGTCGCTACATTAGCATTGCGCAAAGACCATGGTGAAGCAAGTCGTTGGGTCGTTGCAACTTTGTTAAACAAATGCTAAGAGCGATAAGGAGCAAAACGTCCAGTAGCAGAGGGACTATCTGTATTTAGAAAAGATAAAAAAAAAAAAAAAAAAAAGACTGTTGGACTAATTCTTCACCTACCTGGCGAGTGGATGCCAAGCGGAATGAGATACCCATTGATTTTTGTGCCATTACGATGATTTGATTGATCACAAAAATGGATCAGTGTGAAGAATAAAAAAGACTACAAACGAGCTGGATGTCCCGCAAGACCTGACTACTAGACTATGTGACTGCCACGATGTGTCGGAGTTTATTAACGATTTTGTGCATGAATTTAATTTGATGCACTTTGCTGTCCAACGGTGGACAGTGCTGTACGAGAACATCATCCTTCCTACTCCAACGCCACTGTAATACCACTAGTGCTGGCTATACCAACTACACCCTTTTGTTCTTGGCTCTTTGCCTTCAGCTGGCACCAACCTTGTTCTTATTGATCCTCTCCAGCACTTTCCTCCCCTCCTTTCTCATCACGTTTAAGTTTCGCCCTCCGGTTTTGGAACCATACTTGGATAGTCCTTCGGTCCAATTTGAGGTACTTGGCAAACGACTCACGCTCCTGCGCTGTTGGTCGCTCGTTGATCTTAAATTGATGAATCAAAAATTCGCTTTCCTCATTGGTCAGTCGTCGTCTGCGTTTAAGTGTCGATAGTACAGGAGTAAAATGATACTCTTTCTCTCCTTTGAATGCAGCTTGTGGAGACGAGTGATGATGGAAGTGTTGACCATTCTGTATGGCCTCTGAAAGCTCTTCCGAGGAATAATATTGAGGATAATGTTGGGTGCAGTACGATTGAGGGTAAAGATTGAATGCTTGAGGTTGCTGCTGGTGATGACACTGCAAGTATGTCTTGGTCCATGGGTGCGAACTCATATGGTGCTGACATGGAAAGCTTTGCGTGTAAGGGCCATTGGGCTCGCGCAGTGGCGATGGATGCAGCACAGGGTTTCTCGACTGGTCGGACAGATGGACAAGGTCCTGCGCCTGCGGCGTCAGCTGCAGCAATGGAAGCGTTTGTGGCGCTTCTCGGTGAAGCGAGTTGACCAACATCCATGCTTCAAGTTGATTACACGGAGGTGTGTAAATACCATTTGTGGAAGCGATCCCATCACTGTATTCATCCAAAAGGCAACAGGTAGATATGCTATTATTTTGTATGGTGATGGATGAAGAAGATTGAATAGGCGTTGTGGCCGTACTTTTTGCCTTCGGAGGGTCATTGAAGGCATCCCATGGATTCCGTTGGCCCTCGCGGAGCTGTTGGATCGCCATGGTTGCCTGGGAATGTTCAACCTGATTTGCCACGTCTAAGAGATTGATGGGTAGTTGCGAGCTTTGAAGATCGTAGCCCAGGGCTACAGACCTGAGGTCATGATTATCTAGACCAGCAGACCACTGCCCATTGCAAGAATCTGTTGAAAGCGAAGCTATATTCCCTGTTGGAACACTAAACAACTTCTTTTGCTTTACTTGAAATTGTGTTGCAATCTCAGACGAAAGCAAAGGCACCGCGACTGGTACCAAAGACGGCTTGCTTGATAAAATCACTGCATTGTCAGAGTTTATGGATAATATCATAGATGGTTCCTCGATTTCTGATAGTTGCAACTGCTTCTTCGCCTCTGTATTATTATAGTACTGATAAAGAGGCCATGTTGAAGCATCTCCTTCGTAGGATATCGATAACAAAGCATCAATATCTTGTGATATTGAAGTTGACGAGGCATCTAGCAGGCTACAGAAATCAACGCTGTGATTAGACAGAGATGGTTCAAATAAGTGGATAGATTAAGGTCATTATCAATATTATCATCATCGCCGTCATCAGCGACGTGTCAGTCGAAGATATATCGAAATTTGTGCAAGAGATCGTTGTTGCAAATAGATAGGGAAATATTGCCATTAATAGAAGCATTTGCCCCCTATATAATTCCTAATTCCTTGAGCACATAGCGTGGTTTTCCTATTGAAAGTGATAAATTGATGGGCTTCTCCTTTCCGATCCGCCGAAGCCTCTCCAGTCTCGATGTGCAACGTTCCATTCTACACAAGCATATCTGATCACCCTAGTGATGTGAAAACCAAAGGCTCATTCGTTACCTTGAAGCAGTTTGAGAGAGAGCATCCACGCTAGGTATCAGCAACGTCGGCTGCACAGCATCAGATTGGTTGGTATCAACAACGGTATTTGACCAAGGGCTATGATAGTCCTCGCCGGAGCTGATTGTTTGCTCAATTAAATCAGCATTTTCAGGAAAGGTTCCAGCATCGATAAAGCCCAACTCAGGCCAAATAAAGTTTTTATCTCCTTCAGCAGAATCTTGGGAACTTGACCCTTGGTATGAAATAGGACTAATGAGCTCTAGTGCGGTCAATCCTTCCTGTGGGTTATTCATATATGGAAGTGGAGGCGATAGCAAGAATAATGGGAGATTGCCTGGATCTGGATTTGGCGTAGGCAAGCCAATAAGAGGATCCCACTCAATTTCAACCAACCTGGGAGGAGATGTAGTGGCAGCATAGTTGAGAAATAAAGAGTCCATGTCCATCTGATGCAACTAGATGAAACCCGCTGAAGTTGTAGTTAGAAAAGGAAGGGCGGTAATCAAAAGGGTGGATCAACGCAAAAAAGTAGGGAGTGAGAAACCGAGGGGTGGAGAATCGTACCGCTCTTATAGAAAAAGAGTTTTTTTTATATAAAAAAAAAAAAAAAAAAAAAAGGAAAACGAAGCAGAGCAGGTAAAAGAGAAAGCAACAAGCTGGTTTATTCAAGTTGGCAGCAGAGCAATTGCTGCAAAAATCTGAGTGGAATCTCCCATCAAGGCGGTACCATCATCTTTTTTAAGTTATACAAATGAGATCTCTATTCAAATGATGGATTTGGAGCTGAACGATAGCTACTGAAGTAACTTGGGCTGTATGCTATTAAAACGATGAGCAGTAGGAAATATCAGCCTCAGAAAAGCTGATGGATTGAAAAGCCATAATTTTTTTTTTTTATACTTATTTTCCCAATATTTAATTTGAGGTTGCTAAGAAAAGTCTGACAGCTTCTCTAGGTCTTTTAGTCGCTTTTCTGCAGAATCCACGCCTTTGGCACAGGCTAAATGGTACCACCGTTTTGCTTCATTTATATTCTGTTCAACGCCCAGCCCATGCTCTAGAAAGAAGCCGGTGATATATTCAGCTTTAGGTACTCCTCGTTGCGCTGCGGCTTCCACGAATCTGAATGCTTCTTCGTCGCTCTGCTCTGCTGCTTGACCTGCACTTCCATCAAGGTAAAACCCTGCTAGCGCCAACAATGCTTCGACATGCCCGTTTTCGGCTCCTCGTCTATACCAGTGGACTGCCTGAACTGGATCTTGCGGACATCCTAAAATACCAAACTCATAACATGCTCCCAACTTGTATTGTGCTGGTGCATAGTTTGCTTGTGCTGATGCTGCGTATAGCTCAAATGCGGCGTCCTCATCCGGAACGAGACCATACTCTCTGTGTTCATGGAACTGCGCTAGTTGGTGAATCAAATAAGGGTTGTTCTGGTTTTGGTGGAGTAACGCGTCTTTAAGGTGTGCATAGTCCACATCCAAGCCGACATGTCCTACCAGTAATCTCAAAAGCGCTCTCTCGTTCCCCTGTGCTGCAGCCTTTATATACCACTGCTTCGCCACTGCTAGATCCTGTGGGACGCCAATTCCAACTTCATAATAATGCCCTAATGTATACTCGGCCTTGGCCCAGCCCCGTTTCGCTGCCTTGGAAGCCCATTCGTATGCTAGTGGTTCTGATTGGATTAATCCTTGAGGATGGCCCGTAAGATACCACCCCGAAACAGCAAGCTCTGCATCAGCATGGCCCTGCAAAGCTGCACGCTTGTACCAAGCAAATGATTGTGTGGGGTCCATGGGGAAGTGAGTGAGGCCAAGTTCATAACAGATGCCTAATTTAAATTGTGCTGGTGCGTAGCCCAGTCCTGCTGCGCGAATATAAAGTTCTTTACCATATAGTTGGAACTCTTGACAAGGACTTGTCTCCAGCTGAAGGGCGAGATGATAGTAGTGCTCAGGTCCTGTCAAAAACGTTATCCGGTTCACAGAATCCTCTGATTGAGGGTCATAAAAGTAGCGAAGATCTAATGCTTCTTTGTCGTAGCTATTGTCTCCATCGCTTTCAGGATCGCTGTCACTTTCGTTTCTAATGTCTTTGCTGTCCATCGACGTCGTGATAAGCGGAAAAGCAGCTACACTCTTAGCTGCCAAATTATTTTGCCGTAGATATATATCATCATCGCTGATATAAGCTTCGTTATCTCCGTCGTGTTGCCTATCACGGTGTATCCCCTTCAAAAAATGCTTCTTAAGGCTCTTTCCGGTTTTAGTAGCGAACAGAGTACCTTTAGAGACTGAGTTTTGGGAATATTGTTTCAATTGTGCAGCCTTCCCAAGAATACGCTTCATCCAGCGAGCAGATTTTTGATTGTCATTGTCTTTTTGTGCGGAACTTGAGTTCGGTTGTATTACCGGAGAAGCGTCTGGGCAGAATCGTGGACATGCTGTTGAAGTCCGACCCACAAAATGACTATCCATGGTTCGTTGATTGCCATCCAGCAGAGAAGAATTGCGGTGATCAAGGGAGGAATGGGCACGAGAAGAGGAGGAAGAAGATGGATAAAGTAATGATGATCGCTTGCGATGGCGGCGAGTACGATGTGATGAGATAGAAGTTGAAACGGATAATGCCGTTGTGCTATTACTAGAGATATTACTATTGATGTTGTTGTTGCAGGTAGTGGTATTGTAGTTACTTGTGTCATGAATGGTTGAGGGATGCGAGGATTCGTCGTCATTATTATTGCTATTGTTGCTGTTAGTGTTGTACTGCCTAAGTTCCTCTGCGATAATAGCTTCGTTTTGGATATTGGCCCTGTCGATGTTTCCACCGGGAGTATTGAAAGTGGAAGAAGAAACAAAAGCAGAAGTAGGCGTTGATGCTTCTGAACTTTGATGGTAACGATTAGGGCGGTTTGCTCGTTTTTCTAAATACTTTTTGACACTCTTCACGAACGCCATTTTTTTTTTTACTCCTTGTGGAAATGATAATGATCTTTCAAAATAAAATAAAAAATGCAAAAGAAAAGCAACAAACGAACAGAAATGGCTCGTCACTTTCTTCACAGGGAAGAGTATCGCATAGACAGCTTTAAGTATAGTGGTAAGAACATAAAAAAAGGGGGGGGGAGGAAGAGAATCAAGGACGAATGCAATTGACCTGAATTCGGTTTTTTGAGGGTCCTGGGGATATCCCCCTTGCCGTACCATGATCATAAATAAAAAAAGAAAATACCAGTACTCATGTCATCGGCATTGTCAGCATGGTTCTCATTTTCAGCCTGTACCAATGCCAAGAATCTTTAGAAATGGTAAATCTAAGGGCAAAAGCAGGAGAAAGATTGGGATAGGGGAGGGACATCGACAATAAATCGGACATCACTCCACCCCCTCATGCAATTTTAAGCATGCATGTCGTTCCTGGCGTTGATCCTTCCACCCCAAGTGTTCTGGTAGTGCAACTGTTTGGTGTTGATTATCTCAGATATTCCATGAAGCATGGCGGTAACCCTTGGTCTCGCTTAACATTTTTTATGTAAAGTGTCATCCACCAGTCCTTTAAGAAAGAGGTAAACTGATTGTTTAATTTCACGATAAGAAGAGCAATCAATAGCAATCATGCTTCGAATGAATTGACCTGTGAATAATGGCCAGCCTGTAATTTAACATGTGAACGGCAAGTGCTAAAAAACCAAGGCTTGCCGTATCCTGCTTTCATGGTGTCCGTTCTTTTTATTTAATTTTTTAACGGTCCTCAGCCCACTCGTTCTCCTTCTTGATTTGAGCCTCTTCCTCAGGCGTAAAATCATTGACAATGTTGAAGGCCATCCGAATCTCCTCGGGCGTTTTGCCCTTAATAATATTGGCCACTGTCTTACATCCTACATCGAGTAAGGGCTTGATATCTAAGTAATTGGCAGCAAGAATGATCTCAAACAGCATCTCTTGGTCCACTTGCATAAACTTCCTATCCCATTCCTCAATATCATTGGAACGCTTGCGAGGATCATCTGACTCGTCCTGAACTTGAATAGGATCGTTCCTATGGTGCTCACAGTATTCAATAACCTTTGTCAGCACAGCAGACGACACATTGGGTAGAGGAATGGGTGCATCACTCTCACCCACATCTTCAATCATGTTTTTGATGAGAATGGATCGCTCAGCGACCTCCTTATCAACCTTGAACTGTTGATTATCCAGTGAGACAAGTGTGATAGTCATGGTAGAGTTGATTTCAGTTGGTTTTGTAATGGGGGAATGATTAAGAGAGGGATTACAAATTTATTTACACAATGAAATGCGATAGGTTTTAGGCTCTAAAGGGGTAAGAGGAGTAAGGGAGTAAAGGAGTGAGGGAATGAAGGAGTGAGGAATAAGGGAGTGAGGGAAGTAGGGAAGTAAGGGGAGTGGAGCGAGGAAAAAAAAGAAGAGAATAGAAAAAATTGCGCTTTTTTTTTGTAATGTGCCTGTGGCGCTCTTCCGTCTTCGCCACTCACCGCGAAAAGTTTATTTAATCGTTTATCAAATGAATTACTTCTTGTTGCGATGCTTCTTGAATAATGGGTGGTGTTCAGCTTTGTTCTTGTCCTTATCCTTCAAATTGACCGCCTTGTTATATTCAATATATGCCATCTGATCTCCTCCACTTAAGCTCTTGAGCCCTCCTACTGTGCGCTTCGCCCCGTTAGAACCACCAGCAACTGAACCCACATGGCTCAGTACTGATCCTCCACCTGCACCGCTGCGTCGGCTTGTGTTTCCCGTTAGATCATCCGCATCTGGCTCTACATCATCATTCAAGTCCGCTTCACTCTCCTGGGCCAGCAACACTGACTGGAGCAGACTCAGTTGTTCTGCAGGTGTAGAATAGACAAGATCTTGTTCTTGATCCATACCATCCAGATTCGTAATCACTTTAAATGCATAGCCTTGGTCAATCAAGAACTGTTGACGCTTGGTTGAATAGTACATTTCTTGCGTATCCTTCGACACCAACGAATAAAAGAATGCATTGAAACCTTCGTCGTTCCTACGCTTGGCTCTTAAAATTCGCCCTAAACGCTGCGCCTCTTGACGACGTGAGCCATAATGAGACGACACCTGAATCAGACACGTAGCTTCTGGTAGATCAATCGATGTGTCTCCAACTTTGGACAAAAAGATCGTATTAATCTTGGGGTTATGTTGAAAATTCTGTAAGATGCGGACACGTTCCTGTTGACTGGTTTCACCATAGATGAATGGCTTCATCAGTTTCTGTGCGTATGCTACCAATGCATATACATTGTCTGAGAAGACAATAATCTTGTCACCACGCTCTTCATGGTATCTAATTAGATATTGGCACGCTTGAAACTTATTGGGATTCATAACATACAACAGTGTTCTTTTCCTAGAATTTTCACGCAGATATTCTCGGTAGAAGGCTGGAGTCATCGGACACCAGACTTCTGCACATTGCACATTGGCAATATGTCCTTTTGAGGCTAAATCCATCCAGTTAGCCTCGTACAACTTGGGGCCGATCAAGAAGTTAAGATCGTCGATTTTCTCGTCTTCTCGAACAAGAGTTGCGGTAAGGCCCAGCTTGGCATGAGCAGCAATCGTTGTCAGGACCTTGCGGAACATGTTTGCGGGAACGACATGTACCTCGTCCAACAACAGAAATCCCCACTCTCGACTCTTTAAAAAATTCATCATCTTTTGCGAATCATGTGAGCGGTTACGGGTATTGGCAACCATGCTATATGTTGATATAACAATACCAGCAGCACCCAGAAATTTTTCTTTTTGATCTGACGTGAACACGGCGATTTGATGAGGTTTGATGTTGGACCACAGCAAGAACTGCTGCCTCCATTGTAGGACTGATACGGATGACGTACATAGCACCAAAGTGCTCTTTTTGACCGTGCAAGCCGCTGTGATACCAACAAGGGTTTTTCCTGCTCCACAAGGTAACACAATAATGCCTGATCGAGCACGACCGTTGCCAAACATCTTACTAAGCGATTTTTCTTGATACTATAGCATATAAGAGCGAGCTCACTAAATGTCAGTCCAAACATTATAGTATAGCTAGTGCTTGCATACTTTCTAGCACTCCTTTACAACTTCATAGGAAGGTTGGGACACTTACGGGACGAATGACAGTAATAGGCTTAAGATCAATCTCAAGATCAGGATTCAAAGTGTCATTCCTGAAATCGTATTCTTCTAGCATGGGATAGTCAAGTTCATTACACCTCTTCTTCACAGTCTAATGAAGAGCATAAAAATCCCATAATAAATAAATGAATAGCATGTTGATGTGAGAATGACAAAAAGAAAGCAAAACTCTTGAGAATACTCACTTCAACTGATGAGGAACTGATTTCGAATGAGTGAACGTCATCACTTTCAACATCATCATCATCCTTATCCAACCCAACAACTGCAAAGATTTCATCTCCATCTTGTCCTGCTGTGGCCCCAGCTGCTGCTGACGCTCCAGCCGCTACTTTATTAGGATCTGGGATATCTTTCTTTACGCCTGGGATTAACAAATCCTTCGCGTTCGGTGCCTTCCCAGTGATCAATGCACCATTCTGATTGGTTTCTTCTTCTCCTATTAGTCGTGCCTCTTTAATAATAGGATCTCGAAGCAATTTTTGTAACATCTCAGGGTGCGAAGATTCCACGAAGTATCGGTTGTGCTTCAAGACCAACTTGACTTTGCCATAGGATAGTGTACAGTCCCGAATCAGACCCAATATACTCTCAGGAACGGGTACTTTGGAAAGACGACTCAAAACCTCGATGATGTCTTCGGTCTCTAGTCCGACAGATACCGCAGCATAAAGTGAATACGGAGTTAACTTGTACTCATGGATATGAGAGGGCCTAGCAATGAGAGCGGAGAAGTATGATAAAAGCATCATGTAAGCGATGATTGGGATGGAAGCTAGTTAGCTGCTTCTGATTTTTTTTATTCCTACCTGCTGACCGGTTCACCAATTGTAATAAGAAAATCAATAGCCTTTTCAGCAATGGGTGAAAACCCTTCCAAGATAATATGTCCGTCCTCAGTAATCCATAATGGCCGTGATTCATGGTCTTGCTTAAGTGGGAGCCAGGTGTAATCATGGTCTCCAAATATATAGGAGACACTGTCTCTTTGAAAGCTGTGTGATTGGGCCACAGCGTCCATAGTAGCATGTTTGGGGACTGAGAAAGGAAATACAAAAAATTTTAAGATTAGATGCGTCTACTGTTGTATTCCATTAATACAACTATTATTGAAAATTCAGCGACAATTACCAACAAGTTTCTCAGAAAAATCCTCGTCAATATCTTGATCCTCTGGTACTCCTACGTCATGGATGGGTCCATCATCTCGTCGCCGTCTTTCATGAATAACATCTATATTTTCGTAAAAACGCAACATCTTATTAAAATGTTACTTAGTACATATTTCCTGTAATATGCAGTTGAGATATGTCGAGTGGAGATGTCACCAATCCATTGTTATCCAACTATAGCTCTACACACATACCTCCCGTTGGGCCTCGCTTTTGTCCCATAGTTAATGTATAGCTTGAATAAATGGGTTTAATTGAAAAAGAATGAAGGATGAGCAAGACAAAATTAGGTTTTTGATGATTTCAGGGTTCAATTAAACAGCCTCTGTTCTTTTTAATGTTCTCTGTTCTCTCTCTCAATTTTTTTTTTTTTTTTTTTTTTTTTTTTTTAAAAAAAAAAAAATGAATGTGTAAAGAGTAGAGAGGTAAAAGAGAAAAGAAAATTGCATTGAGCATTACAAAGAACTGGAGTTTATATACATGATTTGCTTAAGGGCAAGAATCAAATGAAAAGTGCTGCGCAATATTTTTTTTTGTATTACAAATCTCATCTCACTCTACAGGTGTCATCTCAAGCCCAGAACTTTTCCTTTTGCGGGTCATGGGCTGACTTGAGCCAGATAATAAATCCAATCCTGCAGTACGAGTAGTCGGTGTGGTCGATGTCGAAGTACTACTAGACCCAATTTGGGCTAAGCCCCCTGATGTACCTATAGGAGCAAATGACTGAGAACTCTTGAAGTTCTTGATTATGAATTCGACCTCTGACATCATAGCCTGTGCCATATGATAAACTTCAGTATCCTCATTATTATACATAATGGCGTTCATAAACATCAGTAGGACATCCCGGTGGAACTCATCTGCGTTTGTAATTTGCTATATTAAATATGTTAAACAGTTTAAAACGTAAGTTAAGAATTGAATTAGGTGGTGCTTCCAAATTACTAGTCGAAGTCTATGTCAAATGGCGTTGCTTGATGCCTTCCTATGCATTTTGAATCAACTTACACCATCACGGATACGCTCCTTGATACTCTTGAGATCCATGGGTCGTTTGATCATATAGTAGTAACCAGGTGCATCCTGTTCTTTAATTGGCTGCATAAATACGGCTCCAAATCGATGATTAGCAATGTCAGACCAAATCATCATCAGAATTTTTTTCCATTTCTTGTCATCCATCTGAGGCCGTATAACATGATCGGACGATATATTGGTGTTGACACCATCTGTAGCTTCACTGTCTGTGCTGTTATAGCCTCCATCTTCATTAATATCAACCGCATTGGCTGTCCCACGAGTAGAACGCCTTCTACGCTTTCCGGGCACGGTACTTGTTTTAATCTTCTTTGGTTTCCTAGCTGCTTTGGTGGTTGATCCAGCTACATCTTCATCTCCGCTGGTTGCGCCTTCATGTCCTGTATCTTCTCCGTCGTGATCGTGATCGTGGCTGAGACTATGCTCTGCCTCGTTAATCTTCTCTGATCCTACTAGGAGAGGTTTTAAATTAAGCTCTTCCTCTTTTTTCAATGTTTCTTCAGTATTCTCATGCAATTCTGGTGTTTTTTCCCGTGAAGAAGCCTTCTTCGAATCTTCCTCAGTCTCTTCCTTGTCCTTTATCTCGGACTCCGTCATCATCTCGTCGTCTTTACGCTTGCCCTGTTTTTCGACATTGGCTTCTTCATCAATAGCTTCATTTTTCAGTTGTGTATTGGTCTCCGGGGCCTGCTCCCCTCCACTGGGTGCAATATCTATCTCCTCATGGATGGCTCCAGACTGCAATAAATCTGATTCTGATCCTAGCGATTCGTTCAAATGTTGTCTGTCTTTTAAGGCGCTAACTGTATCTGGTTTCCCATAATGCATCTCAGCGATTTTAGGCATTGCGTTATTCTCAGGTATCGCGTCGGATTTTAGTGGCTCTTGTTCTGTAGCGTCGCTCATTTCAATATCCACTGTCCCTTGAACAAGCGTTGGCGCTGCACTTGATGAGATGCTATTACTGAATTCTATAGAGGCGTCTTGTGGTGTTTGTTGCGATCCAGCTACATCTTCCATATTCACATCCTCTTCTAGTTGGGAAATTTCTTCCGATTGTATAGTTGTGGGTGTTGCCTTTAAAGAGATTTCATCTTCATTAGAGAGGATTGTTACTTGTTCGGAATTCAGCGCACTCTGTGGTAAGGGAGCTTCAGATGACGATGTAAGAGCGAAAGGCTCTATTGTGTTGATGTCAGATGATGAGGTTGTGGCATTGTTACCATCGCCTTCTTGATGCAGCTGCGAATGCGAATCATCCGTATTAGCAGTTATTGAGGTGTCACTATTATTCGTAGGTGCTTCGTTTTCAGATATGAGTGGAGGTGGATTCTTTTTCAGCTCTTCAGCCAATTGGCTATCCCATTTGCCTTGACGAATCTCTTCGAGCTCCGTTACCAATGCTCTAAACCTTTCTTCATCCTTCCGAATTAGCGCCTTGATCTCCAATATCCGTTGATTATAAAGTTGTCCGGCAAGCTTTACTACAGAGGGGATATCTTTTTTTTTTTTTTTTTTTTTTTTCGTACAAAGATAACGAAATTACTTTGCAGGTTCAAATAAAATTGTAGGAGGATGGTTGGCTGTACGGCTCCTATTGACAAAAATGACATAAATACCTTGTGAAGCTGAAGATCCTGCCTCACCGCGCGATTGCTTTGATCGCCTATCGGAATTGTATTTGTTAGTACACATTAATAAATATTCAGAGCAAAGTAGAGTAACACAGTATAACTGCACAGTCATCATTATGAAAATCTAAACATGGTTTTGCTCTTATCTTACGTTTCGGCTTCCAGGTTCTTTAAGAGGTGGGTATATTGAGTGGCACAACTCTAGTTGCCAATGTTTTGAGAACAAGTAAGTTAGTCTTACGACATCTGTGCTAACATACTTTCTGCCATTGTGACACATCAATTAAGAGACAAAAAAAAATGTTGAGGTGTGAAACCGTGTGAAGGTTCAATTCAATCGTCAATCGCACCTTTTGTGAGAAAAAGTTGTTAGAGCGATGAACTTGGGGATGTCCCTTGATGGTGCGTGCAATTGCAACCCAGTCGGTGCCGCCGCATTTGTAGATTGCTTGTGCAAGAATCAAGTTTTCGAGAACAGACCAGGGTTCAGAGTCACTTTTAACATCTGTGGAAGTGGGATCGGCCATGATTTGAGAATGTTATGGAGGTCTTTAAAATGAAATGTGTAAAAGTAGTTTTAACTAGGAGAGCTAGAATGGCTTGGCTTGATATAGCATTGTTTTTGTGACAGCTCATCTAATAAGTACATATTTTAATTTATTCATCAAACAACGATGCAAGACCCTCGCCAATGTCGTCATGCTCCTCAGAATCTAGCACAGACTTTGAAGGGCGGTCATACTTTACATCAATAGTCCTACCAGGCGTAGGATTATCGCCAACCAACTTCTGCTTAAACCACTCTGACTTTGCAACCTACATTAAAGACCATATAGAGTTAGATCTCTGAACGATTTTCCTTCCGGTAACAGCAAGAACACAAGGCGAGATTTGTGATGATCTTACTCCAATAATGCTTTGCAAAAAGTTTTTCACAAGTGCATGTTTTTTAGTTCGATTACTGGTGGATTTTGCAAGCTCCTGCTCGAATTCCTAGAACGATAAAGAAATGCAATATAATTAATGTAAACTTATTCTATATTCTACAAGACCCTTTTATCCGTGAAGTTGAATTGCGCTGATTTACCTCAAGACGTTGAATGTCTGCACCTAACGCCTGTTGAAAAACTGCCTTGGGCGCTATATCATACGGACGAACCTCAACATAAACTTCCGTGATAAGTTGAATTAATTTTTCTTGGCCCTCTTGATGATAAGGATCGTGGATGGCTTCCATTGCTGCCTTAAGAACCATTGCTGAAAATGCACCAATGATATCTTTTGTCCCGGGGGAATTCTGGACCAATACAACCAGAGTACGCTGAATGGCATCCACTGCGCGTACACATGCCTTTGTGTCCTTGAGAGTCACAATGTGACACAATAGAGTGATGACGGCTTGTGCAATGGCCTGTCTTGATAAAATAGATAACGCTAGGGGCGTGATTTCTTTCTGCATGATCGTAGAGGCTGTTGCGCTATTTCCAGGATCTTGAATCATAGGCTTTTGCTTACCAAACTCCAAAATTGAACAAACAAAGCTAGCAACGTCTCGCGTAAGGTCTCGCAGCATTGCTTCTCTGGCAATTCCATCTGAAATATCCACGTCTTCACTGTCTCCTTCATCCTCCATTTCATCTATGACCAATCCCTCTTCAGATGCCAAAGCCCAGTCATTACGTAAGCGTTGATCCAGATACGAAAATAAATGCATCAATAGATGCGAAAGGACTGAGTCCATGTAGGGTTCTGGGCAGTTCTTAACCAGCGGCTGTACCGCATAGTTAATAAGAAATCTTAATTGACGATTATTGATAAAGTCCACATGCTCAAATAACGATTGCTCCAACATAACCTGCAATGATGGGGTCGCATAGAACGAGGATCCGAGTAGCGAGATTTGAGCAAGGACTCGATAGGATTGATCTCTCAGCACAGCCAACCAAATTTTAATATCCAATGCCAATTTGACTAGGTCTGATTCGGCAGATCGTCCAAAGAAAGCGCTGGGTGCTGTCTTTCCTGTCACTAATACGATCTTGTCTTCTGCTGAGAGCGATAAGATGTGGTCCCTAATATCCGTATTCACGTTCGTCCATACCTGTTCATTGCATATGGCGTTTAGAGAACGCATTGTTGAAAACAAATTGGGCATGATCGAGCTTAGATGAAATGCCCAGGGTTCCATCGTGTGAGGGTTTTTAACATCAATAGTCTCCTTCATGAAAGTGTGTAAAGCCTCAACCAGACTCTTTATCTGTCGACGTTGGATAATTGTCCCCTTTAGTTGGTTGATTTCCACTGGTTGAAGGGTTTTGGAGGCTGCTGTGCATAGGTCATCCACCCCAACATATGTTAAAAATGCTCGTGGAGTTGATAATGCTTCCGTTACGCTCGTCGACTGAAAGTCGATAATTACGGGTAGGACGACTTTTTCAAAGATAGCAGTCTGGTTTACTGGTAAATCTGAATTGAATCCAATAACTAACAGAAAACTTTGGAGAGTTTTCTTGAGGCCTTGTGTAATAATGTTTTGTTCAACCAAACGCTGAATTGCAGACTCAATCTCACCATAGATTGGATAGAGTATATTAGGGATTGCCCTACCAATCTTAACAAGGGTATTTGCAGCCATGTCACTCATTCGGGCGCCATTCGAAAGGGACTTATCTAATGAAGGATATTCAACGGCCTTGAATAGCTAGGTACAATTATATAGAAAATAATAATGAGTACCAATTTGAGTGCAGAAAGCCCCCCAGACGATTGCCCTTGCGAGCCTATATTTCTTTATCACACCTTATCCAATGAACGGTATAGCAGCGTTGAATTTTGCTTAAACATATCTGAGAACGCTGGAATAGATGCGAGAACTCTTTCTAGAGCTACAGAGCACTATGAATAAGATAAAAAACAAAAAGTTATCAATATGGAGAGCATGGTTAACAGTGCGCAGATGTAGTAAATAGCAAACCTTATACCTTGCCGTCATACTCGATGATAACACTAAGAACAGAATTCATGCCCCCAAGCAACTGTGTAGATTGAGGATGAGCTTTATTGGACATGATCTCTGTCAGACTGGATACTGTTGTTTCCATGAGTGTGAGAGTACCATCAAAGACCTTGAACTGTGATGTTTCCTTGACTATGGTGTAAGCATTTTTTTTTTTTTTTTTTCTGTAAGAATGAGGACTACCCGTGTTAAAAGACAGAATTTATTAATTTGAATATCGTAGCACATACCGTTTTCGAAAGGAAACTCCATCATGAGGACCTCGGAGACTCGGTTTGCTACCCAAAAGAACGCGTCTAGTGGCTAGACGATGCGAAATGTACAGACATATTAGTATCCTTACCAACAGTGCTTTTGTCTGAGTATGCCATATCTATATGCGCACCTACTATGATTGGCACAACGAGGCGGATCACATCGGCCGCCCTCTGGAAGAGTTGCAAAGCTCTCCCTTGAAATTCAGAAAAGGAGTCGAAGTCAATAATGGCAAAATGTTTATAAATAGGGTCCCGATTCCATCGGTTCTTGATGTCCTTTGCTAGATGGGCAGAGTATATTTCCAAGAGCTTTGGAGCAAATGAACACACGACAGAGTTCTATACAGCATATAAAGTGTGGATGCGATAAGACTTCATAGGACAAAAAAATATAATAAAAATACATAGTTGTCAAATGCTGCCCTACCTTTGAAAATGTTTCATGACGCAAGATAGTTGACCAGAAAAATGTCACAATTGATACTATTAAGACTGAGGGATGGGACGCCATCGAGTGTAATAGCTGAAGAAGTCTAAACAAGGGATTAATACACAGATTTTCAAGGCTAAAACCTCTTTAATCTAGCTATCCAAATGCATTATTTAACTTACATGAATAGATCTTTAGGAGCGTGTGTATTGCGCTTTGCGCAAAGCTGTTGTTCTCCAAGATTGACGGTGGCCTGTTACAGATGAATCAGCAGAACGTTTGTTTGGTTAATAATGAACATTTGCCTATATCATCGTTCAAGGGTATTTGTGTAGAGATTTACCCATACCTGCACCATTTTTTGTACAAACTCATAGGCTCCTCCTTGCACAAGCTGTGTAGCGTACATCAGATAAGCTCTTGATATCAAATCCATTCCACCTTGGTCCAAGACCGGCCAAAGAACTTCATTTCTCTCCACATCTGTCATGTTTCTGCATGCTAAGGAATCATAACACTCTGCGCCAGCCTAATTATATAATGATAAATAAAAAAAGTAGATTTAAACGCATGTTAAAGTTAATGACTTTCGAGATTTGATAGAGATGGAAAAACATGAGGCTTAAGCTATCATTTACCAAACGGATCTTTATGGAAGGCGACAACAGAGTCTGACAGATAAGCTGGACAATAGGAGATGATGCGATTGTACTGTATCAAAATAATATGGCAAACGATATGCTCATCAATACCAACAGAATATCGCGGAGGAAATGGTTCATTTCCATGTATCTACGATTGACCTTTCCCTTGATAACTTACGGACAGAGGATCCAGTCCAAAGTTACTGCAAGCGTTTTCAAAGCTGCGACTGCGAGCTTTTCATCCTTTAGCGTTATGGTCTGTGGGGAAAGGATGATTAATTTAGTTTGTAGGATCTCTGCTGCTATCAATATTGTACTTGTCATTTCTTAAGCTTGTTTCCATTGTTCCATTACCTCTGATTGGCAATGGGGTAGAATGTCCTGCAGTAGGCTGCTTATTCGCTTGGTCCAGCCTTCATTACCTTCCTCGCCATACATAAATTCTATATCCTTTTTGCCTCTATCCCACCCATCTGGATACAGCTTCTTCAATATATCTTGGCTCGCCATGATCTCCAAAAGCCCTGTCCTCAATTCCTGTTGTCTTAGCGCTGCTAGCGGATCATTGTAAATCCAAACATCCTCGCAAATCGATTTTAAAATCAGCAATACCATTTCTTTTCCTAATTCCTACGATACGTAATTGAAATATTAATCTCTTTTTTTTATAAAAAAAAAAAAAAAAAAAAAAAAAAAAAGAAATGTGTCTACTAGTTTCCAAGAATATAACGCCTCCTTTACTTTATTTTTTATGAAGCGGAGGGGTTTTCTTACATCTTTAAAGAACTGCTCTTTCAGGAAAGTATTCATACTAGGCCAATAAAGGGGCCATTCACGCTCTGCAATTGCCACGAAAAGACGCGCCACTTTTTCCTTTATAAATGACTGTTCCTCTAGCATTGGCTTGAGGCCCTGTGTTTGAGGCAATGGAGTGATGAGAACGAAAGAAGTAGCGTTAGCTACGGCTGTGATTGAAGACAATACTTAGGCATTTATATTGGATATATATGAGCTACTGGCTCAATGTACCTCTGATATAAGCGACATAGCGCCTTGCTTGAGCGACTCCTTCGTCTCTTGAATTAAAGTGTCATCAGTCCAACGATAGCGAACACAGTATTCCATGAGTCCTACCCCAAAGTGGCGTAGTACATCTGGTTGCTGTTTGTCTTTGTGTGCGAGGTAATATCCATACATGGGTGCCGCTGCATGACGCCTCATATCCTCGCAAAACTGAAGTGGAGGTAAATGAAGAAGCAGTCAATTATAGAGCATACTAATATTAATAACTGTCAGCTATTTTGCGATCATTGTAATTTTTTTTGTCCATACATCTTCCGCTTGTCGGCGAGCTTCATTTGCACTGGTTGGGTTGTGAATCGTTTCTAATGCCTGTATAAGACTTCTCAAAGCTAATTACATTGTGTAAATTAGAGTGCTGTCAACAGTAAAACAATAGAATATGTCTTCACTTGACTTCTATACATGTATACAACTCTTACTAGCCTCATCCATCTTGATCTGATCTAATGTGCTGCAAAAGAGAAGTCTCCTTTCTTTCATAATTTTAATTTTATTGTGTCATGGCCTATTTGGCAATAAGGTTTATTCAGATCAAGTCTATGAAGTTTATTTTACAGCATGCAACTATAATAATCGACTATTAAAAATATTGTCCACTAGCATTACCACCCCCTGATCCTGTCCCATTCCCGCGTCCAAGGTCGCCCCCAGCATTCTGTTGCTGCTGATGAAATTGCTGTAAAGCCAATTGAGACGATGTCAATGTCTGTGTTTTCATGCGCGCTAGCCGTTCCTTCATTAATGCGACCGTTTGAGCACGCTCCTTGGCCGCCATCGATTCTTGCAGTGCTTGGAGTGAAGGGGCTGACGATGATGGCGAAATACTATTAGCTAAAGCACTTCCACTTCCAACGCCATTATTCCCTGTTGTATTAGGGTACCCGTTGTTCAAGATGTTGTTGCCGATACCTCCATCTTGTTGAGGTGCATATTGCCCCTGATATGGCAAATGCATACCACTTACTGAGCTGCTAAATTGTGAAGCTGTGGGTGAAGCAGATGCGCTAGAGAGAGTTGACTGATAGAGAGACGATGGGCGAGAACGATTGTGCTGCGCCAAGATTTGTTGTTGTTGCAATTGATGCTGCTGAAAATCAAGCTCTTGTTGCTGCCGCATTGCCAAACTGGGACTATTACGGCCCTCCATCAATCTGCTATTCGGATCATGACTGTCATGAACCGGAGAAGGCGTCTTGGAATCCTGCTTTAAAGATGATAGTGAGAATAAGTGTACGTGTACAAAGTTAATTAATATGACTATCTTACACTCAAACTTATTTATGAGATTATTGAATGCTAACAGTCAGGCATCATTTCTTACCAGTTTATATCCAAACATCTGTTGAAGCCGAGCGAGACGATCTTTGTATGACTCCGATGGATCGATAGAGGATGATCCTACGGCACTTGTCTCACTATCAGAGCCTACCATCGAGAGTATACTTTCTCGTTTTCTTGCGGTTGCTTCCATTGCCTCACGGTCCCGGACGAGTGGTGATCCTGCTCCGCCTATCCCTAGGGTACTGATTGAGGCTTGTGTAGAGCCACCTGTAGCGGCCGCATTTGCCTCTGCCTCCAAATTAGCTAGACCTCTCCGAATATAACTCTGGAAGAAAGTCCCCGTCTTGGCAAGTTGTGCATTCACCTTAGACTCCATATTGGGATACATCTTTTGAAATTGGTACAAATCCGAAATACCCTGTCATAATATAAGCAAAAAAAAAAAAAAAAAAAAAAAAAATTAGAAAAAATCAATAAGTTGAATGCCGGTTCAGGTCAATATTATGAAGAGTATTCATACCTGCTTTGTCTCCTCTCTGGTCCCAATCTTGGTAAATATCTGAGTCAGTCGACTATTCATTTCTGTTTCAGACGCACCCGACGTGTCATCTGCGCCCTTGCCTTCGCTACCGCCGGTGCTGTGGCTTCGGACTGGAGACTGCCCCATGACCATACTCAAGCGGTTAAAGTTAGCGCCTGCACTATTAAATTCAAGTTGAGGAGATCCAAATACAGAAGTAGAAGTATGTGGCGCTTGCAACTGGGATGTAAAAGTAGATTGCAGAGGGGTTCTCGGCGAAGTGGAGGAATGTTGAAACTGAGGCGACTGCTGGAATTGCAGTGATGATGGCAACTGGCCTAGTGGGGGCTGAAGCTGAGGTTGTGACAGTTGCTGCTGTAGCTGCTGCTGCTGATGTTGCTGATGTTGTTGATGTTGCAACTGTTGTTGATGTTGCAACTGTTGTTGCTGTTGTTGCTGTTGTTGCTGTTGTTGCTGTTGATGGAGCAGGGTTTGGTTGGTCATTGAACCAATAACCGACAGCCGTTCACGGGCACCATTGCTGGGAGCAGATTGTAATGGAGGGTTCTGTGCCGGAGTAACAGGACGTTTCTTAGGTCCAGTCATGTGGACTAAATACTGATGAATAGCTGATTTGCTTGGGTCTTCGATCAGGTCGAGGTGATTAAAAACTTCATCTCCCATACCAGAGGATAATTCTACTAGTACTGTCTTGACGGTTCTTAGAGGCATGTCACCCAATGGGACTCCTTCTTGAGCACGTCGCTTCCACTCGGGCGGCGATATTGAGACTAAGAAATCATTCATGTCTGCCAATAATTCATTTGGTTTCAATGTGCCCGCAGCAACACATTCCTTGATTGTTTTCGTTAGCTTCCAGATGCACTTCATGATAAGATCTCCAAACTTGGCCTGGTGGGCTGAATCCCCATGATCCATATTCCTGAGTGGCTGAGCGCAGCGAACCAGGATCAAAAGTAATGCATTGAATGTTGCATTGCGATTACTATTCTCCAGGACCTTCACCATAGTGACATTCAAAGCCTTCGCCAATTGCTGACCACTCTCGACTTTGTCCAAATTCTTGTCTAACAGCCGACTCGCCAGTTCATGCAGCAAATTATACAGGTAATCTGATTGCACCTTGCTTGCTAATTGCTTGTTGGAGAAAATACTGACCAGAGAATTGACGAGGTGCTTACATACGCGGGTAGTCGGGGTGCTACGCTGTTCAAGTCTAGTATAGGCTAGACGAATCTGGAGAGTATGAGCATTAACCAGCTGGTTGACATGAGGAATGATGACATCTAGGGGGCCATGAAGTGTTTTCTCTAACTGCTTCAAAGCATCTATACTCTGGTTAGGATCATCACTCATGATCTGGGTGACAAGGTAGTCCATTACTGCCTCGCCTCTCATATCTCCACCAGATACCGAAAGACGTTTAATCTGCGCTGCTGGTGGAGCAAGGATTGACGATGATGACTGCTGCGAGAGGTTATTGTTTATCGGCAAAATCCCTCCCATTCCTCCCATTCCCCCCATTCCTCCCATTCCTCCCATTCCTCCCATTCCTCCCATACTATTAGCTCCAGATGGTCTGATTCCGTTTAAGGGTTGTGATGTAGGGACAACACCTTCCATCGAATCAAAGGAGCGCTGTTGCGCGGACATTCCCATAGGCATTTGAATGCTGCTGTTGTAAGATGAGGGTAGGTCGTTATGCTCCTGCTGCGTGTCATGCTGCAAGTCATGCTGGCGCGACACACGAGGTGGTGCTGAAGCTCCTGGAATACTGGGCTCCATGGGACTAGGGATTGGTTGACCTGGCTTCTTAGACATTGTCAACCGAGATTTTGGTGCAGCAAGTCCCGATCCTTGTCCTTGTCCTGGATGCGAAGAAAGCGATGGAAGAGCTGGAATAGGTGAAGTCTGTTGCTCACGAGGAGGGCCTTGCGGTGTTGGGAGAGCGCTCGCAGTTGGTCGAGCAGCAATCTTTGAAGGAGCACCAGGAAGAGCGGATGCATTGGCGCGAACACCAGCTTTTGCGCTTGGTTTGGATAAGCTAGGGAGCGAACTTAATGCCCCTCTTTCGACTGGTTTAGTGCCTTCTACTGATGGAGGACGAGGTGGGGGAGCAGGTTTGGCTGCTTCAAGCATGGGCATAATAGCAGATTTTGCAGCACCTTTCAAATCACTACACTTTGAAACGACAGCGTCATATCCAACGTTGGCTACTAAAATGGGTAAGAATGCCTGACCTGCCTTACGAACATCGGGGCTACGATCTTGTAAGCACTGCAAGACGGGAGGTGCGAGCGGCGAAAGGTCTGGCAATGCCGTATCACGCTCCTTGGCACCATTGCAAAAGGTTGTGAGCCAGGCCAGTAAATCTTTACGTAAAGTTGGCGAATTAGTGACCAATGAGACTGCCAAGGATGACACGAGACAGTCCAATCCACCTTGCGTAGCAAATGCTTCCAAAGCAGCAATAGATGCGTTTCGAACGTTTTCCTTTTGATCAGTGAGACAACTGGCAACATTTGAGCACAGGATCCTTGCATACTTTTCAAACGGCTTGCCCATAGCATTGGCGACATTAGCACAAATCTCCATCGTAAGAATCTGCAGATTCTTATTGCTGTCTGCAAGCCGAAGCTTCAATGCCCCTGGAAGTCCACCTAAATTAGGCTTGATCCGTTTGTTGGCATCTATAATAGCAGCGACCTTTTCCAGGCCTTCTTTACGCACTTTCCAATTCGCATCGCCACATTCTTCTAACAAAGCAGATGTAAACTGGCCCCCGATATCAACTTTAGGGAAAAGCTCCTCCACTGCAGCGCTACCTGTGCTCTCTTCAGCAACTCCCTTGGTGATTTGAGGCGGCTCCATGTCTGCGACCTTTGCAAACTCTGCATCAATAGTAGCCAATAGTGCTGAATTGCAGTCCTCAACAAATGTTCGAATCCCTATGATCGAAGTATTATTTTTAGAATAAGAGTTTACACCTGAGAACGAAAGGCGGTGACAATTAGATATACCATACCTGGCCCGACAAAACGACGGAGCGTTCCAAGGACAGCGACAGCATTAGTGCGTACAGCTGCATTGGCACTTCCAAGTGTTATTTTTAAAAAGTCAATCATCTCACGAATCTGTACCCCACCAATGCCAAAGTCTTCCAGTTGCTGATTAATCCATAGCAATGAATCCGCAAGGGCTTTCGGTGCTTTCAGTTTCTTCAGAGGATCGTACGATTGACTAAGGACGAATTGAAGTGAGAGCGCTTCAGCGTATGAAGCTAAGCAGTCACCTGCTGCCTTCTTGAGTTTAATATCGCCCATCTTATCAATCATAGCTAATATGAATTAATCGCTTGAAAGGTTAATATATGAAAACCTAGAGAGTAGGCAAATGCCGATCGGATGATAAATGCAGAGAAAAAATATACCTGGGATGCTCAAGGCAGCACATGCTTTGGAAAAAGTCGGTAGTTTTTGTGCTTGGAGCTGAAGGATACCATAGAGTTTGGTCGTAACCTGGAAGTTGCTTTCCTTCCACCCAGGTTTTTTAGCCAAAACGCGTGTGATTAGCTCCGCCTCAAAGTCAGTGCTGCTATCCACAAGCTCATATAGTTTTTCCATAGCTTCCAAACGCACCTTCCAACTAGAGTCACCAAACTCTGCAATTAACTCCGGCGTCAGGAATTCAGCTGCCTGCTCTTCTGCTGTTTCATTCGAAAATTTATATCGTATAGGCTCATCATCCTTTTTAGCTCCACCCGCTGCAGGTGCTGCCTTCTTTGCTGCCGTGCTTGCAGCTGAAGCCGTAGCTGGAGTTGTTTTGGCTACAGGTTTTTTAGCTGAAGACAATGCTGGTGGTTTAGCTATAGGCTTTTTTGCAGGAGTTTCCACCTTTGCCGCGGGTTTCTAATTGTATAAACAAGCCGTAGTTTGCATAATAGAGCAAAATATCAGATACTGTCTACTACACTTACAAAACCAGTACAAGAGTCATGTTCATCAAGGCCTACCGTTGCCGCAGGTTTGGCAGCTGAAGCTGCGGGTTTGGCTGCGGGTTTGGCTGCGGGTTTGGCTGCCGCTTTTGGTGGGGCCGCCTTGGGTGGGGCTGCCGGGGCTGCTTTGGCCTTGACTACAGCTTTATCACAATATTCCTTAACTTTCCCAGTCTTGACAGTATCCAGATTTTCTATGTATGCCAAGAGTGGTTTTTCGCCGCAGCATTTCATAAGCGTACCAAGCGCTTCAGCAGTCGCTTCACGGACTGTAGCATCTCCGTCGTCAAATGCCTTAACAAGCATTTCACATGCCGTTTTAATTTCCTGCTTAGATGGTGCGATTTTGATTTCCTTTAAACGATGAACTTGAAGTTTTATAACTTCTGCTCGAATTTGCGGATTCTTGTGAGCTACATTTGCTGCAGAGTCTTCCAGCAATTCAGAATATGGCGCCTGTTATGAGTCTCAATATAACAGCGCATGTGTAAGATACTAGTCCATTTTCCGTGTCCATATCCTCTTTCAACCTATTTCATGCAATAGTGCTTACCGTGCTGTACATAGCATTTAGTGCACCAGTTAAAGCCTCTACAACGGTGACTTTGCGCTCTTTCAGTCGATCCATGATGAGTCCTGCTACTGAGGATTTGTATCTGTTGAAGTTGTCGCGTAGCCCTTGAGCTAGACCTTCAAGGCAATTTGCTGCCACAATGACAATGTTAATATTGGTATCCGCCATACGCTATATTTTAGAACAAGAAAAGAATCAGTTTTGTTCTCAAATTAGGCTATCATGAAATGCCAGTGATAGATGCTATGCGAAAAGAAGAGAAGAAGAGCAAACAAACCTTCCCAAGTGCTCCAACTAGTTCTGAGTAGTTGGTGTCAAGAATTTTAGGTGATTTGCAATGGTTCAAAAGACCGTCCAGAGCCTCTTTCCTCTCCTGCCATTTTTTAGATGCAAGAAGCTCATAAAAGTTTTTCTCCATTTTGGCATTCACGTCAACTGGGTCAATAAGATCAAATGCATCCACTTCCTCCATTTCCTCATCCTCATCCTGACCTTCAGCCCCATCGCCATCACCGTCAGCGTCTGCTGCTGCTGCTGTTGCCATCTCCTCTTGTTGTGAGCGGAGGTACTTTAATGGAGTAGGTTTTTCATCCGGCAATTTTTCAAATGCCTCTGTCAGCTCCTTTTGTTGCACTGGTTTTAGATCTTCTAGCGATGGCATAATTGCCTTTCTCAGCCATCGATACAGCTCTATCGTCAAGGCATTGGCTTCTGCACGAACGTTCTTGTCGGAATGGGCAAATAATGATGGTAGCTTTTTAAGAAGAGGTTTGACATTGATATTCTTAATTCCAAAGGTCCTAATCCAATGCAATGAGAACTTTAAGGTTAGTATCCATATCATTGCGGTAGAGGACTAATATCTTCTTCAGACTCTTCCGTCCATCCTACCGAACAATTGCAGCAAGCGTATTTGTTGTTGTAGCTACTAGCTTTGGTAGTTTGGCTTCCAGCCCTGGTATTACATCCTCCTGTTGTCGGGAACAATGGGAAGAAATAAATATGTGAGAAACATGCTGATACGCCCAGCGCGAGGTCTACTAATGAAATAATAATAAAAACTTACAATCACAGGATCTGGGGTATCAACCTCAACATATAATAGAATAAGCTCCAAGGCTTTTGCTTTCGTTCCTGCTCTCGTAGATGACAGACATTTTTCAACAACTGCAGGCACTACGATACTCTTCGTCCTTGGGTACAGAAATAGGGTTAAAGAAAATAGAATAGAAAGAGTGAGACAGATAAAGAGGGTGAAAACCAAAAAAAAAAAAATAAAAAATAAATAAACCCTAACCTATTAGGATCGGGAGCATTCTCTACAAATTGAATCAGGGTTGTCAATCCGGATTCCTGAGCGACTGCGTTGGAATCAAGTGCGATCTTCTTCAGTGACCCTTCGTACCGGCGGAAGTCAGAGTCTTCGATGCTGGTTCGGAAAAGCTTTGCAAGCTCTTCATATGCAGACACACGCGCTTTCCAATTCTATGAAATGCAAACAGAATTACAAAAAAAAAGTGATCAAACGTATGGACAACATTATGATGCAAGTTATTATGAGATTGTAACCGTACACTAAACGACATGAAGTGATGCCCAAACGAATTATTAGATTTTGCACCTTGTGTTCCAATCTCTCCTGGAGCGGGATCGCGTTAAAGTTTTCTTCAGAACCGCCACCTCCAAATTCATCCATCGCAAAGGATAGTACGTAGTGTGCACAAATACCAAAAGGAAAAGAGATATATTTGTTTTTGTACAGATATGTATAAGGATTTAATAATGATAAAAAAAGGGAGGAAGGTGGGAAGGATGGGAGGGGAAGGCAAACTTGGACTTGTTCGCGTGCTTTGTGTGAGCGACAATAAGATAAAAGTAGGCAAATCAGACAAAAGTGAGCGAGTGAATGGATGTCAGTAATTATGTAAGTGTATATGAAACAGCAATGTCAATGTCGTTGGCCTTAATGAATGTGAATGGAGGTGATAAAAATAAAAGAAGTCAATAGCGTCCATCTAGCTGCTCAGGTGGAATGGACAGATTAGAAACTTAAAGGTGCAGGAGAGAATGAGCCGTTGTGTGAGCACCTTCAAATCTGGAGGCTCGTGACTTTCTTCGTTGCGGTGCATTCTTTGCCGATAGCTTTTTGAGTCGATAGAACTTTGAGTCGATAGAACTTTTGTCAGTTTACCAGAGAAACCAAAGTTGCTTTGGCATGTATATAACATGGCAAATGTGTAATGTCAAAAGAACCTTCACTCTTTCGATTAATATTTCACCATGTGGCAAGCAACTTCTGGACACTTGCGCCGAATGCAGCTGGTCACTGCTGCCATCTCCTTGAGCTCAATTCCGATCGTGGTGTTAATCGGTTCGAAATGCACTCGAGCGACATTTTCTATTTACTTCTCCCGCAGACTCTCTTCAATCTCTACACTTCATTCTATTGCTACTTCCGAATTAAAAAACCGTTCTTATCTCTCTTCTTGGCGGGCACATATATCTTCTTGACGGCCAGAGGTTTTCAATTGGCACTGGGGAGTCCAAATCTGGCTATGCTTCTAATTGTCGAGGGCTTCAATATATCTATTGTCCTACTTTTGATTGCCCAGTTCATATTGGTAGCAGTCGTCTTCAGTAGCAATAAACCTCCCTTATGCAACAGTAGCATTAGTGCAACACGAGCAAATTCAGACGAGGATCCCAATCTAGTAATGGATTCAGGAGATGTCAGGGCATCGCAACTAATCCACGTCTATCAGCCGAGACTATCGCTCATATCTACTCAAGCAGCGCAGGCATCAGCAAATGATGAAAACCACAATGCGGATATTCTTCAGTCGAGAAATGAAAGTTCCCAAAGCCAAACCACTGTTATAGAAAGAGTCGAACTCGAAGAATTACCAAGATACCAGAGAAGACCCCCCACACAGACAGCGACCATCGTCGATCTTTCGAATCTTCCTGACGTTGACCATGCAATCCTGAACACTACTCTCGGTCGTTCTGCGCAACAGAGAAATCTAAGCCTTTCAGAGCCGAGCGGTGCCGCCTCAGCTCCTGTAGAGGCTCCCGTTTACTCACCACCAGAGCATTCATCTAACTTTGTTTCAGAATCAGAATCTCAGGAAATTCCTTCAGCAAGTGTGCCATTGTTTTCTCTAGTATCAACATCGACAGAGGTATCTTCTGTATCATTACCAACGTCTGAACCACCAATTTACGCACCATAACCGATATCCTTACAACCCAATATATTGTATTCTGTATATAAACGTTTGACAAGCGTGACGCGAACAAAATTGCTCTCAACATTCTACTGAAAGATTGAAAATGGGCCATCGCGCTTCATTTTCACTGTCAATACATCTTTTCTTTGTGCATAAAACACATAACACATCTAAATGAAACCAAGGTCTTGCTATTTGGCCCTGACTCCTATTCGGGCATTGGTTGCGCTCTTGACTCTTTCCTGCCTCATTGCTATCGCGGTTAGCAGGAAACTAGATGCGGACAGAACATGGCCTCCGGGGCAAAAAGAACAAGAAACACCCCTTCTTGCTACCGTGGAATATTTTAAAGATTCTCCACAACTCACTATCAATTTAATTCCACTCATTGGTGCAGTTTATCTCCTTTATTCACGCTATAACCCGAATACTAGTGATGCTAATAATGGCTGGCACTCATCCTGGTTTTTCAGAAATGTTGTCATTCTATCATTCACAATCGTGGGACTATTCTATGGAATTGATCAACTCATAAAAGTCTCGGTCGACCACAATGGATGCAATGACCCGTTTTTTACAAACACGCAATCAAGATGTTGGGTCCAGTATGGAGTCAGCAGCTCTGAGATAGCTTGGGCTGTCTTACTTATTGTCGAGAGTAGGTTAGCCATTCGACAAATGAGAGATCAGGAGCCTAGATTTCAAAATGCAGATGAGGAAGTACGGGCAGCAGCGTTGTATCAACCAGATTTGTCTCTGACAGACAATCTCTCCTCACCAGAAAGAATTGAATTGACAAATCAAAGAACCGATGTAAATGATCAACCACCAGAGTACACGAGTGAAAGATCACGAAACCAGCCTCAGATTGTAGATGCAACCAACCCACCTGAAAGACTAGCAGAAGCTGTAGCAAGACGACTACAATCAGAAGATACCCAAAATAGGTTTCCAGATCCAGAAACATTACAGTTGCCACCATCTTATGCGCCTTAGGTATTTATTTTAATACGACATTTTTTAGAAATATCATGAACTGGCTTTGAGAACCATGGAGGCACCTTGAGCAAGAGATATCTACTCGAACCATTTTCATTACAAAGTCTCCAATAAAAAACGTCATCAACCTTTCTTTTCTCTGTAATATACTGTACGGCTCAACTTCCATTCTTCACACTTGAGAAGGGATCCTAAGTCAAGTAATCCTAATGCACCGTTTCTTGGTGCGTCTCAATGCGCCCAGACTGGTCTCTGGCCCACTTCCTTCCAGGGATGCATGAGGCCATTTAAAGAAGGCGCCTACAGCTTCATTATTGAGCTGGGCATTGAGCTTTCAATTCTGATTATCTCGCTCCGCATCTTCCGCCTTGAGAGATGTTAGCATCATCGGCGTGGAAGGCCGAGGAAGTGCGAAATAATCTTGACTATGCATCGGTTACAGGGTGCACGAGGATTTAAGCTTGAATGAGTTGATGCGTTGATTAGACCAGGGTCACAACCAACCGGTTATAGTCTCATCGCAGGAGGAAGACACTTCTAATTTATCAAACTTAACCTCAACACATTCTAGTATATTAGAATGCATTTCTCAATTGATGTTCCTGTATCCTTCTTCCGTTAGTTCCTCTCCTTCATTCTTCTTGACAGCTCTCCCAGTGGAATCCTTGTCCAGCTCTAGATCCTGCTGTAGCTCCTCTGCCTGGCCAGCGATGCGACCTACATCTCCTTTGTCCTCGGCAGGCTTCCTCCTTTGTCCTCGGCAGGCTTCCTCCTGCGTTCCTTCTCAGGCGCGCGTCATATGCTAATAGAATCATTACGACTCCATTTATAGTAATGGTGCCGCACAGCTTGAATTGCATTTTGGTGTATTGCTTTTGCCAGAGAACCATAGCAGGAGAGGATCCTGAACAAGAGATTTGAGGCTGGTCTAGATCAACCGATGAATCTGGAAGACTCTAAAAGATTAGAGATTTATCTCAATTGGCATCGAAAGATGGGACTAGCAGAGGCTAGATAGATGGCGAATGGCTTGGTCACGTCTTTCGTGTATTATTGGATTAATGGTTAATGAATAAAAATTTTTCTCTGTCAGGTCGGTTGAAGTAATATTGGAAAGCAAGGGGTAGGAATCCTCACTTTTACTTTCTTGAGCAACACACAACTCAATTTTTCATTTGTTTTCCATTTCGTTATATATCAATCCCATTCGTTGATACTTCAAAAGCGACTGATAGCACAGTTCGATGTCTCTATCACCAAAATCTTTCAAGCCTATTTAAGATGTTTTATGCCATTTGTATCGAGCTCGCATTAAGAGCGATCTATGTAGCATTCTTTCCTTCGTAGCCCATAGAGAGTAATCCAAGAGTATTACCCTGACAATCTTTCCTTACTACCATAAGGATATGGTTGCCTTCGGAGGCTGATGTGTTGGATGCGGAGGATGCCATTTCTCGAAAACCCTTCATAGTGGGATATTCCACTCCTGATGACTATTCAAAGGTTCACACCTCAAGAATGCTACATCCACCTGAATGCTCTGACGCTAGATCCTAACACCATAATAAGCATGGGCGTGACATCTATAATATAAACGGTACTAACTAGTTTTCGCTTCGTTGCCTGTCAATGCCATTACCACTATTAGTAAAATATAAAACGAGCACTACATGCCACGCTGAAAAAAAAAAAAAAAAAAAAAAAAAGAGGATGTTTTAGTTCACCAATCAATCAATCCGTAAAATTTTTGCCACCAAACATTGTCATAAAAAGAGCATTGTACGCCAGGTCTCTTATTTTCCCAACTACGCTCCCACACTTTACAGGCATCTTGCATCACCACAGTCTTTAGAGACTCAGGTGCCGTGATCAGACTTTCAATTCCTACTAAGTCCCATGGCTCCGCAAATGCAGGGCTTCAGATGTAAAAACACGATAAGACTTAGAGCGCACCATTGAAGTGCATCAATCTCAGTTCTTTGACTGAAGATGATAGGGGAAACTGCGATTATTTATTTCAACTGTGCAAAAAAGCTGAACACTTGGACTTGGACCGAGTACATACTTCCCAATCACCATCCGATTTCCTGGAGTTGCTTAAACTTGCACTCAATAGCATCCGTAAGCAACCAAAGCACCATGATTTCTACAGGGTGTATTCCTTCGTCAAGTCCAAACATTGACAAGGCTACCAAACCTAACCTTCCTCGGTATGGACATTAAGGACGAATACATGGCTGAACTAAGACGGCTTAAATTACCAAATGCTCTATACCTTGCTCCCCGTGAATTGCGTGGTTTCGGCCGGCTCTCTATGCAAGGGTTGCTAACAGACAAACACATGATACAAGAAACAAGGTTCCGGGTAGCACTTGCTGAACAGTGCATGCAATTTTGGCTCTGTTCCGTACATGCTTTTTTAATAAAAGCATCTTTTGGTTCCTAAGCCTGACAGAGCTGAGGTCAATTTAGCATGGTGCGGACATTCATGTGCTCTACCACGTTGGAAAGATTTTAGCAGACAAATGTATAACCAACTACCTGCTTTAATAGACGCTGAAACTCTTTTTTATTATTATTATTATTGTTATTCGAAAACGGATGAATCTGCAGTTGCAAGATCATTCATTTTTAGTAAATGTCGCCCAGAGGCGCTTATACCAAGAAGTAGGAGTCCCGATTTCCAATTAGACATGACATCCATGGCTACAGCAAACTGTCTTTAGGTCGTATTTTTTTTCTCTCTTTTTATTTTTTATTTTATTTTTATTTTTAATTTTTTTTTTATTTTATTTTTTTCTTTGTCTTTAATCTACCACCAAATTGAATAAATATAACAAAAAGGTTTTTTTTTTACTCTGAGATAAAGTACTGTTGGACATCGGAAGTTGGACGAGGAATGCTTACGGACTCTTCATAAACTTCGACTAAGTGAATATGAGAAGAAGTTTTTGGAGGTTAGATGAAGAAAAATGCATCGTTAGGTCCTGATCCTGCTTACTCTTCGTTTTATTACTCACCAGACTCATATTGAACATTGCTGCGCTTGCGTGTGACGGCCAGTTGTTCAGGTGTCATACTGGCGCGAACCTTGGCGAGAGTCTCCAAGATCTCATTCGTTGTAGGGCGTTTAGCTGGGTCAGACTGCCAGCACTTCTCATACAGTGCCATGTACTCTGTAGGTGTGCCTTCAACTGGCAGCTCACGCTTTCCATTCATGATGGCAACAGCCAAATGAACATCCTGTGGGACCTTTGCAAAAGCAGAGTGACCAGATGTTAGCTCCCAGAGCAGAACACCAAGAGAATAGATATCACATTTTGCATCAAAATATTTTGGGTTGCGGAATCGTTCGGGGGCAATGTAGGCCATGACACCAATCAAAGGATCATCGTCTGCGTCCTCGCCTTTGCCGTTAGTCTTTCTATCTTCGCCGCTCTGATGGGCATCAAGTCCAGTAATCTTTTTACTAATGAATTTGGAACGACCTTCTCCAACAGGCACCTCCTCCAAAGAATACTCTTTGATGTTCCTGACTACACGCTCTTCCATAATTGTACTAGCTCCGAAGTCGGTCAGCATGGCATTGCCTTGATCATCGATCAAGATGTTGCCTCCATGAAGATCACGGTGGTAAACACCTTCTTCATGAAGACGGGCAATACCTTTGGTGATCTGAGCCCCAAGGCGGAGTTTATCATCCCAAGTGAGTTTATGGTACTCAACCTTGAGATGCCACGTGAGTGATCCTTTGTCAGCATACTTTGTCACAATACACATCTTGTCCAAGCCAGCTGGAAAAGTTACCCCATAAAACGCAACCACGCTGTCACACCCCTTCATGCGACTGTATATCTCGACCTAACTCAAACAAAAAGAGAAAACAGTTAGAAAGACCAATCAGCTATCATTTAAATAATTTTCTTTTCCTTGAAAAAAGGGCCTCTTTCCATAGAGCAACTTGTGAAACAAGCGAAATCAATCGAGATCAAGCTAGCCTTGAGAAAATTACCTCTTTTGAGATAACGTGAGCAGAAGCCTCCTTAATCGCGACCTTCTGACCCTTCCATTCAGCTACGTGAATGATACCCATACCACCGGCATCTACACCAATGGATAATTTCTTGATCTCGGTCGCTGGGATTTCATTACGAAGCAGAACTTGCTTCTCTTCCTCGGTTAAAGGGTATGGGAAGTTTTGGAGTCCTTGCTCAATCGATTGGCTCTTTTGACCGACAGAAAACTGTCTTGAAATCCTTTGAAAGAAGTTTGGAGACTGGTTGTTTTCCTTGGTTGCTACTGGGGCTGCTGGTTCGACTCGACTGTCACTAATCAGTGATTGATTAGAGGCGTTCATAGGAGCATCCCCAGTCTTTTTGGGAAGTGTCGTGTCCTGCGCACAGCATTTGGAGAGAGGGTTGCCCATGATAATGGTCTTAGAATGGTCTCTTCGTTGTCAGAAAGTATGCCTGTTATCAGCTTTCCATTGAAAAGAGATAAATAGGGTAGGTTTAGTTGGATTACAGTTGGATTGACTAGAATACGACATTTCAGGTTCATAGTCGTGATAAGAAGTAGGATAAACACATGGGGAATAAACATTCACAAGACTGTAAACTCAAAAGTGACATAAAAAAAATAAACACGCGTCTATAAAGTTGTGACTACAGAGGACAGTCTGATGCTGTGCAAAGGTTTGTGACAGTAATAAAAGATTGGGAAATGGAAATGTGCAAAGACATTCTCTCTCTTTCTCTCTCTCTCTCTCTCTTTTTTTTTTTCTAATTCATTGGTGACCTACCAGTAATTGCTATTGCTATTGCTTGTAGTTATTGTTGTCCTTTTGAAATGAGAACAGCAAAAAGAAGAGGGAGGAAGAATGATTACGAGCAGAATCGAGGGAACAGTAAGGGAAGAAGAAGAAAAAAATGATAAAACAAAGGAGTGGTGCGAAGGAGAGAAACGAATAATAGAGAGAAAAGAGAGAAGAAAAGAGCGGGCACCAGGAGATGGAAGAAATATTGCAGCCATATGGGGAATCCCAGATCAGGCTAATTGTGTCCAATCGCAGTTAGGGAATTCAAGTCCTTCCGAATAATTTTACTTTACTTTCTGACTAAACCTTTCTTTTATATGTTGAACAAATAACTTTTTTTTTTTTAGATGCCTTGTTCATGCCCGTGATAATCGGCACAAATCTCGGCTTAGTTTCTTTAGAGTCTAACCATTTGCTTCACTTGCCAATGATGTGTCTACTCATTATAATTCTTTGCTTCCCTTTTCATCGTCCCCTTTCCTTCAGTACCAGAAATAAATAAATAAAAACAACGTCAAACTATAGCCTACTGCTTATGCATAAAAACATCAACAACTAGTGTCGAAAAAAGGAGAAAAGGAAGAGTTTGAGCCTGGCTCTGGACTAACAAATGACCCCATTTCTGTTCAAAATGGCCGTGGAAAAATATCTAATTGATCGTTAAGTCAGATCTAGACGAAGAAACCCCATCCCTTGCTCTCCTGTTTGCATTTCGATTTAGGAGTGCAGAATCTGGCAGCTAGAGATGCAGTAGGCTTTTCACTTATAAGGTGGCAGGAAATAACCATTTCCTTTTTTATCCACCTATAGGTGATTAAAAAAAGGAAATGATTATTTCCTGTCACCTTTATAAAGTGAAGAGCCTAGAGATGCAGTACCGAGTCAACTTTTGAGCAGAAGCAACATGCGAATAGTGCACGAGCTTTTTTTTTTTTAGTCCGTGATAAACAAACAAACAAGCTTGAAACAACTTTTTTCCAAAGAAAAAAGAAAAAAAGTCCTCTTCTTATTCGAACGGATTTACATGTTTTATGCCTTTGATGAAGCCTAGCTTAATTTTGTGTGAGAACAATAATTGGATCGATCTGATCGAGAACCTTGTTACTCAGGGATCTGGCGAGCACTTTGTTTTACTGTAATTCTCATTTATACAGAACAATGTCACTATTTAGACTATAATTGAACAGAGCGGCAATGACATAATTCTTAAACTTTATTTTTGCTCCGTACCACGATCTTTGTGCAACGCGGACATTGATTGGTTCCATGATATTTTGAAATCTTTCTCTCACTGAGCCCACATCCTGGACATATTAAAAAAATTGACTTGGGGGCTCGTGAAACTGCACATGCATAGTTGACTGTTGAAAGCAATGCACAAGGGGAAAATCTGAATGAAATCTCGTGAGCGTGTCGTTATATATTTGTTCGACTTCCTCAGTGCATTGCTGATTTCTAAAAAAAAAAAAATCCAGGATTTCAGTTATATCAATCACTGAACTGACACTCATATCTTGAATCAGACTAAGCTTGTGCCTGTTAATTGGTGTTGATAATACTACCGGTAGAGTAGAAGATGAAAATAGCCGACGCAATAAGCACAACAACGTGGACGTTGAGCCATATTGACCCAGCTTTGAGGATAACATTGGACATACTCCTTTCGCAATCTTCACTCCCATCTACGCTTGTGTACTCCCAGCAGCCGTGCTGACCCCGCAATTGATATGCTTATCGGTATGATGGATCTCAGAGGATCCGTTATGTCTGCGATATGATAACTATAATAGTTACAAAAAATCTATATCTGAGATGACTATGTCGTTAAATCCTTGGATGCCCAGAAATTGGCAATGTAGTCCCATCCCTGGCGCCTTCTGTTGGGTATCGAGAGCATCCCGCCACATATGGTGCCCCTCAGCTGAATGCAGCTGAATACGGCTTTCCTCTTCATACTTTGAACCGAGGCTGTGGCCATGTTCCTCCTTGAATTGATCCTTGGACGACTCAAAATTGACAGTATCTGGTGCACATTGCCGCAAGAAGCATAGGTGTGCCAAAATCAATAGTCCTCTTTTTTTTGAAACTAAATGAAGGGCATCCTTGACTTGCCGGCTTTCCTCTTTCTGTCCTGAATACCGCTGACCTATTTTGCTGCAATTGCGTGTAACCTGAGCTGCCTAGCGATCCTGAAACACCGCCACCCTTACCCTCATCAGCGTCCTCTCCCTCATTACCGTTTTCATGCTTATTAGTTCTCTTAACGCCCTCCTACTTGCATTTGTAGCAAATGTTTTATAACACCCATTTTCCCATGTTAGACGTCAAAGACAGAAATTCGCATCTACCATTCAAAAATTAAAGAACGCACCCATATTTTAACGTATCGCTTCTCGTAAAACGTGAAGCGTCTTTGACTTCGTTTACGTTTAACATTGATACTTCACCAATGATGATAAGCTCATATTTTGTACCAGCAAAGACCATCGGGACAAGCAAGAGATGACGATATGCCGTGTGGAGTCCTTTTAGGGTAGCCTCCTCCACCGTCTTGATACCACCACTAGCAATTATACTACTAATAATGTTGCTACTGTTCTTTGAAGCTAGTTCTGCATCTTGGTCCAATAATAGCGCTTCTAATGTCGCCCCTGTAAATCTTATGGTATCAGCACAGTTTTTTCTAGGCTGATTGTAGGATTAGTAAGAGCAATTCGCGCCGTTCCCGGCATGGTCAATTACCAACTTTGCAAAGCAACAACAGTCCTGTGTAGCTCTTCAGACTTTATCTCTTTATTTTCATAGCCTCTAAAATATTAAGTACTTCATTGCTTGGTTGGTTCCTGACCAAGCCTGAATTTGTGAACTAAACAGTTCACTTGGGTATGTCGAGTTGGCCACGTTTGTGACATCCTCGTTTGATATCTGTGTTCACCAAATTGGACATGCCATCACCGTACTGATCATGGTGAGAAGCTTCTTCCCTTCCTGCGACATAGCATTGAGTTATTAATGATCAGAAGCTCATTACAGTCTTCTGCAATTCAATTTCCAAGAGGGCCCCGAGACGGCCAGTGCTTGATAGGCTTCCTGCTTGTGCATATGCTAGTCTTACTGCTTAAACTGGAGTTAGATGCTAGTACGGACGAATCCGAAGCAAGTAATTCATCGTCTTTGTGTATATAGACCTATCCCAACTCAATTGAGGGCTTACCACAGCTTTGCCTATACCTAAAGGCGGTTGTTGCACGTTCACAGCCTTCATCTTGGCTCTGGCTTTGTCACTTGTAAGAAACATCTGTCTCATGCTCATATCTTTGTAGGATTTGTGAGGTGATGAGGTGTTGCTTGCACAATGTCTGCTACGAAGGCTCTCTTTTTATGGCTTTGATTTAAAGTTTGTCTTCTGGTCTGCTGCGGAGCATTGATGGGCAAATGGACAAAGTGCTAAAGGGCTTTTAGAGGTTTCGTTGATAGCATAGGCTAGCGCGATGAAAGACCTATAGTTCTGGAGCCGTTCTTGCATATATGCCAATATGCTTTGCTCCGGGACAGAAACATGTGCGTAAGGATAAGAGCAATGGTTTGCATAGGGCGGGTACAAGAACTGGGTTGGATAATGTTGTTCAATACATTTTAAAGCAGCCATGAAGAAACACAGCAAGATGGAATGAAATGCGGAGAGAGCATTCACGATGTAGAGCAGGAAATATCATGCCAATAGTGTAGCACCAGACTATGACCCTTGTTTTGTTATTTAAATGAAATGATTAAAGTAAGGTTACAGCACTCATTGGGTAAGAGCGCCCAACTCGGATCCAAAAAAAAAAAAAAAATCCACTTTGTTCAAGATTCGCTTTTGAGTTGGTCATTGGCCGTAAAGGCAACCATGATGACAACATGCTATCGACCACGAGGAAAATGCAAGCCCCTTTTTTACCCCTACTCACAATCTCAGACTCGCCCCTTTTGGCAGAGAGATGGAAGGACAGAAAGGAAAATGACGCGCACTGGCTCTAGACGATCATGGTAAGTACATCGACTATCCATGCCACATTCACACTGGCAAAAAAACAAAAAAGAGCTTTCACTGTCAAGCTTGACCTGACCTCCCGAGAGAGCGAGAAAGAAAAGCAGGAGATCAATTTCTTTTTTTTTTTTTTTTTTCAACCGCTACATTCATTTCATTCATTTTTCAATTTCATCCGGCTGTGCTGTGTGCCATTCCTCCTCATTCCTTCCTTGCAGTGCCAAAAAGCGAGGTGAGCCAGCTTTCTTTTGATAAAAATGGGACAATCAAACGGAAATCTGTGTGTGGTCAGTTGCACAGGTTCTCATTCCCAAAGTGAGGAATGGCGTGTCATCACTGCATACACTCAGACCATGGGGAAACTAATAGCATTTCATAACCTTTTCTTCCTCCTGTCATTCTTCCCATCACTTGTCCCGATTTCCTAGCAGGATTGTTCCAACAATTAAAATTGACACATTCATGCCTTCCTCTTACATTTTTCATCCACCAGCTTGACTCTGCGACGTTGCTCCTTTTTTATTATTATTCTTATTTCTATATTTATTCGCCTTGTCGCTTGGAAATATTCAATTAGACCTGCCCGATATCTACAACGCTACAGCAGAAGCAGGCATCGCCCTCAACAACACCCAAGGAACTAGAGTGTGAGGCGTCTTGTTCGAGCGTTTCAAAACCTCACCTTCTCCAGCCTGCCATCGTATTTGATCCCAGCCCATAGCTCATTCAGACCTTATAATTCAGCTAATAGAATCAGTCATGAGCAAGGGAGGCAACATCAAGGTCGCAGTGCGATGTCGACCACTTAACAGCCGAGGTAAGTGATCTTTGATCAGCAATTGGCAATACCCTTGTATAGATGTTGTTATTCTGACAAATAGTACTCGCTTCCTTTCTGCTCCGCCCACCGGTTCCTGACTTTTTTTTTTTTTTTTTTTTTTTTTTTGGATAAATATGATAAACACTAGAAATCGCGAAGCAGTCAGAATGCATTATCCAAATGGATGGTAACATGACCACGATCCGACGGCCAGAGGATGGAAACTTGAAGTCTTTTTCGTTCGATCACTCATACTGGTCTTATGATAAGAGCGACCCCAGTTATGCGGGGCAACAGCGTATCTACGAGGACTTGGGTGTGGAGCTGTTAAATCATGCTTTCAGTGGATATAATACATGCATTGTAGCTTGTAAGTGATCAATATCATGTTTATTTAAGTATCTATTACGACATGTGGTTTCTTTTTCGATCAGAACATGTCCGTCCAACTTGCCTTCCCAGATTTATGAGATAGAGATGGGAGTTGAGAGCGGTGTGCTGACTCCTTTTGCGCCTACGGAAAATTAGCCTGCGTGTATTTTTTTTTTTTTTTTTTTTTTTTTTTCTTTTCATGCGATTACTGGCTCTTGGTATTTTGCCATCCGCATGTGTTATACCAGCTGCACGCTCACAAATCTATCTTTCCCGTCTAATATTTTTAATATCTTGTTTAGATGGACAAACTGGCAGTGGCAAGTCATATTCAATGGTGGGTATAGATTTGCGCATGGATCACAAACAATGTCGGGATATAGTTGTTAACAGATGTCTCCAAAGAGATGAGATCTTTAATAATTATTCTTTGTCACTTCATTTGGTCATCTATAAATCACGAGGAAAAGCCATGTGCTTCTCTATGTGGCAGAGCCATGAATGGCCCCTCGTTCGCTAATTAAGGATGTGTAAAAAAGGACAAATTGCCTCGTAAAACAAGATACTCACACAATCTTTGCAACGATCAAATAGATGGGATATGGTGAAGAACGCGGAATTATACCTCTTTCTTGCCACGAACTCTTCCGGCGGATAGAAATGAACACAGATCCATCACTCAGCTATCGCGTTGAAGTCTCTTATATGGAAATTTATTGTGAGCGTGTGAGGGACCTGCTAAATCCTAAAAATAAAGGTCATCTTAGGGTGCGCGAGCATCCATCCTTGGGACCATATGTCGAGGATCTATCCAAGCTAATGGTTACATCATACCAGGATATAGCAAATCTAATGGACGAAGGGAACAAGGTAGGATATAGCTCAATCTGGTGGGACCTAGCCGAGCCATTAAACCGGAATGGATTGGATTATATGGCTTAACTTTTTCTTCGAATGATTTCTTCTAGGCTCGAACAGTGGCTGCCACCAATATGAATGAAGCATCTAGTCGATCGCATGCTGTCTTCACAGTACTACTCACCCAAAAAAAACATGACGCTGAGACTAGACTTGACACCGAGAAAGTATCAAGGATTTGGTAGGTTGGAGTTTCTGCTTCACTTCATTACGCCATATAAGAGGTACCAGATATCTGAATAGTATATTATTTGACGTGTCAATTAGCTTGGTGGATCTTGCTGGAAGTGAGAGAGCAAACTCGACGGGAGCCACGGGCGCACGATTGAAGGAAGGTGCCAACATCAACAAATCGCTGACAACGCTTGGTAAAGTCATCTCAGCTCTTGCAGATGCATCCAGTGGTGCCACTATTACTACTGCCAAAAAAGGACCAAAGAAACCAAGCGAAGTTTTTATCCCTTATCGTGACTCGGTAGGGGCTTTTATTATTATTATAGTTATTTATTTTATTTTATCCTTTGTATTCTTATATCATTGCGTTATTATTGCTATATCTTGTTTTTGACTGGCTAAACATGCTGATCCTCCTTAATTACTATAGGTCCTTACTTGGCTTCTAAAAGATTGTTTGGGAGGAAATTCAAAGACGACTATTATTGCGGCCTTATCGCCAGCTGATATTAACTACGAAGAAACTTTGAGCACTCTTCGCTATGCTGACCAAGCCAAACGTATCAAGAACAAGGCTGTCGTGAATGAGGACCCGAACGCCAAACTTATTCGCGAGCTGAAGGAGGAGCTGTTGGACTTGCGGTCTAAACTCAGTATTTATGATCCTAGCCATGCCGGTGGGGACCTTAAGTCACCCAACTCATTGGTCACTATTGTCGATCTTCATGGGAATACTAGGACTCTCTCAAAGGAACAGCTGCAAGATGAAGTACAAGCTTCAGAGAAGATCATGGCTGAATTGAACGAGACCTGGGAGGAGAAATTGAGGAAGACCCAGGAAATCCAACAAGAACGCGAAAGGACTCTAGAAGAGCTCGGTATCTCAGTTGAAAAGGGTCATATTGGAGTTCATACTCCCAAGAAAATGCCACATCTAGTGAATCTAAGTGAGGATCCTTTAATGTCCGAGTGTCTTGTCTATCAGCTCAAGCCAGGGATCACCATAGTTGGTCGTCTCGATTCTTCTGTGCCAGCGGATATTAGGCTCTCAGGGACAAATATACAAGATAATCATTGTCATTTTGAAAATAATAGCTCCAGTGTGACGCTCCATCCCGGAAAGTCGTCCATGACAATGGTCAATGGTTTAAGAATCACAAAGCCAAAGAAGCTTCGATCAGGATATCGCGTCATCCTCGATAACAATCAAGTCTTTAGATTCAACCATCCTGAAGAAGCTCGTCGCGAGCGAGAATCAATGCAAAACCAGACACCTGGCTCGAGCATGGTTTCGTCCCCGACTGTGAGAACACACGGCAATCTCTCAAATGGAATGGAGGACGATCGTCCTGAAGATCGGCCAGACTCTCCATTGTCATCAGGTTCATTTCAGTCAGAGCTTTTCGATTATAATTATGCACGCAAGGAGGCAGTCATTCAAGCGCACATGTTATCCGAATCCAGCATCAATCAACTCAAGGATCAGGATTTGGAGGTACTATTTGACAACATTGCCAAGATCCGATACATGCGTAAGAGCGTGAGGTCGGAAAGCCGCGCGGGGTCTCATATTGATGACGATCTAGAGTCAAGATCTTCACGGATATCATTCAATGGGCGCTGGCATGGAGAAGGAGGAATGGGCGAAGACGGACGGGAAAGTCCGATTCCATCCTTGGAAACATCAGCTTGGGCGTTAAAGGAGAAGCTACGCCTCGCTCAAGAGGAAATGCAGTTGTTGAATCAGCAGAAGCAAGAATATGAAGCTAAGATCCAAAACTTATCAGCTGCGGAGGCCAAATCAGATGAACTACTTGCAAAGAAGGCCTTGATGGAAGAGCGTTTGCGTCAGGCTGAGGAAAATCTCATGAAAAAGCTTGAGCAGCAGCGGGAGCAATACGAGGACAAAATGAAACGTATGTCTTTGGCAAGCACTTCAAGTCAGCAGTTGGACGAGTCTCAACTGAAAGGGAACTGCTCGGATTATGAGCTCAAGCTTATTCGCAAAACGCTTGGGCATTGGAAAGAGCAGCGAAGCATGCAGATGGCGGAAACAATTCTTGCTAATGGGGGTCTCGTCAAAGAGGCCAATATTATCAGTCGTGAACTTAAAAAAAACGTGATGTACCAGTTTACGGTCATTGAGGCTGGCCAATTGGCAAACCCAACATCATTCTGGGAGAAGCCCTTCGATTCGCCTCAGTCTAACAATAATGATGAAGAAACATTGCTCTCCGGCCTGAAAAGACCTTGCATTGGTGTCAAAGTCATCGATAGCAAACATCAATCTGTTTATCTCTGGTCACTCGACAAGCTTAGTTTGAGGCTACCACGGATGCGTAGTCTTTACAACCTCAACGAAAAGTTACAATATAAGAAGCAGTATAATCTGGAGGACCCCTTTTATGATACGCCTGCGCCACGGTTCACGTTTATTGGAAGTGCTTCAATTACTTTGAAGAGTCTGATTAAGATGCAGTTTATGGAGAGCATTGTTCCTATCATTTGCAGAAATACAGGAAAGGTTGCCGGCCGATGTCGGGTAGGGCTCACGCCTCTCAATTTGAGTGATCCCAAAGTCCGTTCTGGGCTTTCTCCTACGCTATCAGTGCCCAACTCACCTACAAGACTTACCAAATTAGCGCACAGCCGCAGTACTAGTCGTGCTCACAGTCGTGAGCGATCTTACATTGGTAGTGGCAAAGTGGATGGAGTCTCACCAGCTGCCGTGGGCATTGGAGACAAACTCTTATTTGAGATCTCTATTCTCGCTATTGAAGGACTTTCGGAGCAACAATATACCCAGGTTCATGCTCAATTTAGACTCTCTAATTTTGGCGGCGTTGTACCAAATTCGACAAGTGACAAAGTCTACGCAACTGATACGGCGAATGGCTTTGGAGACAAGCCCATATTCTTTGGATACGCACAATCGTTATCCATTGTTGTGACGGAGCCTATATTAGATGTCTTGAGGAACGGAAGCTTACACTTCGAGGTCTTTGGTGAAGCCAAAAAGGCGACATTAGAAGCTTCGGAGAGGTGGGATATTGAGCAAGAGCAGATCGGCCAACAGTTTCTACAGCTACAGGAACAGCAGAAGTGTGGACATGGTAACAAGCGATCATCGTTCGACAGCCTTAACTCCATCAGTGTGATTTCCGAACGCCGTTCAGAGGATAAGCAATCATTAGAGGAGCATCATGATGTTTTAGCTTTTGTTCAGATCTGTGAGCCTGCTGCTGACGGAAGGCATACACCTGTTATGGTTCTGTCTAATTCACCATTGGACCCTGGTGCATTTCAACTTCGACAGGGTTTACAACGTCGTATCATCCTGAAGTTGACCCATACATCTGGAAAACAATTTCTTTGGAGTAGTGTCTCAAATATTTCAGTAGGCAGAGTTCGATTGGTTGACAATAAGGGCCACCTTGTTGAGTCATCGCCAGGAGATGATATATCGCTTAAAATTATCCCTGGCCAGAAAGTTGAATATCCAAAGAATGGAACCAGCGAGCTTGTTGTCCAAGCTTCTTGGGACAGTACACTTCACGACGCGCTTTGTCTGAATCGGGTTACTACATCTAATTCACGTGTGATGATGACCGTTGCCTGGACAGTCGTAGCCGAACGGTGTGCAGAGGCCATTCATTTCCAAATGGATATTGCAGTTCAAATACAAGAGCGCGAGAATCGTACACTCTATAGGTTGACGTCAATATTGACGTCTACTAATATCCTGTCAAGAATGAGTGGTCTTTTCTTACTTACTCTGAAGCCTATCTTAAAGAAGCGGTCATCTGATGTTTGGCGAATGAGCTTTACAGGAGAATATGTCCGAGGCGAAGAGCTTTTAGGAGGGTGGAAGCCGCGGGGAGTATCACTTGTCAATGAATACAAGAATAAGGTGGCCCTAATGAACAAAATAGAGAGCGTTGAGAAAACTAGACAGTGGTTGCAGCTCCACGGAGTAACGCCTCAAGAAATAGGTACTACCGGTGTTTCTGTCAAGATCGAGGGCAGTGAGAACAACACACCATTGACGCCAAATGTAAATGGTGCAGACGGAAACTTAGACGTTCGGTCTCGTGAGTTGTTGGAAAGAATAGTTCGACTCTGGTCTCGCAAACCACTTATTCTTGAAGAGGTACATCTCCATGTAGTGTTTTTTTTTTTTTTTTTTTTGTGGTTAGTCAATCTGGCATCAATACATGTCCTAACCCTATTTCAACGTACTGCAATAGTTATTGAAGAAGCAAGACAGTGCTTTGAAAAGTGGTGACGGCGAGAGTATGAAGGTATCTAGACGCTCAGTACGCTTCCAGTCCGAAGCGAAGTTTATTACCAAGTGGTAAGTAATGTGTTGTTGTCTGTTTGACTTCGTTTAGGATGTACTGTACAGTTGCATGATCTCAGTTTTTTATTATATATTTATTTTTTATGATATAGTGAAAAGGTATCGAAGAAAGGCTATCTATGCTACCCTGAAGACAAGGATGATGTATGGGTGAAGCGATTCTTTGTAATCCGTAGGCCATACATGTACGTCTATGCCAACGACTCTGAGACTGAAGAGCTTACTGTTGTAAATCTAAAGGATGTCACTGTAGACTACAAACAGGATCTTGAGGAGATGCTTGAAGTAAGTCTTTTTTTTATGTCAGCATCGGGAAACAAATATTTGTGTTCACAAAATCCAATAGGGAAATAGGTGAAATATGTGAAGTATGCTGAGAACTAACGCATTGTATCCATGACCTATTACTCTTCTATTTACTACTTTATATAGCGCCAGCATGTCTTTTCGGTATACGCTGCCAACAATTCGTATCTCATGCAGGCATCATCTCGCGAAGAGATGCGTTTATGGCTAACAGAGCTCGATCAGTTCTTTAATCTTTCACGAGTCCCGGCTTAATCAACTTTCTTTTTTTGTTTCATTGCAAATTAATTTATGCCATGCTTCTTCTCGTATTCCTGTAAAATGTCAACGTCCAGGTTGCGTCGTTTGTTTTTAATATCAACATCCATCTCTGATCGATATGTACCCTTTTATCTTTGTTTGAATAGTTGTACTTTTCCTTTTAGTTCCCCCTATAGTCTATATACCATACACAATAAAGTGAAATTCATGCCTTTTTTCTTCATTAGATGGCACCTTTCTGTCGGGTTGTAAAAGTAGAGTTGTTAAT